AATTTAGCATGCATTAGTTTGTATCATGATGGTTCCACAAGTCTGTGCATATATATTGTGAGGCCATCTCTCTCATGTACACGAAGGCTATATCAAGCTCCTCATTGACTTTCCTTCAGTGAACACGTCGATAATCTCAACACAGAACAGCTTTGACCTTCTGTTGAATGCTCCAATCAACAACAGTATCCTAGAAATCAGTTCTTTCCATGTATGACTGTGCAATATGCCTGACACCTGTTTGATTTGCCTGAATTTCCAAGATGGATCAGGACACTTTATAGCTGTGTGTTAGAGGTTTCTGTATTCCTTATGGGGATTTTTTTTTTCTGTACAGTGTGCATAATATTGGATTCCTGTGAGAAAAAAACATACCATGCATTATCTATGCATGTGGTCCTACACACCTACGAGCCTATGTTCCCCGGTGGTGCAATGAACTTCGAAACTCCATTTGATCTGCAGAGTCCCTTTGCACCTTTAAGAAAAAGCTGAAGACCAGCGCTTTCATGAATACCTACGACCTTAATGATGATGTTGACGATGGCCTCCTATTGGCAGGTCTGGCACAATAAATAATACTTTATTTATTATGAAGACAGCGTTTTCAGGTAACAGCTCAAGTGGAATCGACATATGCCACAATGGATTTCAACTTAGTCGTGTAAATGCAAGCAAAAACTGTCAGGGAGATAATAAGAACAACACATTTTCACATCTCCCAAACAACAGAGAAATAATAGCCACAGCCCATTATATCATGACTCAGAGAATGATAAACCACTCGAAAATGTTTCACCTTCTGAAAAGTTTTTCAACCTCCAAGGAGTCTATTTCTTTGTGTAGATGCACACTATCTAAACATTTGACTTTAAATGTGTCTTCTTAGGCTCAGTCAGTGAAGAAAAAGTTAATAAGGAAAACACAAAATACTCAATTATCAAGGAACACATGGCAGAAAATGAAAGCAATCCAGTTTTAAATTGCCAACAAATGACTAAGAAAACTGTTGACACATTGCAGCAATAAGGCTTTGTCTTCAACGTGCAGGGCAGCAGTGAGCGAGCACTATGCAGAATCCATATCCTAAATATTCCCAAAATTATCAAATTATCAGTTTCATTTTCACTTGTGGAGTGCCTTTTTTTTTACAGCAAAAAAAACAGAACACAGATGTGTTTTGTTTTTTAAAGACTTGATTAATCATTTATTACTTCTATGGTTATTATTCCTTTTAATTAGTTCTATTTATTTTCTTTATAACCTATAAGTGCTATATTTCTTCTCATGAACTTTATTGAAAGGCCATTTTTTTTTACATGACGGACCAGGGCTGGTTAATCAAATTGTCACTGCGTCTAAAGAGGATGTACAGCACACTCTCACACATTACGTCAGGTGACAGTTTTCTCCTCATCCTCCAAGGCTGAGCATCAAGGTTGTGATCTCTGAACATTATCTTAAAAGAAGCCTCATCGTGTAAAATAAATGGCTCTGCAAAAACGGAGAAGTGTGGAAACCCAAACCATCCTCTGCATTTCAGGAATAATCACTTCCTCAATTATGGATAACATGAGAGGAGTGTGCTCGCCATTTCAGGGTATTGGGGTCAAAGAGGACGGCTGAAATGAGGCCTTGGAGTTGAAGAAATACTAAGGGGTATCTACAGATACAGCGCCTTTTACTCTTAACATCTCTGGAATGTGTGAGGATGTCTAAACAGCTGCTGGTGTCCACTGATGCCTCCTCCACTTCATTACCCACAGCCATTAGACACCATGTCATAACCATCATCAGCATGCTTGGTTAGCCCGACGAAAGCCCGAGACAATAAATGGAAAATGATTCTGAACATATGAGTCATGGGGAAATGTTTGGAAAGAACTGATATGGTGTTATATGCCTCTGACTGGAAAACAATAGCGGTTAAGATCACGTTCTTTACGAAAGAAGGAGAGAGGTTCTTGTGTTAAAGTAGGATTCTGGTCTCAGTATAGTCACTGATTCTATTTCTTTACTGTGGAAAAAAAACAGAGTACAGGCCCTGAAATGGACTAAAGTAAAAAAACAAGTCATAATAAATTGTAAGTAATAAGTAATAATTTTTATATATTTTTTTATATATATAAAAAAGGTTATTTGCTTTTGTGCAAAAAAGTTGGCAAGTTGATGCATACAGTATTGTCACCACAAGTTCTCCCCGTTACTCATTGACATGCATTCATTACATGTAGTCTCTGCAGGAATCACATTTTCTGTGTTTTTGTTTGACCTATTTAAGTTTAAAATGTGTGGTAGATTTATTATACAAATAAAGTTTGCATAATTCCTCTAAAATGTGTCAAAGCCAAAATTAGACTGTTTGCAACATGACAGTTTTACCGAAATATGTCGACAGAATTTAGAGCTAAAAGTCAAAAACTGTAAAAAAAATAATAATAATAATAATTAATTAATAAAGTTCACTTAAAATTAATTTAACAACAGAAACTGAAAGAAGTATTTGTGCTCTTTTTTTTTTCAATCTTTGGTATTATGCAGAGTCGGGTTTTCTGGCACAACATCACCAAATACCAAGGTGCATGAAGAGTGAAAGGTTTGAAGAAGTGAAAAAGCTCCTGCAACACTTGAAGTTTAAAGTACAACTTTAATAAACCCACACTTTTCATCTCATATACTATACATCCACGTGTATCAGAGGCACCTGCAAACCAACCCACCTTTGCAGCTACCTTATTGGCTGATGCATACGTAATGTGGATCTATATGATTATATTTATGTCCTTTTTTGTTGGTTTTGTTTTGATTGTGTTTCTTGGTGGCCCTGATGAAGGCCACAAGCCGAAACACATCAGTTTTATAAAGTTGTTTTAATCTTGGGCAATATGAATTGACTGTAAATATTAATGGAGGAAGCCTGAGTGACGTCATCCATCTGTTCCTGCAGGGAGCTCCAGAGGCTCATCAGCAGCAGCCGCCATGTTGGAAATGATATCTCAACCTAACTTTCAGTCAACCTCACGACAGGCTGAGAGCTGGAGCTGAGACTGGTTTTTAGCCTCTTGACGAACCGTTACACCGCGCCCGCCTGTCAATCAAGTCAGCTGCGTGCCTAATTATTGATAACATGTATCATACACAAAATGAAAATGGATGCATGATAAAAAAAAAATCACCCCCCCCCCCCATACAGTGTGTGCCAGTATAGACATGAGCTAATCGGACAGCTTTTCTGCCTGTCGTGTGTATGTGACTTCCGGTGTTCCTGGAACAAGCCTCAAGCGGACCCTCGACAAACTGCACAATGTTTCAAATTTGCTGTAAAGAAACATGTAAGATTCTACCACAGGACCCTGAAGCTCAATGCACAATGTGTTCACCTGAGCGGCATTTTCTACTCTTATCAGCTTGGTAAAATAAAACAATAGGATTTATTTCCATCACTGAAACTCAGACGTCAAAGGATCAACTTCATTGCACTTGAGTTGAGTCATTTTTTTACAGCAGCAAATCCAGCCTTACAACACCACCAAATGTAAAAAAGATGTCATTTGCTATTCCAGAGCAGCCTTGTGAACTGATCCATAGAGCATATGGTGAATAGTATAAAAAAAAGTAAGCAGAATACTATCAGCCTTCAAAAAGAGGTATTTCAAGGAGTCAGCTCACATCGACAGCTTTATCTCATCCGCTCCTGAGGGGGGAGTATGGCTGACATGTTAATTGCTGAAAAACGTCATTTAATTCTCCAATAAATGTCAACCGCATCAGTTTAACTGTCAAAACTTGAACTTTTAAAATGTTAGCAGTATACACTTCTTCCCTTTCCCCTCACACAGTTACACTATCATCATCCTCGGCCTCTTCATCAGCCCTCAGGTGAGGCACTGAGGTGAAACGGGCTGTTGGAAGTCTGGTCACACGTTCAGAGATGGGGAAAAAAAAAAAAAAAGAAACATGAATGATTTGCATCAGAGTTACCACCGCCGCAGGGAGGCGAGAATGCATGAAGCCTATGTATTTTAAAATAAAGGCAGCTTCAAATTTCATGCCCCTGGGCCCCATGAAAAATTCAGGAGCTTGGATATATCGTTTGTTTTTGTGGCTTGTAACACAGTGCAGTTTAATTGATAGGATATCGATTTTTCGTTCAAAGCAAACAAAACAAAGCATATCATAGATTTACGCCCAGAAAGTATATTAGAATATATTTGTGGGATGTCCTATAGTTTCTAACTAAAAACGTGAAAAAAAAAAAAGAATCGGCTGCACAAAAGATAATAGAGTCCATGCCGAAAGCACCCAAGTGTATTATTTCTTGCAGATTGTTTTTTTTTCTTTTTCTAACAACATCAGTCAGTACAGCAACAGCATGAGACCCTTTTTTCATGTGACAATAAAAGCAAGACAGGATTTGCAGAATCTCAACTAGGCCTAATCTGATTTTTTTTTTTTTTTTTTTTACAAGTTTAGTTTTGAATGGCTTTCTGACAGAAGTCTTTTGCAGCAGGCAGCAGCTTGGATCACATTCCCAATTAACACTTCAGCAGTTCAGATCTGCACAAGCTGTTCATGTTGTGATCAGAATTGGATGTAGTGGGGGGAAAGAGCCCTCCAAATTCAGTCCAAGTAGTTTCACACTGATGTAAGTCACACATTTCCAAAGGAAGTTTCTGTTTTTTTTTTTTTTTTTTAGTGTTGGATTGATTTCTGTTTGAGTTTCCTCTAATTATCACATATTTCTCGCCTCAGTTCAGCGTGACTCTTCAAAGCCATTAACCGTGCATCAGCAAACATCATTACTGTGGCTAAATCAGGAAAGCAAAATGTCAACTGAGAGCGTACATCATTAGAATGCCATTTTCAAAAAGCTTATTTCTCCTCCAATCCATTAACAAAGGTTTGCCTTAATTTGTGAAATATATATATATATATATATATATAAAAGTTGCACGCTAACATAAATGATGTCAGGTAAGGTTTATAAACAATGATCTTACTTTGACTGTCGAACTTCCTGATGATGGTGTCCAGGAAGGTGTTCTGCGGAGCCACATGGCCCCTCCGGACCGGCATCTTTCGCTTCGGTTGCTCCTAGACTTTGACAAGACTCAGCAGGACTTTCAGGATCACACCGAGGCTCCAGAACCCCACAGCCGAGCGCGCGAGCTCACTGCGCTCCCTGCATGGAGATCAACCCCTGACAGGTTCTGTGGAGATAATCCGGGCGCCAAAGTTTTCCCCAAGTTGTTCAGGGAGAGGACAGGCGTGCGTGGTGGATCTCCAGGAGAAAACGCCGAGTGGAGAGTTCTGGAAAGGAGGCGCGCTGTACGCACGGCGGAACTGAGCCGTTTCCAGCCTCCTCTTTCCAGGCTGAGAGGAGCGAGGGAGTGTGTTTCTGTGCCCCGTGGGGAGGGCAGCCTGTCAGGTGATATTTCTTCCTGGTCTCACACTCGCTGGAGCACAACAGACCTCTCATCCTGCACTGCAGCCGACTCCAGTGAGGCGGACAGGGCGAGCTTTCCGACGAGCGTCGTTGGAGCCATAGTTGGGGCGCTGATCTGCGCGTTTGTCATTTGTTTCTCATTCCAGCTGCTCTCGCTCTGCCTCTGGGAGTCTCTGTGTTTTACTGGGGAGAGACGAGACACAATGATGGTTCAAATGAAAACAGCAGAGAGCAGATCAAGCTGCTTCAGTCGTCCTAGATGCGTGTTTTTGGAGGTGTTCTCTGTATCTCTCCTCCTCCTCCCTGTGCGCTCTGCCGGATGACTTCAGCTCCACCAGCTTCTAGCTGCGCCTCTTTTAACCCTTTGCTCATCAGAAACTGCTCACTACTTATTGAAGAACTACATGCGCTCTCAGCCACCCAAATATTCTTCACACCCACAAGAAGGGTTTCATTTGAACCTGATGTCCCAACAGTGGGGACTCTTAGATGCTGCAATTAGCAAAACAGGTGTGAGTGTCAGAAATTAAGAAATACTAAATATATATTATTTTGGTATAAATGTTATTATTCGTCACTACGTCAAAGAACCGGCAACCGGCGTTACAGTGTTACCACCGATTTAAGGAGGAACATGCATTCTGCTGCACCACACACTTCCTCTGAAAAGCTCCTGTCTTGCTGTCAGGGAGAGATCATCTGAGGCATGCACACAGTGTTCTGATCTATGCAAAAATATCATGTCCACATACCCACATAGGATATTTACCTGCACTGAGGTGAAGCGCCTCTCTTTGCTCGGTGAAGAACTACAGCTGATCCAGAATCAGTAACTCTGATGCCAATGTTCGCAGGAGATTGTGGTTGTGATGCTGCTTTGTAGAGTTTCAGGGTTGGATGGGGATTCACCACTCAGACGGCTCAGCTACGTCACACCGCCGGGGTTCCCCCCTTCCGTCATGCTGGGGACGATGCCTTCATGGACTGTCGGAAAATTGTGCCCCTACTCATGGATGGACGATCATATTTGCGAATGACTGTCTCTTGTGTTTTTTCTCTGCATGCATGAATGAGTTTCAATCACTGAATCAAAGACAAAGTAACGTTAACTCTTCACGTACTGAAGTAAGCTGAGAGATAAATTAAGGGTTTGAACAGATCAGACCTAAAACATAATGTATGAATTGCACTGGATTGAAAAAATAAATCAATAAAATCTTACGTTTTAGCTATATGATACAAAAAACATAGTATGGAAAACAATACTTAAGTCCTCTTAAATGTATAGCAAATCCACAAGTCAGTTAACATGTCTTAGCTGACAAGCTTGATCTACTTTTACCTGAAGTTATATTGTTTTTATTTTATTTAGAATCACAAATTCAAATAGAATAATATTCACCTGGTAGAAGATTCCTGTATGATAAGACACTCCTAAAATTAGGGAACGACAAGAAAACATCTGGCTGGGCCATTTGGTAGAAGTTGTGTCTTGGCCTTTCAATGGTACCGAATGGAAACACTCACAAAGCAAAAACTGCAGCATAAGCAGTTCTTAATGGATATCCGGGGCAGCATCTAGACCCATCTTAAACTAATGAATGAAAATCAAGGCCATAATATTGTGATTCGTCAGGTAAGCACACAAGCGAAGAATGGTCTAGTTGTTATCATTAATTAAAAAAAGATAAGTCATGTGCAACAGAAATGATGCTTTTTCTGACTGTACATGAATGCACCAGCAGGCAAAGCTCACCTCCTGAAGGCTTTAATGGAGTCAGATTTCCACTTTTGTTATCCGTCAGATTCATGCTGAGGCCACTCTGCTGCTCTGGATGCATTGATCATAATGACCTGCACAGCAGCTTCAACACATTCACAAAGAAGTGCTTTAAAGGTGCACTATGGAGTTTTTGGGAGAGAAATGTTAAAAGTTGAGAAGTGTACAGATTCTATGGTATATGTTCATAATTCTATACACAAACTGTCCTCAGAGGAAAATGTGGTCCCTGGAAGACTGTTTGAAGATAAAATGCTACGAGAGAAGTTATTGTGGGGGGCCCGCGACGGTGAAACCGTAACTCTCCTGCAGCTTTTAAGTTCTAAACAGAGTAAAGTTTGGGTATTCAGTTCAGAATTTTTAACTTCTCCAACTTTCAAATGTCACCACCAAATCTCCATAGTGCACCTTTAATGATTGCTCAGACATGATGAATTGAAGCCTTTGTAGTTGGGTTGGACGAGGCGTGAGGAGTTATCCATCAGAATATGATGTTTTGATATGAATTTAAAAGTTCCTGCTCACGTTACATCAGCGAGGCTTGACTACAGCAGCTCAGAGTCAGAGGAGGCGTGCTGCTCTGTCGGCCCCTCTCGACTCCCTTATTTAGGCAAGATAAAAGAGAGGGAGGAGGGGTGGCGGACAGAGAGACAAGGATAGATTAGGCAGATACTAACCTGTCAAACTCCTTCTCCAGTACAGATAGCTACAGGGATGACTATAATTGCTTATGTAGTTTTTTTTTAGCTTGTCCATTAATGAATAAAGGCTGTAATTGAGTATCTTTGCTTTGACACATCCATTATAAGCTACACCTTCATTTTTTATTTGTATTTTTATTGTTTTTTTTACAACGAAGTAAAAGTTCAGCAGTAAATCAAACTGTGCCAGATAACAAGTGGAACATTTTCAGGGGAAACGTTTTTGGATATCTGCAACTTTAATGAATCCATTCAAGAATACATAAAAGAAAATGGCAACACTTTCAGCTAAGGAAGAAATATAACTCGAAAAAAAACAACATTTTACATTTGTAACTGGCTGGCATCTGGTACAACAGAAACTTTAGAGTTTAAACTTTGTTTGGAAGATGAATCTAAAAGGAGGGAGATTGTTTTATAAGCACAAACAAACAATTGATCCCAGACTGTAACTGGATAATGCAAACCTATGTAACTCCTGTGAAACAACATGATCATACATATGCAGATGTGTATAATCAATGGCGAGTCGAGAGTCCATTGGTGCCCTAGGCTAAAATCAATTGGGGGGCCCTCCAACCAGTGTTCAATACCATTATGTCTGCCCTTGTCCCCCCTGCTTACTCCTCTTTCTCTTTTATGTTTTCTCCCAGTAGATGGATAATTCCTCTTAATTTTTCTTTGTTGATGTTCATTGAAAAACTTTGGCAGGGCAAGAGGAGTGAGTGCTATCAAATGGGGCCCCCTTAGGGAGGTTTCCTATTGTCATTGCAAAATTTGCACCTTTTACACCTAGTGTTTTGTTTTTTTTCCGGGCAGAAAAGCGCTGGCTGTTATCTCGGGAGTGTCTGCATGAAGTGTTCGTGTGCCGAGAAGAAAAGCGCTGCACGTCCGTCCCGTCTCTATGACAACAGTCTGTTGACAACGGCCGACACGGCTCCGTTACTTTCTACTGCATGTTTTAAAAATAGAGATAGTTTTTTTAACCCAGCAGGCACGGAGCAAAGAGGATGTGAGTACAAGATACGATAAGACGGATAAGACAGCCAAACATCATCTCTGTATGTGGAGTCTTTTTATTTAAACATTAACACTTCCATAAAACAGCTGCTGGTACAAACATTTTCTTTAAACATACTAAGTAAACATTCCTGACCCATATAGATATTACTTAGATTGTATTATAGGTCCTTTAATATTACTATAAATATACACAAGAAAAAATGCTGTACAGGCTGAAGAACAAACAACATTTTAGAACATTACTATTCGCAGAAGTATCCAGTCATATGATGACTAAAGACTAAAGATGTGTACATCAACAGGACTCTACTCATCCGCTCCATCCTTTGGTCCGTCCGTCCCAAAGCTCCCCATCCGTCACCCAGCTGGGCTTTCAGTGCTGAGCTCTTCCTCGGATCAGTGTTCACCCTGCTCTCTCTCTCTCTCTCTCACTCTCTCTCTCTCGTGCCACACACGTTCAGATTCACACTCACACACGCTCAGCTCACCGACCCACTCAACATACTCGCTCAGCGTCTGGACAGGTCACCTCCTGTGAGGGAGAGAAACAGCGAGACTGATGGAATCGTAACTTCTCGCTTAGCATGAAATCAAGAAGAAAAATGCTCCCGCTGCAGGAGAAAAAGATAGGAGAGCGATTGCCTCTAAAGCTTTCCAACAGCAGGAATTGAGATATTCTTGTACCGACGACTGTTTCATATTGGAACAGTATAACATGATTATAAATGAAAGTAATAAATGAACTGCAGATGTAAAGAAAAGATGCACAAAATGCCACTCGTCCACTCCAGTCTTGTGATTGCATGTGTAGATAGCATTGGATGAAAAATGAGGAAACATGCAGGGTCAGATTATACGCGTGGGAGTGCGTGTATATGTGAGAGACCAAACACTATTAAAGATTGATTGCCGTGTTGACCAAATCCGTCAGACGAGATGTCCGCATGTGTGTAGCGCTGAAGGCGAATATGAGCTAGGGGGGGATGTTCTGTGTGTCCTGTGTCGCTCCATCCAATTAACTAACGCAATCAGCCATGTTGATGAATGGATTAGCACGTAATTGCTTCAGAGGTGGGATCCTTGATTGAATTATTCATGGTGAGAAAAGGAAAACGTATGTTTCACTCTGATTAGACTGTATGTGCGCGTGTGGATCCGTGTAAATGTATGAATGTCAAAGTCCGTGTGTGTGTGTGTGTGTGTGTAGCGTTAATGGAAAGTGACAAAGACATTGTACAGAGAGGCAGAGAAACACTAACAGGTAATGAGAAGAAAACATAAACTTCAATTTGATCCACGACTTGAGCAACCGAGCTGATGGAAAGTCCTACAAGCACCTGCTGTCTCACTGTATTTCAGTGGGTTTCCGCATCAGTGGAGATACATAACAAGCAGCACGCTGACATGACCAGAATGACCACAGTCCCGTTTGAACACCTGCTGTGACATCACTGAGTGGGGTGTGGCATCAAGGGTGCAGCTAAAAGAAAGCATCCTCTATATGTTTTGAATCTGGATAACTGAAGCAGTGCTTGATTTGATACTCGGGTTATTTAGTTCTTTAAAGCTCCTTTAACAAATACTACTGCTAGAGCTCCTCGAGCCAGAGCCTGAAGCTGTGAATATACTCACACAATAAGACCCATACTGTACATAAGTCCAGTTATTTTCCACTTATGAGTCATTGATACCGATCAATCTCTCTTGGTATTATCATAATAACGTAGGATACAAAGACTGTTGAATTGATCAAATTCACATTAAGTTTAAGTCAGTGTAGCAAAATGAGGTGTTCAAAGATAGAATATTCTTACGTTTGTTCTTTACAGCATTGGCAGTAATAAGGACGTTTTTTTCTTACCACTGTAACTTTTGCTGCTTTGCTGAAGTGCTCATGATGGATTAAGATGGGTCTTTGTAACATAACAATGAGTAAGGTCTTTTACCTGCTTTTGTGTGTCTCGAGATAACACTTGTTACGAGTTGACGCCATACAAATAAGAATTGATTGATTGATTGATTGATATTAGAATTGGGTTGAGCATTTACCCATCAGTTTTAGGACTACTGTTTTGAAGCCTTCAAAACTGTCATTCTACTCGTCACTGTCTTGTCTTGTGTCAGTCAGAAATGAAACGATTCAGAGCGGAGGATGAAAACACCGCTTCACCGCCGTACTAGTCGAGAGGTCAACAATGAAGAAACTTGTCAATCAAATGTAATAGTGTCGTTTGACTGTATCATCTCTTTAACCTTTAACAGGAGAATATTTGTCCTAAATGAATATTATGCTATGTTGCTTAGAGACCTGAAAGTAGTGATTAAGACCATAAACACATTAGGAAAAATGATTACTGAGGTAGTAAATCAACAGAAAAGTGGGCTTACTTTTAAACAATCTGACTTCTTTTTTTCTTGCCTTGGGGACACATCTGCATTGATGCACATGCCAATACACTGTTTAGACTCTGAGTTTATTCCCAGGGTGTGAAGCCCACAGAATATGTGCAGTGATTTCTTTAAGCTGGCCCTCGCTGCATGCGATTCCACTGAAATGTGGGCAGGTTTCCCAGCTTCGCACTAACACATGTAAGGCCGTTAGTCACAGTGCGGCGATGGTGACTGGTGAGATCAATGATACGATCGGAAAAATCAGCATTAGAGCGCTGATCATGGTGCTGAATGAGTCGTGTTGCCGTTTGTGTGAACAAATACACACATTTCTGTCTTTAAACTGTCTAATGTTAACACTTTAGTGAGGGTATTAAGTTAAATGATGCAAGCATACATGAGTGTAGCAATATTTAAAGACAAGTGTTTGGTTAGGTATCTGAACATGTTGTTTTGCAGTTGTAATGCAGTTATCCTGTGAGAAACATATGTCAAAGACATCTTTCGATACTATTTCTTCCAGATTTCTCTGGTTTGTGACATGCCAAGAACATCCATGTCATTTCTGTGTGTCTGCTGGGAGCCTGAAGTGTGTAAACATGTGTCCCCTGCAGACATTTTCTTTTTTACATTTATTTAAATTATGGGTTCTCACAATGACATGTGGGATGCACATACAAATCCTCACTGCCACACTCATTATTCCCCCACCTTGGCAGCTGGTGCACTCGCAGCTGTGTATGACAGGCAGGACGACAGGCTCGCTCTCCCCGCTCTCACACCGCAGGCTGAGGAAACGGACCGGGTTGTCGGGGTCCAAACGGTAACTGCAGCACTCACACACTGACTGGAGGTAGGGCTCCTGTAAAAGAAGGAGGGGGGGGTGAAAAAGAGGTGAAAGAAAAGCCGGAGGGATAAGGTGAACCAAGCCAATTAGGAGAGTGGAATATGTTGGGGAGGTGGTGAAATTCAAGGAGAAGGAGGTTGTGAGAGAAAATATGAGAGACGGGGAAAATAGAGAATACAGAGACGAGGCAAAAAGAAAGAATAGAAAATGACTTTAAGGGGTGTAAGAGTATCGGCAGGAGGAGGCACGGAGAGAAATCAGAGTCGAGACTGTATGAACAGCAGTATACAGTGCTGAACACAGAAGAGGTTCTCAATGTACAGAAACATCCAGAATAGATTTACAATCTTTGGAATAAACTGATTACCTGTGGTGAATCTCAAAACACAAAATCACATAAGACACTAAAATCTAAAGCTCCAAATAAACAAACAAAATGATGATAAACCCACAGTACACTGCCCATAACCAAAAGGCAGATGGACAAAGTTAATTAACAGCTGCAAAAAAACAGTCTCGCATTTAGAAGCTCATGACCTATTTATATGTGACCCAGACAGTAATTATGGCATTTACGCATCATTCAGCCAGAAAACAAACAAAAAAAAAAAGTGAAATAACCATATTTTATTTCCCAGTTTTATTAAGGTTTCTTTTGGGACTTTTTATGTCGTTATTTAGAGGTAGGACAGTGGATAGAGTCATGTATGTTAGCCAGGAGGACGGCATTAATGCTGCTGATCTAACACACATCTATGGATATTATTAAATGACATCTGTAGAGGGCGGCCACAAAGGCTTTCAAGGGCCCAGTTGTCTCTGTTGGCGGGCCTGGCATATGGGTCTTGGCAAGTACATGGCATGCATAAAGTTTTCTAGCCGTGACTAATTTGCAATCCCTGTTTAGGATTAAATAAAAATCTGTATTATTGTGAATACATTCAATTAATTATTGCAACTAAAAAACACATGATTATCAATACAGAGAATATCAGCTGCTGTACATAAAACGATATTGGAACATTTTAAATGGCCACCTGTGATCATTTGACTTTCTCTCCACCTGGAAAATCCTGATTGAACATTGTTTCCTTGCAAAGCTCATTTGGATTCTGTTGAAGACTCTCATGCTGAAAACAGTGATTAATGTGTAACATTTAGACTCTTTTAAAATTGCTTCAATAATCCGTGTGACTATTCTTCCGCACCAGTGCTTTTGTAGATCTCAGTGAGTGGTTTGTGTTTCTCTCCTTCCTTTTCACCAGGAAAGTCTATCATGGTTCACGAGTTTGCCGCTAACACTGTCTGTGTGCTGCTTAAGGCTGACCTGTTAGCTTTGAGTGGGTTTATGAGCCCTTTTACACAAACAAAGCCATCGGCTGCAACTGGAAACAATGTTATATGGAGAGCTCTGGGTCGGCAAAACACTGTAATGCAGAAATCTTTATGGGCGCCTCCATGCATCAACGGCTGTTAAATTTAGTATCTTGGAGGGACCTTCTCATGTTGTGGCCCTGTGTAACCTGTCTTCTTCTTACCCCTAATGAGTCAATATAATATGTAATAACACAAGTGCCAGTCAAGCTACTCAGAGGTAATGAAAAATAACCTATAACCGCATCCAGGCAAAGAATTAAGAATCAGTTTAAGAGTTTTACTTTTTCCTCACTCGAGGAAACTTGAAATGCAAAAGCCGGGCCTTGCCGATTTGCATGATAGAGGGATGTTTTTTTTCAGTTTTCTATTTTCATGTGTCCAATTAGTCCAGGCAAAGAGCCGAGAAGGAGATTGTGGAAAAGCACAATGGATGGTTGCTGAGAATGATAGATTACAGGAGGAGAAGGAGGAGGGAGGAAGGAGGAGGTCCAGGATCAGAAACCTTCAACTACTAAATTGCAGGTGCTAGTCCTTTGAACGTGGAGAAGTGTGTGTGTGTGTGTGTGTGTGTGTGTGTGTGTGTGTGTGTGTGTGTGTGTGTGTGTGTGTGTGTGTGTGTGTGTGTGTGTGTGTGTGTGTGTGTGTGTGTGTGTCTGTGTCTGTGTGTGTGTGTGTGTGTGTGTGTTCATCCAGTGGTGTGGGAAAGAGTGTGATATATTTGTGTGAATTTATTCCTGCTGCCTCCAGTCTTCAGCTGATCAATGAAAAGGGAACCTTGCGACGCCGCCTAGTCACCAGTCACCATCCCTAGTTGCCACAGTAACAGGAGGTAACGACACATTTGGCTGAGCTGATGTTTATTTTTACTAATCTGACTGGCTCTGTTTTAATGGTGGAGATGTGTTGATGCCAAAGAAGAAGAAAGTCGTCATGGTGATGAAGTAATAAGCTTGCTGTCTTATGAGGACAAAAAGACAACATGTGAAAAGGAATAAAAAAATAAATAAAACTCTCCCATGTGACCCCTGTACCAGACTCATATTCAGAACATCTAAATTTAGATCAGTGGTGACTCAACTGCTGAATTATGTATTTTTGTTTACCTGGCTTCATGTCATCTACTATGTGGAAGGGATCTAACTGTAACCACAGTTGACACAAGTCAGATACTGTTAGCTGTTACCTACAGGTGTGTTGATGGTCTTCATTTAACAATGAAAAAGTGTGATTAGGGCAGGTTAAAACACTGCACTGGGGCACATGTTTGACGACAACACACTGATGCCAGAGGGTTGTACTACCAGGCAGGACTAAAGGGGAAGCGGGGTAAGTTGAGCCTCAAACCTGAGCTTTTACTTCCTGGATGGAATCTCTCTTTAAAACCTGTTAAGATTACTGGAGCACACCTAAACAGTTCTAAAGGAAGTATTTAACTTTTACAATTATTAAGCTGTATCGTTTCTTCATTAACCATATTTGAGTAAATTAGTTACAGTGGCGTACGAAACAACGCAGCATCGTGGGAATTTAAATTCAACCACATATAGGGCTTTCACACTTGCAGAAATCTCCTAAAAAAAAAACCTCCTGATATTTCCAGGAGGAGCTGTATGTGTGAACGCAAACAGCTGAATCTTTCGCTCGGACTTCACCCGCACTTTCTGCTGCGAGACCCCTACTTTTGTCCGCAGCAAGTCAGAGTGAGATGATTGGAGAATGCAGCAGGATATTATCCGGAGAATTCAGCTCGAGCCAATAGAAGGGGGGGGGTGTGACATTTATATCCTGTGACTGGAGTCACTGGAGTCCTCCTTTATCTAGATATTTTCAGGAGTGCACATGTGAAAATGGCTTTAGTGATGCAGGACATCGGATCCTCCCCATTATTAGTCCTAGAATTGATTCTGGTTTGCAGCAGGTAGTGAAATTAAAATACCTATTTACACTTTTTTTTTTTGCCAAGACTGTGATTTGAAAATACCTTTTTTTAGTGACACTTCAGTTCTTGAAAACGTTTAGAATGATCTTCATCAGGTAAGCGCCCAACAATAAGCTGTTGTCATGTTAAAAAGAGGCATTAGTAAAATAATTATATGATTATAAAAATGTCCACAATGAGAAGTTTCCTCACTGTATTGCCCTCGTCATATCCTGGCCTGGTTCTAGATCAAAATGACTTTGGGTGCATCTGAGATTAATGGGGGGTGCAGCTAAAGTGACCGGCAACAGCAATGAAAAATAGCACAGGATATGGGTCCTGGCCCACATGTGAACCAACAGGTCACATGCACCTGTCATGACCGTCAGATCTTGGATGTAATAAACACAATCTGAATCACTGATCTCAGTTGAAAGCCCTGATTACTTATTGTAAAAAAAACTGCCTTTATGAGGGTGCAGAACTTCTAACTGTAATCTTTTTTAATTATAATGACCTGTTGACTAAAGCAGACGGTAAATCACACATACACCATTTTATTGCACATGGAATAGGAACACCTGTGTTGACAAAAAGACAGTTGATTCCGCTGTCGTGAGAGTTTTACATTTTGTCTAGCCAGCTAAAGCATAGAAAGACGAGCCTTCTCAAACTTACTTCATAACCTGTGCTTAAGGGGGAGATTATTTTGATGCATACAGTGAAGAGGATTCGTTCAAATTTGAAGGCAAACAAACTTTTTTTCAAGCACTTAGCATCCACAAGTTTATGCTTGTAGTCTGGTAGACAATTCAGGCTGATTGAATATTGCATAAACACCTGACAGTAGGGGCTAAAATTGATCTTTATGATAAAACACAACACAACAGAGTGTGTAGATACTTTATAACCATCAGATTGTCTCTTCTCCCATTTGGTCCACTTTGCCTGAATGGATTCTCACTGTATTCATTTTTGTCTCTCCTATCGAGTGTATATGAGTACTTGTCAATGTCGCCTGTTGAGACAGTAATTCCTTTACCGTGTGTGTGTAGAAGTCTTTTTTGTCTTACCTCCAGGATTACATCAGTCCTGGACAGACAGCGTCCCCTGCAGAAGCTGACCTCCACGTTGTCAAGCCGACAGTCTCCCTTGGTGATGTTCCTGACCTGCAGGTAGCGACGACACTCTGGCACAGGCTCGCCTGACAGAGACACCGAGCAGAGTGAGAGGAGGGAGGAAAACGAGATAGGACAGAGTGAAGGGAGGATTCAGAGGGCAGAGAAAAGAAGACTATGAGAAACCAGAAGCGAAAAAATAAAAAAGTATTTAGTATGAAAAAGAAAGACAAAAGCAGAGAAGGAGCCGATGAGCTGCTTCCAGAGTGCACAGTGACATTGCCACGCTCCCTGGCAGCATGTGACATTTCTTCCACTGGGAGAAAGATTAAAGCCCCAATGTAGGTTAAGTAATGTATTCTCTCACTAATTGGGCACAGCAGTACTTTGCTTTTAGTGTCCTATATAACGAACTATAGAACATTCATATCAAATAAAGTGCTTTAGGAATTCATGAAATAGAACTGGGGACAGTGAGGTTTTTATATATTTTAGATTTTGTAGGTTTTGCATGAAGTAGAATGGCAACTGTTCCATTTGGTGTACATTATAATAGATGAAAAACATATTCTATGATATTAAAGCGTCAGTAGTCTGAATTTTAAAAAATAACTGTCTGCATGGGTAGCCATTTTCACAAATGCGTTACTGATCATTTCTAGAAAAGTTCAGATTGACCGGCAACTAAAAAAAACCTTCAGAACTTATTCACACATGCACATTCATTACGTGCACAGAGATCAACGGGTCAAGTGCCGGTTGTAGAAAATGAACATCATCAACCTCTTTCACTCCCTTTGCGATGAGATTTCCCTGCAGGTTAACACATCAGCTCACCCTGACCTCATAAAGGAAATTTAACCAGCGGGCTGGCAGCAAAAATTCCCAATAAAGTTTGGGTGAATGGACACGCACTAATGGAGACATGTCAGAGTGAGGGGGACGGTTAGTGCTTGCCATAGGGCATCTCGGCAGTGCTAAGGAAGTGAAATGGCACCTCTACAGCTACCAGATCAAATCCCCAGACTTGGTCCCCACGGTTCCCAACCCAAGTCCCTACAGACTGAGCAACTGCAGCCCCAATTCGGCCATTCAAATATGGATACTATCACAAACATTTCGGGGATCTGTGCATGTGTTAATAGAGCTTATGTTAAACTCACCAGGAAACTGCTTTCGACAGATCGGACAGCAGCTGCCAGGCTCCTCCACCTTGACCTCCCCCTGAAACAGAGATAACATAGATATCATGAGTTGCCTGTTTAGAATTCCGGTTGTCACTCTTAATGAAAACAGACAGGTGCATGACACGAGAAGTGATGAACAGAAACATCACATAACATCTAGTCATGTGAACAGTCACAGTCATTTTATTAGACAGTTCTCCTTGGACATAACACCTCTGGTAAACATGTCATTCATATGTCACAAACACACTTTGTGTGTGTGTGTGTGTGTGTGTGTGTGTGTGTGTGTGTGTGTGTGTGTGTGTGTATATATATATATATATATATATATATATATATAGTCCAGCTTTCTTCTTTGGAAAAGAAAAACACAAACCCTACAGACCGAGTGAACAATGCTTCAAAAACCAAAAAGACAGACACACATCTGAAAGGGCAGGGTAACGAATATTCTCCTTTTTTGTCTGTCATAAATTTCTGCTACATCTGAGAATACGCAGAGCAATACTTATTTAGGTTTTTCTGCTGTTTAGGAAGCCTTTTGCTAAATTGTAAAATCCATCCAGTGAAGAGGTGTTGAGAAACAAACCTGTCCATTTTGAAAACCTTTGTACTGAATTATTTCTTGACAATTCCAGAAGTCCCTTTGAATAGACTTATCTATCTGCATTTTGCTATTGTTTAAGCTTTTTTTTTTTTAAGTTATTATTGGCCTTGTTATTGTCTTTATCTGAGGGACAGGACAGAGGGACAGGAATGGAAATTGGGGAGAGAGAGAGAGAGAGAATGGGGAGTGACTTGTGGGAAAGTAGTCCACAGATGGGAATCCGACCTGGGCCTCCCGCCTCGAGGACTGCAGCCTCTGCAAATGGGGCAAACAAAGTAACCACCGGGTCACCGCTGTATTACCATTAATGCGGATGCAAAATGTTTGTGAAAAGCAAACTGGCTACTTTTCAGCATCAGAATCAGCTTACTGGTCAGGTATGCTCTCTCTCACACACACACACAAACACAGAAATAAATTTGTCTTCTGTGAACTGTGCTCTCGACGAACAAAAAAAGTACAACGTTAAATATTTACAATAAACACAATATAAGCAAAGTCAAGGCTAAATGAGACGATAGTGCAGAGGTGGGTAGTGCAAACATGTTAAGATAACAAGGATAATAAATATGTAATATGTAACAGATGGTTAATTGAGGTAGAGAGTTTTTACCGTATTTACATAAAAGGTGTGCATAGATTGATATCAAAGGAGGAGGAAATTAATACAAAAGTATGTAGATAGTTTAAGTTATTAAACCTAAAATGAGTTGCTATAGTCTAATGTACATTCAGAGTGGGTGTTTGGTGTCAGGGTTATTTCACAGTGACAGGTCTGACACTCTGTGACTGTTTAGAGTTCATCAGAGTGACAGCCTGGGAGAAGAAACTGTTCTGGAGTCAGGCTGAGGGGAGCAGTCTGAACTGTTTGTGACCGGGGTGTGTGGAGTCTGCAGTGATTCTACCTGCCCGTTTCCTGACCCTGAACTGCTATAAGTTCATCAGATTCATACTATTTACAAACATGAACCTATAAAGCAATGATTTGCTAGGTTTTCTAACTGTCATACAATCCCTGAAGGTTAAAAAAAAAAACAACACACTGTTCCTTCTTGGACCGTGAATATCTGTTCAACATGTTATGGTAGCTTATTAAGTATGTTTTCTTGTTAGCTTTATTGCTTTACCTTGGACTACTTTAATAATTTGTCTCTGTGTTACATGTTTCTCTTTAGAAGGGCCACTCGACAAGCCCCTCTGGGTTTATTTGGCTCCTCCAGCACATTTCTTTCAAAATGCATATTTTGTTAATTAACTAATCATTATGTACTTTCTGTTTTTTCCATTGATCTATTATGTTTGTTTTTTTGTTTTGCTTTTTAAGTGCAATAAAAATGGTAATCAATCAAATGGCTGTTGAGATATTTTAAATATGGTGCAGACTTGTGCAAAAACAACGACAAAACTGTTGAAAAATAGGACACATTGTGACACAGTCAGTGTGAACTGACTGTGTTAAAATACATAAACGAACACCAGTCCAAGTTGTCATTAATCAGAGTGTCATGTGAACCAGGAGGTGGGATCGCACATAGCAGAGGGGAATGAGGAGAAAAGGGGTTCAGAGACAGACGATCACACGAGCTTAACAGAAAAGGAAAAGAGCAGGAATTAAAAGAGCAAAAAGTCACATTTAGATCCAAAAATAGAGAGAGAGCGAGACAGTGACGTCAGGACACAAAGGACATGGACAGAGACAGCACGCCACTGAGGCAGAGAGATCCAGAACAGTCCAGAGACGAGCAGCGTGTCCCGTGGTGTTCCTGTCTGAGAATAGCTGCTGCTAGCATGCAAAGTCGAACACACACACACACACACACACACACAGGAACACTCTCCCTAACTATTCATCCTGCGGACTTGTCCTCCCACTCCTCGCACTGCCACCAGCCTTCCCTCAGGGGTGCAGAGAGCCCACTCACTAAAGAGTGGGAGGTCAGGAAAGGACCATTTTTAAGTCCTTAAGTGAAGATGCAGTATGTGTCTGAAGTGTCTTGTGTGTGATGCAGCAGGAGGTGAGAAAAAGGTGAGAAATGCCGAATCCTAGTTAATTACAAAGGAGGGGTATATGTCATGTAAAGTGAAGGTGCGTTGTTAACATGCGGTGAGATATAAATCAGACACTATAAATACGTCTGGTGCAGAACAAGAAGTAAGAGGAGTCTGTGATTGACAGCGAAACATTGCTTTCGTCACCAGAATTTGCTCTCCAACCTTTCAAAAGAGTCTCCCAGATGAGAGAAGAGGCATGCTGGGAGATTTCAACCAACAAACCATTAAGTTTAACTGTTAGGAGAGTCCTAAAGAACAAGATGCACTGTCAGGAGAGGGAACACAGAGTATTCCATGACCTTTTTTTATATTGGCCAGGATAAAGAGTGCTTTCCCTGACGGTAACTTAGTGCAGCTGCAGGAGGTGAGGGATTTGAGACTGCAAGCAGTGCATCGGCGTAGAGACCAGTGTACACCACAGGTGAACGCTCGCTAGACTGTCTGCTGTGAGCTTACTGTGCAATCAACCTTTCCTTTAAAGTCCTGGATGTCAGCAGAATGTATTTTTACCCTGGCCTTTATTCATTGCCGGTGTGCTAAAGATATAAATTCAGCTCACTGTGTCAAGGATGAGACAGACTTTCTGCTGTGACTTTTCTCAACTTCATCACCATGGAGATCACACGTTTCTTTTCTTTTTTTTTTCTCCATTGTGTAACCTTTTTATTTTAGGGGTTATTTTATGTGAACTTAACAAGCATGTTTGTCCTTCTTGAATACCTGGTATCTAGCTATGCAGCTTGTTTTGCTGCTATTTACCCAAGTGGCGGATGAGTAACAACTTCTTCAAACCAACCTCCAGTGGTCCAGAGTCAGAAATGTAGTTAGATTTAATATGCAGACGGTTTGAGATTTCCGTTAGTTTGTTTTCTGTTTCCACTTCATGTATATTCTATTCAAATGTTACATCCTACCTTGCTTTAGAAAACTATCAATACTAAAAAAAGACATTAAAGCACTGTCCTTCTGATGTGTTTCTTTCAATATAGGGAGCATTTTTTTGATTCCCAGTAATTGAGCACATGCATTATTGACACTAAGCTCAAACTCTCCTGCAAGATGACCAGCTGTTTACTTCCTATAGACCACAGACTGTAAATATTAATGGAGGAAGCCTGAGTGACGTCACTCATCTGTTACGGCAGGGCGCTCCAAAGGCTCATCCGCAGCAGCCGCCATGCTGGAAATCCTGTCTCAGCCTAACTTTCAGTCAACCTGACGACAGGCTGAGATCTGGAGCTGAGGCGGGTTTTAAGCCTCTTGACAAACCGTTACATCGCGCCCACCTTTAAATCATGTCAGCTACGCGCCTAAATATGGATAACATATATCAAAAAATAAAAACAGAGCCGTTTAAAGTCCTCCCAAGATGAGAATAAATAATGTTTTTTTTTGTACCAGGCTGAAAACATGTTTATTTATGCTGTAAAACCTTTTTTTTTTTTTAATTTGGTGTGTATTTGACTTCTGGTGATCCTGGAGCCTCAAGCAGACACTCCATGTACTGCAGGATTTTGCCCTTCCGCATTGGCTTCATTTGTCAACACCAGAGTTTCCTGCTTATTATAGACCCATGACTGAACAGCGTGTGCAAGACGAACACAGAGCGCTTATTTTTCTGTGAAAGAGCTGTCATTCTGAGTCATCAGCAATGACTGAGAATGATCTAGCCGCTAACCTGACCCTAGCTAATTCAAAAATGGAGCGCAACATTCGTACATGGAAAGAACAAATTCTGAATTTAATATTATCCGTTTAATGTCCATGGATTGCTGGTTTGTGGTTTGCACACAGCACTTTAATTTTTTCTCCCCTTTAATGGGTCTATTGGGGCCTTTTGCCATGGAAGTTGTAAATCACCGTGCACATTAGGCTGAAACAGTCGGTCGATGATTCAATAAGATGATCAATAGAAATGTAGCCCACATGTTGTTTCATTATTGATGAATGATTTAGTGAATTTGAAAGAAAACTGCCAAATACAGACTATATATGTATATAGTTTTATTTTCTCCAATCTAAGAGTGACTTATGTTTCCACAATTAGAATAGAATTAACTCAGTGTCTTTGTGTGCATCTGCAAAACAATTATCCTTGTTATTGTTACACAAAAAAGTTTTAAAGTGATGCATTTCGCTTCATACAACAAACACAGACTGACAAATCGATATTTGCACGTGCATTGAATTTAACATTAACAAACGTACTGATGCATGCCAGAACAGACTTGACTTGTTACCGCACATGACCTTTCACAATAAGATTTTCTCATTTCCTTAAACTGATTTCAAATTTTAACTTCAACATGAAGTTGTCTTTACATACAAAACATGTTGCCATTTATTTTTGAAAAACAGGTATCCACCTTTGCAGAAAAAGCTGAAAAACTCACCGATGCATGCCGAGAGACCAGGTTATAGGGTAGTAATGGGAGGTAAAGGCTTTAGAAAAGTGCAGGCTGGTGGGAGAATCCGACAGTCAGGTATTGATCTCCTTCAGACAGTGACTTGGAGAGAACATCCCACACACTCTTGAGGGAGCAGCATCTCACCCCCCCGCCCCCCCTTGCTCAGTGTAATCAAGGTGAGAAGTTTTGTGAACTGTACCACCCCACACAGGCAGTGGCTATTGAATGGACTGCTGTGTTGGTCTTGTTGACTGATGGCACCTCAATAATGAACTTTCATCTAATCTGTTTATCAGTGTAAGGTTGCAGTCACTCCTGCAGATCAGCAAATAACTGGAACTTAAGAGTAGAACAACCTGTCGGCCCAATTCAGTCAGTCTGAACTCAATAGTAAAGGTTGTCCATAAGATAAATGGGCGGATATATGTAAGGTCTTCTGGGATAATTACAAAGGTAGGAAAATCTTCTCGGTAATCGTTGCCTTTCCTGATATTAAATACTGTGGCAGTTTCACCTCTGGAAGCCTTTTAAAATCAGTCAACTGGAACATTCTGATAAGGGAAGATTGGTTGAAACGGCTGCAATGGAGAAATGGCTCTGTAATGACAAAGCTCAGTGTAAAGCGAAAAAAGAATGGCATCCGCTGGCCCCATAAGCTACACATCCCAGCATTCATATAAGGAAAGCTAGTTGGTGAAACAATGGATCAAAACTCGGTGCAAGGGCTGCATTTGATTGAATCTATCTCGCAATGATGAAGACACCGATAATTATTTAAGTGCTTTTACTCCTCAACTAAGTAAATGATCGTGTTGGCCTTGCAGACAAATCAAAGACAATAGACTAAACTCAGTATACAGTGAAGAATATAAGTCTATTTCTTCAAGTCAGGCGGTAAATTCTGACTCCTGCATAGCATCAACAAACCTGTGTTTTTTATTTTACAGCCATATAATGAACTGCATAGATTCTTTCCTTGAAAGTAGCCCAGAATGCAGAGTATGATTATGGGTTTGATAACAACACTTCTTTAGAAAGTAATCCAACTTAATCACTGCTAGTTTATGATGGATTTTTAGAAAAAAGTTATTTTTCTGTTGCGCTAAACATCAGTGCTTAACCCCGTCTGTCCCTGTCCAGCTGCATTCTGAACCTACATCAGACAGCTGCCCTTATCAACACTGAACAGCAATTAAAAACCTTTATTACTAAAAGCACTGACTGAAAATAATAAAGCTATTATAAAGACTCAATGGTCAACCTTTAACAGTTCGGCAGCTGTGTGTGCAACACATTAGCACCCAGCCATTTGTATTTCACCAGACAAGGATTTAAATGGGCTTAAAGTGAAGTTTAGTCCCACCCCCTATAAAAAAAAACTATGAGTGATCTTATTAATTTTAAATGTAGGACACAGAGCTACGAAAATTGTTCATTACAGCACTGTCAGAAAAAGATGATCACATCATTAACAGGTGCCCCAACACATTTCAATTCACATTGTATCCAAGACATAGGATTAGCATTGTGATACGTTGAAAGATCTCAGTGCCAGTGCACTACAAGTTGCCCCTGATTAACACACGGTATAACTGGGACAATAATAATAAGGCGGATATGAGTAGTTCAAATTTGAGCCAGACCGATTAATCAGCTCGCCAATAATAATATCGTCCGATATTAGCTTATTCAGTGACTATAGGTTTCGGCTCATTTTAAAGATGTATTCACCAGTCAAATAGCATTTCATTTGAGTTTCATTGTATTAAACTAGCATCTCTTTCACCAGCAGAGTGTGCTGTACGAATTACAACAAAACATTATTACTCCCCAGGATGTCAAGCGGTGATGCACGTACATGAACGGTTACTTTCCAGTTGAGTGACAGTCTTGTCTTCCTTCTATGGTATATCTTTTCAGCAAGTGTTTGATAACTGCATTTCAGGGATCAATGGGATAAATGTGAATATCTATCTCTAAAGAGCGAACACAAATCCAAGAAAGATATCGGCAGAAGTATCCCAATATCGTTATCGGCCCCAAAAAATGTCCATATCGGCCGGGCCCTTGTTCAAATACCAAATCGGACAGATGATCTTCAACGTAGTGTCAGTGTGTGTGTCTCACCTCATCACAGCGAAGTGGAGGACATCTTAACTGGCACAGCTTTTTCCCGTTCACACAGCGGCATGACAGACAGCCTTCATCCCACTCCGCTCCTGCCTGTCACAAGAGACACACACACACAATGAACAAAACAAATCGCACTCACATTGACTCACCAAAATGCAGGTGATATGAAGGTGTGTCAAAAGCCTGTTAGACTCTCCTTCATGCACATTCACTAATACGAGTGTGCATTATGTAAAACTGGACATATATTCAGGATCTATTTATCTCTTCTGGTTATACCCTTTGGCATATTTAAGTAATGTATGGCTTTAATGATGCTGTAATTACTACAACACATAATAGATACTTAAATTCTACATCATTAACGGTGTGAGTGTGTTGGCAATGGGAATCATTAACAAGGCTTGGTTTTTAGCCGTGTAAAAGCACCCACTTCGACAAGCTTTCACTACTCACATTAGGCGTAAGAGTCATGAGGTGGTTGATTAGAAAACCCAAGAGGGTCTTTAAATGGACATCAGTCGTCAATGTCTGACAGACGCACACCGCAGAAACAGAGCAGACAGACAAAGAAAGAACTAGACGGCTAGAATGAATGAAAGGGTTAGAGGCTGGTGGGAGACTGGTGGAGAAAAAAAAAAAGAAAATGAGCAGTAGAGTAGTAGTAACATTAATCCTGTAAATAGGGAGACGAGGGAATAGTGAAAGATAAAGCAGATGTAAAGGAGGGAAAGAAAGGAAACAGAGAATGAAAGAGAGAGTCCCGAAGAAAAAAAGATCAAGAGGAGCGGATCTGACCTCTTGTCAGTTTATGATTAATTCTTATAATCCTATAATATCCCCACCGTCATAAATAATTCCTGGCAGGCTAGCCCTGTTGCGCTCCCAGTGCCGGCTTTCTACGGCGCTACATACATAATTGATGAAGCCAAGGGCTGGAGAGGCATTGTGGTGTAATGTTGCCCGAGGGCATGCCACTCATCTTCTAATGGGCCCTTCTTTATGAGTAAATAACACAATGGGAGTGAATGGGAGGGAACGTAAACACCCCAATGGTAAAGTTCATACAAGCTACACAATAAGGCATGCACAAAAGAAACAAGCGACTGAGTTAGCTGGATAGCAGATGTCCGTTTACTTTGGGTTGAAGCCAGTGTGTGTGTGTGTGTGTGTGTGTGTGTGTGTGTGTTTGAGTACCTCTTGCACGATGCCCTGGTCATGGCAGGGGCAGAGAGCTGGAATGACACACACTCCCTCCGCGTTTCGATAAAGCCCCTCCTGACACACGCAGCCTTCGATGGAGTGGGTGCAGTTGACAGGAGAGGAGTAAATGTCCTCGCAGCTCCTCTCGCACAGCGGGGACACACTCCTCCTCCACTGCTCGCCAGCAGGACACGCTGCGGAAGAGGAGCGGGAAAGGATGGAGATGAGGGGAATGAAAATAAAAGGAAAGACGAGGGACGACGAGGCAAGACGGAAAGGGGACATTAAAAAAGAGATAATTTAAGAATGAGTTGTTCAGGGAAAAGGAGTTTGGAGGGTTTGAAGGGCTGCTGTAGACATGAAATGTGTGTATTTATCAGGTATTTGTCAGGTCGGTTTATGCTTGTTCTTGAAGTATTTCCTTTTGTGAGATTCAAGTGATCACATGAAGTTTGAAGATATTGCACTTGCATGTAGCCTCAGCCTTCAAACAGGGTTTTGTCGGATAAAATAATCCTGAATGACAACAGGACTAACTACATGTAACTCTAGTGCATTACAAGCACAAAGGTGCTTATGTGTGTATATCTTCTGAGTTCCACAGAAATAAAACAGGAGGATTTGTTTATGTTCACCTGGGGCATGCCGTTATAACCACAGACTGGCATTATAATATATTTTGAAATATGACAAATCCAAATACGGTCATGGTATATGTTGTCATGGTTTGGACTCTTTGTTTCTTTTGTTATTTTCAGTGTTCTTAGGTTAGGGCTTTGCTTGTTGTGTGTGTTTTTTGGATCTGTTCGTCCTGTGTTTCTGGTTTCAGAGGTGTGGAGGGTCCCCGAGCGCCTGAGGTCTTCATTCACAGCTGCAGACTGTTTGGCTCATCAACGGCAGCACTTTATACCCACCTCGCATTACAGCAAGCAGCCAGATTGTCGTCACAACTTTGTGGTATATATCGGCCTCTTAGAACCTTTGGAGCTTCTCGATTCTTCTGTTGGGATTCTAACTATTGTTCTGTTTTTTTTCTCTTCGAGTGTCTCGCTCTGATTGTCCCAGCGCTCCTGAACGCCGCCAGCCTCACCACTCACTTCAAGTCACCGCTTGCAACAGCTCGGATATCCTTTTCCCCCTGATTCTTCAAATTACCTTCTGCTACACGGACACTGTTTTTCCCTGCTTCATAGCCCGCAATAAACCTTTTTCAACCTTTCATCCTGGGTTTCGCTTTTCGGTTCAGGAGCAGCTGAACCGTCACAATTTTGTTGTAAAATGAGGACAGAGGTTTCAATCAATTCATGAAGCAAACAACGCAGAAATTGTACCTTAAAATTGTCTGCTAGCAACAGGTGTCAGTTCATCTGATGAAACACTCAAGGGTTAGGAATGAGAATATTTTGTCTAAACACGGGGCCCAGGGTCCAAACAGAGGTAGTAATTATGAAGCTGTGAATCTAAGAGCCTAAAAAGCTTAACAACAGTAACTACGGGTGACATGGTAGTCAAGTAAACTGTCAGTTATCACTCTATTTATTCTTAGAAGAAGCTGCGGCGTCCACACTGCCGAACATAAATCCCAGTTAATATGTGTTCCTATTATGTGAGCCGTCTCTTTACAAACTCACCACAGTCGGGGGCCGTGCAGGGGGTTGCGCGGTGGTCTGGGCCCTCACATTGGGCCCCCTCATACTGACTGGGCTGCAGGATGATTCTGGTGGAGCGCTGTCGCCCCGTACCACAGCTTGCTGAGCACGGACTCCACGGAGACCAGCTGGACCACTCGCAGTCCACTGCAGGAGACGAGAACGGGAGAAGAACATAAACACGTCAAGGTCTGTGGTGGTGATCAGTTTACTTTCATAAAACCTGCAGCATATAAAATAAGCATAATGTAATATACCTACAACCCGAAATTATGATTAAAGGAGGCAACACTGAGCACACTAGTCAACATTTCCTTGGAAGAGTCACTGTTTACCAAATTTCCACTATTGAGGTGTTGAGTAAACAGTTGTTCTCTAAATAAAAGAACTACTGCCAGAATGAAAAACACCTTGTTGATAATGACTCTGTAACACACTGCTCTCTGTGGAAAAAATAAATGCCCTGCATCAGAGGAAGACTGATAAAAACTGAGGATGGAGCAACACACACATTCAATCTATTTCCAGGGTTTAGGAGGATGCACTTTATGATGCTCTGCTCTCAGCCCCTGCTCTCTCTCCCTGCTAGTTTGAGATGGTATCATGTGTTTACGAAACAAAAAACCCCAGTAATGGCCTTTGTATGCTGTGACTGATGTGTCTGTCACTCCGTTATTTGAGCCAACTGCTTGCAGCAGCTGTTACTGACTACAGATAGGTCGACATATCTATCATCGTCCTGATAGTTCAACCAAAGACGACTGTTGCGGGAGTTTTTTTGTTGTTGTTATTGCTGAAAGAGGGATTCCCTATGATGTGAAAGACATACGTTAGGTAAGAACAGTTGTGACACCGTATCACTCACCATCACAGAGCTCGGAGGTACAGTGGAACGCTCCACGCCGGCACACACTGAGGAAAGTAAGAAGAAGAACAAGGGCAGGGAGGTTAAAATATCTGATCTCTGAGACATCAAACCCAGCCATCATGTAACACAGCCCAGCCCTTCAGACTATATTAACTGAATATTAAGACTCTGTGAGCGCGATAAAATAACCTACGACATGTCTGCTGCAAGCCAGACTATCTATTACATGTAACATGATTGGTGTTGGCTAATAAAGATCGACTGGGACAACGAAATTCAACTCTACTGATGCTCCGAAAGATTTTCAAAAATGAAGTCAAAGGTCAATTGTGGGGAATATTAAGCATTAAAATATTGTGGTATCTATGTTAATAAATATATCAGATAATTGATTTCATGCTTACTGTTTATTTTAACTTAAACCAACCTCCCCATAAGCCTCTCTGAGTATATTGCCGCTAAGACATTTTGTAACTCCTATATTTTGGTGTTAGGCTTTTACTTCTAATTCAGTAAACTCATGTATTTGTTCTTCAGAGCTCTCATTTGTGATAAAACCTCCGACATATGTCTTTTCTGTGCTGGTAAACCTTTTTTTTTTTTTTTTTTTTTAAATCAAGCATAAAAGGAGTTTGGAGGTTTTAATGGATGGGTAAAAATGTAAAAAAAAAAAAATCAAAAAAATTATCACATGAAGAAGACCTCTGTTCGAAACGTTGTGATGAATTTAAAACTTTTTGTGGCATTTGAGCAAGTGTGCGGGCCTTCTTACTTCTTTGGATGGATGGGTACACAAAGTGTCTGGCTTTGTCAATGTTCAGATAGTGCTTTTTTTTTTAAGCCTCTAAAGACTCATTGGAGTCTCATAATTGACTTGTAACCCCTTGACCTCACAAGGATTATTGTGAACATGACCTTTCCTAAGAATAACATGGCACAGTGAAATATTTGTGTCAATCAAATGTATCAAACTCAGTTGAAGTAATCATGCACAGTGGACTTTTCTGTATTGAATATTAGGTTATACTGCATTTATAATGTATCAAATGAAACTTAACAAGATAAACAATTGCTATATTTACAAAAAATTATTATGACAAATCAACTTACAGACTGAACTAAGATATCAATCAATGACCCAAATAATGAGTTTTCTCAAATAAACAGCGACTAATTGAATGAATTCCTTCTTACATTATCTTTCTCCCTTCCTCCCTTCATAAATTGTGTTTTTAAAGTGTTTTTAAGCTATTACTAAAGATACAGTTTTTAAAATGATGCTACATTGTCCCAGTATGAAGTGACGAAGGTTTAAGTCATAAATGCATTAGGACATGCTTAAAGACTGAAATAATTAATAAGCTCAATAATTTTCACTTCTTTCAATGCCAAATGTGAATTATTTGATGCAACAAGTGACAAGGTTTACCTAAATGTACAAGCGTTGTATATTAGTAAAACTACAGACTCATTCTGTGATCAGGCAGAGATTAACTCTTGACCATATCAACCACATAACACAGCCTCTGAAGAAGGCAAGCATGGTACAGATCCTTTAGGTAAAGAACAGACTGGCTGATCTGGTCTTAAAAAAACCATAAAAAGTCACATAAACTTCATTATGTTTTTCTAACACTAATATGCGTCCCTAGTCGGTCTACAAAAACCCCCTAAATATGAGAAAAGTCCATCATATCTGTCTTTTGCCTGCTCCACTTTTCTGAAAATGTGTGCAGGCCATAACCCCTCCCCCAGGTGGGTGACACTCCTACATCTGTGTCAAAACAAGTGTTTGACCTGTCCCCTGAGTCACTGTAAATAATAATATAGCATGGCGTGAGAAAGCACAAGCCACCCAAGCCCTTCCAGAGGGGCGTGGTCGAATACAGCTCACCTGCATTTATAGGTACAGACACAGAAACATCCTGTTCTGAGCAGGGCTGAAATACATGGCTTTAAAGGCATGATCAAATACAGAATTAGAGTGGATTTTTGGTGAGAAACTTTACAGACATGTTTTTGGGAGCTCTGAGACTTATGTAGAGTGGTTAAAAATGGTTTAGTGTATAACCATGTGTTGCAGAGGTGGTGAACGGCAGTCCCAGGTGGCAGCAGAGCTTCTGTGTCCTCGTCCTCACTGATGTTCCAGCTTCGGTAACCAGCCGGCAGCGACAGGGGCGAGCAAGGACAATCGTCATGGGAGACACAGGAGCCGCCATGCAACACCTATAAGGAACACAATGAGAACAGTGTATTGTCAGGGATTAAATATAATGCTTTCAGTGCTGTCACGCATGCACAAACACACATAAACACAAACAGATGTGTCCTGACCTGTCCTGTAGGGCAATCGCACCCAGGGGTGCAGGGTCCAGGTAAACACTGGGTGTGGGGCCACAGGTCCTCACAGGTATATGGGCAGGAACCTGAACAGTTATGATACACCTGTCCCCTGGGACAGTCTGCAACACACAGAAGAAAATAAACCTTCATGAATTCAAATATACCTAATTTATACAACCCATTCAAAATTAAAGGAACAGTGTTTTCAAGGTCACAACTGCTCTACCATGAAAGTTAGGTTCTGTGAAGTTATGTTATGTTTTTGGGTATATTAATCTTATGGATTTTGGTTGTTGAAAGTCTCCTGTCTTACCTGGAATAAATGCAACTATGCCCTGATATTTTTTTCCACAACATTGTAACCATGGCAACAAAAAACATTACATGCCCAGGTATATCCTTTAGTTTGATGGAGTAGTATATATTTCAAGCACGTTTTCATAAATATTTTACAATCTGCACTCATTGGCTTGATAACATTTGAGGTGACACCTAATAATAATAATAATACTACTTATGGGAGATACATTCATAACTTTCATTGATGTGTGTGTGTGTGTTTGTGCAGTGTTACCAGGCAGGCAGCTGTTGGTATTGCAGACAGTGTGTTGTTCAAGTGGTCCAACACAAGCCGCCCCACCAGGCTCTGACTCTCTGAGGACTGTCTTGTTCCGCATTGATGCCCCACCTCCACATGTGGTGCTGCATTCACTCCAGGGAGACCACTCGCTAAGAAGACATCCCACTGGAGAGAGACAGGGAGGAGGCAGATAGGGAATAGGTGGACAAAAACAAAGAACTTTGAGTAGTACACTGCCCTTTGGTCATTTGGTACTTTTTTTAAAAATTGTGCATGTGGGTGGATGTTCATTGTCAGACCTGGACATGTTGCAATCACTTCACAGCTCTCTGTCTGCATGGTGTCAGCACAGGAAGGACCGCCCTCTGTGTCCTGGCAGAGGCGCGTCCTCGTCCTCTGTCCACGTCCACAGGAGGCTGAGCAGGAGCTCCACGGACTCCAAGGCTCATAAACCGGGCAAGGGAGTTTGGTGCACACCAGAGTGCCATTCTCACACACACTACAGATGGCGGGGTGTTAAGAGGGGTCAAATAAAATCTTAATCATCGACATCTTGTAAAAAGTAAGGTAAATGAACTCTAGAGACAAGTATAAAAGGCATGAACAGGCTCGTAAAAAGTTTTTTTCAAATACAAAATTAAATTCACATAAACGCTTTTCTCACCAGGTGTTGCAGTCTACAGAAAGTTCCTCTTTGGGGTTAAACTCTAGTGTCCCATTGCCTGATGGGATTCCACAGCGACACTCTGCAACTGACACACAGTGGCCGTCCTGCAACAACTGTCCTTCTTGACACCGACAACCTTATGAATGAAATAAAGAATTTAAATGAAGGAGAATTTTGCTAGTAAAGAAACATATCCTTTTTTTTTTTTCTTTTTTTTTTTAAATGGTGCATGGAGAAATCAAAGTCTTTAAAGGTACTGTTCATGTGAGAAGTTAATGATCACCTGGGTGACAGGCTCCCTGGAGACACTGCACATGCTCCCATAAGTCAGTGCAGCTGCGGGGACATTGATTGGCACAATTCTCTTGGTAGGTCCGCCCCCTGTCCTCACAGCGCTCACCTTGGACAAAAAGGAAAATCAATCTTTTTCCACTCTTTGTAAATTAAAAGACAAGCACAGTCCATGCATGTGCCACATAATCTTTGTTGCAATTGCTAGAGTGGGATTGGAATGACATGATTGAATATCTTTAAAAAAATGATTTGGACCAAGTATACAAGTACATTATTTTGACCTGTGACCTGTTGGTTTATGTTTCTACTTGTACTACTTATACTTATATTTGCATTATCAAAGTGAGTTTTCAAACAGTTGTACCTGGGCAGAGTCCCGTGTTACAGCTCTGACTCTGGGTCTGTTGGCTCTTGCACTTCGGTCCCGGAGCAGAGGCCAGGGGCCATCTGAAGCGCTGTCGGACTCCACCGCTGCACGGCTCAGCGCAGGCTGTCCAGGCGCTCCACGCACTCCACTGACACAGATCTTAAAGGGTGAAATTACATTATTAGCCGCCATCAATTCTATTCTTGTTCTAATTACAATGACTGTAATAAGGATGATGACTTCTATAATAGCTGTAATTGTTGCATTGCTCATCATCAACGATAACAGACACAGCGGATTTATTGTGTTGTGGACTGGCCTGGCTGAGCTGGCAAGAGGTCTGATTTATACGTTAGAGATTTATCTACTTGTTCATATTGAATAGAACCTCTGTGTTCCTCACTGCGCATCGTTTGTATCAACAATGACGAAGCACAATACTCTACACATTTGAGATGCAATTCAAGCCAAAGGTCGGATTCGGATCCATTTCCATTCATATCCAAAAGGTGAAGAGAAGAATCAATGGGATGACAGAGTTGCAGCTCGAACACAAACAAAATACTAAATCTAATTAACCAAACATGTCCCCACAGATATCAAACTCTCCCTTTTTTTCCGACCTCTTTCCCATTTTCACTCCTTTGGAAAATAAAATGAATAAGGCTGCAGCAGAGATATAGAAAAAAGTGTATGGTTTGCTGCTGATTGTAAGCTCTGGAGTTCAATCAAAATAAAATACAGAAGAGATTTCTGACCTTAAGAAAACTTGGATTTTGTTTTCAGTTCTCCAAAGAAAATATTTAGAGTTATTTAGAATCAGCACTACTAGATAAAATGCTGCAACTTTCTGGCTATTTCTAAATGTGCTTAAAATTGTACCTACAATAACAATCAACTCCCTGCCAATTTGAGAGTTCATGCTTTATTCTGTAACCTCATCAGTGCAACCTCTACAACTATCTCCTGTTAGTTCATATTAGGGGAAAAAGAAACACCATGTCATCATATAGCATACATGTTTACATAACAATATCATAGTGGCTACGGTCCTATTTAATCCTTGAGTAGCCATTTAACTTGACAACATTTCCTGCACTAATCTTGGTGAGGTCATTGACTCTGAAGTGAGCATGAGCATCCACAATAGCACGATGATTAAAACAGTCTACTACCCTTTTAAGAAAAGATCAAGAATCAAATAACTTATTATTCTAAGCGGGACTTAGAAAACCCTCTCTATCGTCTAGATTCAAACACTGTAATGGAATCTTCACATGTCATTTTTTTTAAATCAATCAGGCAGCTACATCTCATTCAGAATTCTGCTGCTAAAGCCTTCATTAAGCCTGAGAAAGTGGAATACATCCATCCAGCTCTCAGGGGTTTCGCTGGCCTCATGCGTGTCAAAGAAGTGATCTTTCACTGGATGGTTTAGGACTGAAATACATCTCTGAGCTTCTGCTACGTTATGAACCATCAACATGAGCTCGCTGATCCTTTGGGACAAGTGTGGTCATTGATCAGAGGGTCAAAACTCAATACTTTGATGCAGCGTTCACTGTTGAACAGGAAGTGTAGAGGCAAAGCAAGACATAACCAAAACCGTCCTAATTAACGTCGCTGTCATTATCAAACAAGACCACCATCAGCATCATAGTCTTAATCAATATAATTAAGAGTGTAGGGGTTCATGAAAGAGCTGGGGCTTTATCTTTTTCTGAAAGGTCACGTAATATACTTCTTTTCAACACGATTAGATAAGTCCCCAAGACATGTCTGTGAAGTTTCTTGTACTAAATCCACTCTGATCCTGTATTGGATCATGCCTATAAACCCCTCTAGCTCAGCCCTGCTCAGACAGGCTGTTTCTGTGTCTGTACCTTTAAATGCAAATGAGCTGTGTCTGACCACGCCCCCTCTCTGGAAGGGGAAGTGGCTAGGGATGGCTGACCATGCCCTATTGTTTACGGAGAGAAGGCAGAGTCATAGGGCAAAACAAACACCTAGCTGTGGGGGTGTCACCCACCTGGGTTACTGCCCTTTGTGATGTCACAAAGGGAAAATCTCCAAACAGCCTGATCGAGAACACATTTTCTGAAAAGTGGAGCAGACAAAAGATGGAGAGGATGGCCTTTTCTCTTATTTAGGGGGGTTTGTTGACATGCTAGGGACACATATATGTGTTAGGAAACCATTGTAAAGTGTATTTTGCAAAGTATGTGACCTTTAAAGGTGCAAAGGCACTCTGCAGATGGAATGAATGGAGTCTGGTAGTTTGTTCCACCAATGGAGGGCGACAGAGGATGAAGAATATATACAGTGTATCCTGTTTAATTCAATTATTTTAAAACTTTCATAAACTTTTCTCTATCCTTTTCACTGTGTGTTTCCATACTGGTTTGTGTCTTTTATACAAATTATTGTAATGCATTTTGTTCAGTGTAAAGCTCTTTTGTTAATTAATTAAATTCATTTTCTTGCCCTTGAAAATGGCTTCACGAAAAAATATGCCATTAGTACAGCCCTCCATATTTATGACGTGCAGTATTTTCCTCTCTTTTTACCAGAATAAGACATTCAGCACCACTCTTTGACCCAGTCTGTTATTCCATTGTTGTTCCTACACTGTCATGCTTGTCTGCCTCTGAGTGGTTCACTGCATTGTCAGTTTACACTGTTATGATAGGAGCAAAGTGTCAAACTTCTGCAACATACGGAGGGGAACCAAAACCAAAGGGTGAACCAGAACCAAAACATTCATTACTTTTCCTTTAGTGAGGAGTGAAAGGACCAGCTGGAGCTTAAAAACGGTAGACTGAGATAGAGAATTTACTTTTTGACTGAAATAAAGAACTCTCTTGTAAAATTAGACAAATACTTTTACCTCTGCAGATGCTTGCATCTGGACAGAGCCTCTCCTCTACAAGTGGTCCCGGACATTGGCTCTCCTCTTCCTCTTTTGGGACTGGGAAACCAGAGTCCAGGTCCAAACAAGCCCGGAAACGCCTCTGTATTGAGAGCATTTTAGCGCTGCTGATGAGTTCGGCTTGAAATTCGCTTTGCAGCATGGAGGAAGAGGGTGCACAGGGAGAACAAGGAGTCCACTGTGACCACTCGCTGAGGATGACTGAAAACAAAATGAAAAAAAAACAGGAGATGATATTTCAACTGGAGCTCTTTACCTAAATCTACACTCTACATTAATTGATTTGCTTTTGTACCTTCACACTCTCTCATGTCACATTGCAAAGTTCCATCATGGCAAAGGCTGGAAGAGAGAACAGACAAAAAACAAAAAAGTTATAATTACAATGTTTCACACTGAGTGATAGCTCCCAAACAATCCAGCAAGGGAGGAGAAATAAGCTGAGAGTATGGTTACTTAGTACACATTAGTTTCTCTAATATCCTGTTTAATAACGGTTGACAATTTAACTACTGTGATATAAAAGGTCACTGATACAGAAAACATATGACCCTCTCTCTGCCAATGTGGGTTATGAAAATATTATAACCGGTTGAATCAAAATGTAAGGTTTTGTGATTACTCAGCCTTCCACATGTGTTAGTGTTTTCTTTACAGTATGATAGCAAAAAAATACTTCAACAACTTGGCCACAGTATCGCAAAAAATTGAGCCTCAGGATATTCCAGAGAATTCACCTTGAGCCAATGGGAGGGGATTGTGCCATTTATATACTGTGATTATGCATGGTGCATAGAGTGTATACATGCAACCGCTACGATCTGCGTGCATGTTATTAAACAGCTGCACTCTGTTCGTCAGTATGTTCTTCTCCACTCTTTTGTTGATAGTATGAGTCCATTGAAATATATAGCAATATACGTAGCATTGATATAAAGGCAAATATTCTGATTATGGCGTCATGAAGTGGACTCTGTTGCTTCGTCCACTAATTCCGCGTCGTTTATTAACATCATGTCTTCAGGACAGTGGACCTACCAAGTACTGCAGCCGATGGTGACAGTGCCACCCTGGGGGATGGTCACAGGTGTGGGTGGTTGTCCTGACGCCTGGTCCTGAAGGTGGACACAGCCACACTGCTCGGGGGGAACGCATGTTCCATTTTGCTGCAGCAGACCCTGGGGGTGAAAAGCAGTCAAAAATAAAGCGTGGACATGTATCATGTTTTTTTTTTTCATTTGGTCTCTTCCCTAAATAAATTTCGATTTTTTTTTTCAGATTTTAGACTTTTAATACTTTGTTCATAAAACATGATATTTGAATACTTAAGTAGGGTGGTCATGATACCAGAAAGATAATAATATACCACTTCAACTAAATAAAAGTCCAGGGCACCCAGTTTTGTTTAATATATTGTGTTTGAGCACAAAAAATTGCAGGACACGGTCTAAATTTCACACATGTATCAGCAACCTTTTTACATTGCCCACTTATTTTTGTGATCCGTCTTCCTGACAGCTTTTGGTTCAAAATGTGACCGATTATCTTGTTTTTTTCTTATAAGTATTGATGATTAAAATAACAGATTTTATCATTTTAAAACACATGGTATTAAACTCCAGTGTGGTGACATCTTCTTACACTTAATGATAAAGTTTCACGAGCACTGTGTGACCAAAATGAGAACTTATGCTGCAGGTGAAAGTATTCAATGGGACATAAAAGCTGCTTTTTGTTTCATATTTCATTTCATCCCCCCTCCTACAGCTGTATGAGCCAGTCATCCATCTATCACAAAGGATTGTTCAAGTTTTTGCAATAAATCAAAGCTTGAAACTTCCAAACTGGGTCAAATAACATAAAACTATCATTGCACCTAAAGGCAAAGTGATGTATTAACAACAGTATTATGCCCAGCACATTTCCCTCTTGAAATTCATGCTAGTATACTTTTGCCCAGGTGCATAATGCACTGTTGAAATGTTGGCTAGATGCAAATCCATACAAAGGTTGCAAAACACAGAAGCTTTTATAGTGGTTTTACTGTTTGTCTGTTTTTTTAACTTTGCATTTTATTGTTTTACAACTCTGCATTCAAGTATACTTATTTTAGCTTTCGTCAAGGTTTGATGGACCACATAGTATGTAAATTACACCACCCAAAAAAAAACGATGACATTGAGGCAGGCGGGGAATCGTTGGAGTGATTCTCTCTGTAAATACACCCCCACTGAAAACAAAATTTAGAGATGACCCAAGTCAAGATGAATGGGCGAAACTAACCTGACAATATGTTACGAATGACCTAACGTATCAAAGTCTAATTTAGATGACGTTTTTTACATCTTCCTTTTCTAGCAGTCTTCAACGTAACATCTGGTTTTTCCACGGCAATGACAGTCATGTCATGTCCGCCATGATGGCCGCTGTGATTAGACACGTCCCGTTGAAACTATAAAATGATTGCTTTGATAACTGTTTGAGGTAATGAAAGTAGGCTACTCAACAAAAACTAAAATATATATAATATAGCATGAAATAAAGATATTGCATATAATCCTAGACCCTTTTATATCCCAGGTGAAAATTGTTAAGTATTGTTAAATTTCTTTCACCACCCCCCCCCCAAACCAAGTGTGGGTAATATAAATTTAAAGACCATAAAAAAGTGTAATTTCAAAATGTAAATATGAAAAACGATAAAAAACATCAAAGAACAAACAACATGATGTAATGAAAGCAGAAGTTATGTTCTTCAAGTGTCTCATCTACATATTAAGGGCTAGAGTAGCATCAGTCAGTGCTGTTCCCCTTTGGGAGGTTTCCTACTGTCATTGCAAACTTTGCACCCTTCGAACCACTGCTGTGGTAAAAAGTTTCTTAAGCCCTGGAGGGCCCATTACTGGCCTGTGGCTCCAAGGAGTTGCCTGCCTTGCCTGTTGACAAGCAGTTTGTCACGGCCCTTGAGCCAGGATATGACAATCAAATGTTTTAAGGCTTAGAATTAAGATTTGAATGATAAACGTTCACTACAAGGGATATTTGTGACATTGATTTGTATAAGAAAACCCATCATCGCTTTACATTAATTGCATTCAATGGTCTAAACTTTCTGACATTCATCAGCTATCAGGATTGTGCCTTTGCCTTAACAAAATGTCATAGCCATGTTCAGAAAAAGGGACATGATATCTGTCTGTAGACAATGTTTGGATAGGATTAGAATGATCCCATACAGGTTGTTTTTCCTTGTGAGTAAAAATCTGTTTACCATTTAAAAACAGAACAGGGCTCATAACATATTTACCTGGGGGCAGTAGCAGCCAGGTGTGCACTCCTTGACACCTAAACATTGATCTCGATGGCCCTGCAGCGCACACTGCTTCTCACAGGGTGCACCACATGCTGAGAACACAAACGGGGCTTCACAACCTAGAAAAACAGGATAAAATATTAAGTCAGGAATATGAAGTTTCTTATAAGCCACGTTTCTTTCAGAATGGTGGTTTACTCACTATCACATTGACTCAGACTGCATGTCCTGCTTTGTGTTTCAACAGGAGTGCACTGTTGCCCCCTGGTGGCTGGGGAGAGAGCTACACGGTAGCGCTGCTGCTTCTGAGACTCACAGGAACACTTGGACCAAACACTCCACTGAGACATGGGACAGCCTGCAGGAGCAAACAAATCAATTATTCCGCTGCTGCCGGCAACAAACACATCATGGTACTTGTCACTTACTTGTACCACTTGAACTTGTACTCATGAGACGCTGAGCTTGTCCTTACAAAGACAAGCTCCTCTAATTTAGAAAGAAATTAAATTTCCCTTTTGAAGAATCATTATTAAATCAGTCTTAACAGCACCAACTACAAAAACAGAATTAAAGCAAAGACGAAAATTAACTCTAAAACAATGATGATTCAACACTAATAATAATAAAAACACCAATGATATGGGATCAACCGTTACAATAATAAATAGCTGAAATTAGGGGAGGACAGGGCTGGAATTATTTCTTTATTTACTTTTTTTTTCTACCAATCAAAACTCCTTTTTTTTTTACTCCTGACACTCTTCACTTAATCTCAAGTTCATAAACACTTACTGACAGCAGTTACAGCATCCCAACACCAATTTAAACCATCGGGGGGGGGGCAACATAAAAAGCCAAAGTTATGTTTGTGGCAATAATAATATTATGGATTTCCACTGTGAATCATCTTAATGATTGATTGTTTGAAAGTTGAAATAAGTGATGGGCTCAACTTAACCTGGGATAAACCAGTCTTTAAAATAAGAGCATTGCAAGCTACCAACTACTTGAATGAATGAATAAATGAATGAACGACTTCATTTTGAACCAAAAGTTTAAATAAGATAATAAAAACAAAAAGGAGGAGGAAGAAGTAAAACCTTTCTACCCCAACCCCTTTTGTCACATTTATTTTATTAGTTATAAATGAGTCCAACACACTTAAAGGGCAAAGTTGAGCCACAGTTGTCTTCCCTATAAATTAAAGTTTTGCTTTACCAGGTGAAGCTTTTGGCAAAATTAATCAAACTACGTAAAAAAAAGCAAAACAGCAAATGACAAAAAAGCTGCTCTAATTAGTTTTTTCTGAAACGTGCTCACTTGTTCCCAGGTTGAGACAAATATTACATGGTTCGAAGTTTTGTGTGTACACACCTGGACAGGGCTGTTTGTAACACAGCTGGGTCTCCTCTCTGTTCCTCTCGGCCTCGATCTCAGAGGGGCACGCTGCATCCCCGCCTTCCTCACACACACACACCCTGTGCCGTGACACAGAACCCGCGCCGCAGCTCCGGGAACACGGTGACCATGGCGACCAGGGGCATAGGTCATCTGAAGACATGAGGTTCAATTTGATCAGAGTGAATCAATAAATAATCAAATTACATACATGTATGTGTTAGAATATTAGAACTTCAAATGATTAGTTACACAAAGATTTACAGACAAGGACATGAAACTAATGTGGCCTTTCTTGACAAACCTAGACAGAGAGGAGTGTGACAGTCCTGTGTTTCTCTCTCTGGCCCGCTGCACTGAGAGCCGTTGTTGCGTGGAGGAGGATTGATACAGGCGTGGGTTCGCACCTGTGTGCCCCGACCACATGTCACTGAGCAGTCCGACCATACTGACCATGGGGTCCAACCACCATCCACTAGAAACAACACACATGATTAAATCAATCAATACGTTTACTTTGAAGGCAACCTGACAACAAGGGAACTAAGTTATGACCAACATGTCAAAATTAGACGTAAATCACGAGACGTAAAGATTTTCTCCGGACTGTAGCCCCTATCGCAGCTCACTCTGTAATGTGTCTTTCAAATGAAGGTATTGACCCACCTCTGCAGTCAATGTCTTGGCAGTAATCTCCCTCTGGAGTGCATGTGCTAGGAGGCAAAAACAAATGAAGACAGTAATTGAAATGCAGAGTTTTTTTCAAGTGTTTTAAGTGTAAATTTGACTCAAGTTTTGAACTTTCAGCGGCAGAATCAGTATTATTTGACTGCGTTATTTGCATGCATCTCACCATTGTTTACACTCGCCCTGCAGCCAGGTGTCTCCCACATGGAGCTCCCGGTTGTCATGGAGACAGAGAGGTGGGCAAAGTCCTGGGTCGCAGGATTTATGCTGGACTTCCTCAAACTGGCAATCTGTCCCTTCACTCTCTGGGATCTGTGACCTGAGGCACAACAGTTACACAGGACAGAATATTTAGAATAAACACACCGAACAGGAATGAATATTTAACAAGTTTGGAATAATAAAAAAAAAATATAGAATATTAAACAGTATTTCTGAGTTTCTTTTCTGCACACCTGTATCTGGTTCTTTGGCCCTGCCCACAGGAAACACTGCAGGACGCCCAGCTGGACCAGGAGCTCCAAACGCAAGTGGAGTGGCAGCTGTGATTGGTGCAGAGGAGCTGTCCGTCAGAGCAGCTGCAGTTGTTACAGTCCACCTGGTGCAAACTGCCAGCTGCCCAAATCTGTCCCAGTGAGTCCACACAGTCACACTGCCACAGCTGCACACACACTCCGTCCTGTTGCAGTTGTCCTGGACACACAAAGGGTCACGCTTAGGGTCATTTGACCAAAATACTAGCAAAATACATGTTCTTCATGTGAGCTATAAACAGATCCTTTTTGTTTATTTAGTCCAGATTTGGAGATATATGAAGTCTGTCTAAGGTACAAAAATAGGAGAGGAGAATATTCATCTTTGCAACTCACAAACTCAAGAAACTGAACTTGAATAATGGACACAGCAAGTCCACAGCCATTGTTAACTGTTTTTGAATACTAGTCCAGTATTTAGTTTAAAAAAACTCTGCAAATTTGTCTCCTCAATAAGATTTCTCAAGATAAGATCTTCATCAGCGAAGTCAAAGGGCAGGTGATGTCATTTTGACACATTGCAGATATGCGTTGTGATGTCGAAACCAGAAATTTCCCAGAATTTTTTTTTTTTAAAACGCAGCAGGATCCTTGACACCTCCTCGGGCTGTTGTCGAGGAATTCAAGTGTCCTGGCATGACACCTGTTCTATTCTTCTCCTGATGCAAAATGGTGTGGCAGAAGTGTGTGTGTGTGTTAGTGAAAGGATGAATGAGCAGCAAAAAAAAAAAGCTCACAGCTACAGCCCTAGTTGTAGTGGAAATTGTTGACAGTGAGCTCATATGATTGAAGAAGTATTCCGTACTTTTTTGTTGTTAAGTTGAGTTTACCCTAAAAGCTTAGTTTAAAGGCAATTGTAACACGACAGTGGCATCAATTCTAAATTTGGGATAAAAGCATCTCGGCTTATTCAGAAACAGCTTGTCAACACAGGCAAACTCACAGACACTTTTTTGTGCCAATCTTGTGAATACCAGAAGTCACATAATCTGAAGGAAAAAAAAACACTCAGATAAGCAGACACACACACACAAACAGGCTCATCTGTTAATAAACTGATATTAGCATCAGTGCCTTCAGGGCAGCGACAGCCGGGCTGACATTCGGTGTTTCCTTGGCACTCGATTCCCTGCTGGAGGTCTGAGCAGCGCTGTGGGCATTGGTTGGCACACAAGACGAACTCCTGGCCTGGCGGGCAGCCTTTCTCGTCTGACAAAACACAAACAGAAGGTCAGGAAATCTTCTCATGAAGCCGCAGGCTATAAAGTGCCCCACAAAGAATGCTGATCGCAAACTGGGCTGAAAAAGACTCGCTTAGAAAACCAGCCTTATCAAAATCAGAGGAACTTTATTCATCCCACAGTGGAATAATACGTTGAGTTCAACGACTATTGATTTTAGCGCAGGATGAACTGCCCTTCGGGTCAAAACTGTTGGGTGTGTCTCACCACAGGGTTTGGTGTTACAGGGTTTGACCTGGTTCTTCTCTCCTTTGCACTTCTTGCCACCGTTCTTGGGTGGAGGGCTGGAGCAGGTGCGGGTGCGTATGGAACGCCCGCCACCACAGCGCTTATCACAGCGGGACCACGGACTCCAACGAGACCAACCTCCATCCACTAAAGCATTCAGACACACAAACATGGACCTCTTATAAATATATACACACACACACAACATTAGGTAGGTAGGTAAAGAGTAGAACCCGACCAATATGGGATTTTTTGGGGTCGATACCAATATTTAGCTGATATCTTTCATTAGATCTACCCTCGATATTTAAATCTTTAGAGATCTGATTGATATAGATACACACACATTTATTGCTATGATCCCAGTTTTCATCGTCTAGTTTTATTGCTGTTAAAGTTAAATAATTTTAGTTGTAGGTGTCAGAGGATTTTGAAAGTCTGTTTAACATCCCTACACAAAGACGACCCCTAGGAAGTAAGTGAAAGACCAAACAAAACTTGAAAAACTGAGACTTGACAGACCCCAAATCCACGCAGACATTTCCCAAACATGTTCATTTGAAAACTGCAGACCAACTCAACCATCTCATCAGCTAGCTTGCCTCTGCAGGGCTTGATGTTACAGAAGCGATGCTCCTGGTTTCCTCCCAGGATGTCTTCACACCAGGAGCCGTTGGTCCCCGGGCTGAGGAAGGTCCGGATCCTCTGCTGCTGACCCACTCCACAAGACCGCGAACAGGAGTTCCAATCGGCCCATTCTGTCCAGGAACAGTTTTTCTGTGCACAGCCGCCCCCTACGCACACTTCAGATCCATCTGGGAACAAAAGAAATATGACTACTGAAGCTGTCTTTAGGGTTTACAATGACTTCAATAAATGATTGGTTCTAATCATAGTACTGCCGCAATGTTTAATCATGACAGTCCCAACTAAACACAGAGCTACTTTTCAACACCGCTCAATTTGATTTAAGTTTATTAAGTTTGTTTGAAGGCAGAATAACGGCTGAAAGATTCAAAAGAAAAATATAATTCATAACCGACATTGTCTCACTACCATTTTAATAATGTTCCCTCGCAATTTGAACACAGAAGCAGAGGAATTTCTGACAAAACTTCACCAACTACAACTACTGCATGAAGAGCGAGAGGCTTAGAAGAGGTCAAAAAGCTCCTGCTCTTGTTGGACCTCCCTCACCTCCATGTCATTTAGCCAACAAACCTAACCAGGCCACCTTTGCATGCGCCCTATTGGCTGAAATACATATATGTGGATGTATTTGATTGGCTGTTTTTACCTTTTTTGAATTTTTGTACCTTTCTGTCTCTGACCCTGATGAGGGCCACAAACCGAAACGCGTCGGTCCAATCTTTTAATAAAGTTGATTTTCGTTCTACAAGTGTTGCTGGAGCTTTTTGACCTCTTCTTACACACACACACACACAGACACACAAACATGTGGTATAATTATGTTTTCTCTACATTCCAGATATTCTTGTTTGTTTGTGAAAACTTTTTTAATCAGCCCTTTGATGGAATAGAAATTTGGGATGAAGGCAGACAGCTGCATATCTCCGGTTTAGATGTGACTACATTTAGATCTTGGGTACGAATGAAACGTCCTCATATTCTCAAACAATACAGCTTGCTCATACTGATCTTTTTCATGTCTGAAGAAAATGGCAATTCCCCTTTAAAAAGCTGTTCTGTCTTCTCTGCGATAAGCATGAGAGAAAAAGAACAAACCAAGCGACAATACAAATAATCCCAAACATCAAAGCACACAATGTTTTGAAGCTCAGTTTGTGTGGAGATTAGCTCACTTCATGTTCTCTCTCACACACACTGACTCTACATAACTGAATGTTTCCTCTTTTTTCGGACATAAGCCATAAGTACACATAGTATGAAATCTGTCACACATGTTTCTGAGCAGTGCAGGGCCACCTGCATCCATAACTGGGAACTCAAATGATCTCAAATTGCTACTGAAGTATTGATCATTTGTAGTTCCTGTAGATGACTGACTGGTACATGGACAGTTAAAACAGCCATCACATTATCTGAAAGCAGCAAAGAGAGAGAAACGAGAGGTTGTACCTGGACACTGGGGAAGGTTACAGGCCTTCTGTTGGTGAGAGCTTCCAGAGCAGGGAGGTTTCTCACACTGTCGATGGCGGGACTTCATGGCTGGGCTCAGAGCATCAGTGCATGTCTTAGTGCAGGGACTCCATAATGACCAGGGAGAGAAACCAGCATCTTCATCTGCAGAACATCAAGGACAAATGTAGGAAATATAGGAAAATATATAGAGTTCTTTCATCACTTGACACAAGATCTCAGGGGCAAGTGAAGAAAAACAACTTTTTAACCAACCCTTTTTTTTTTTTTTGTTGATAAAAACTATTTATTAAGTTTCAGTTACTTACAATGGAAAACCTTGATACTTTCTCAGCCCACTACCCTTTTTTTTTTTTTTTTTACTTTTTTTTCTTTTGCAGATGAAGAAAACATTAAAAGGGTTAATTTACCTGGTACAATTGGTTCATCTGTAGGACCAACAACAACTGTAAACAAAAGCAAAATTTAACATTAGTATAATCTCAACCATTAAGTATGAAAGATACACAATTCCCCTTTATTATCACATATGATTTAAATGTTAATTGGTAAATGGACTTGAGCTTGTAAAGCGCTATTCTAGTCTTCTCAAAGCGCTTTTACACCACAGGTCACACCTACACATTCACACACTGGTGGCAGAGGCTGCTGTGTAAAGTGACCATCAGAAGTAACTAATCCATTCACGTACAGCAAGAGCAACTTAGGGATAAGTGTATTTCTCAAGGACATGTGGTTGCATGAGCTGGGGATCGAACCCCTTTTGGCTGCAAGACCACAGGCGCTCAATTTAAATTGATGTAGACACATGAATTCTTACAGTACCAAACAACATTTTTCCCACTGTGACAACAGTTAATTTTCCTCTCCATTCTTCAACAGATCCTTTAATTATAGAGCTTACTCTGCCTTAACTAGTTCCTTTACCTGGGCAGTCTGGTGCCTGGCAGTAGGTGGTTTCCTGCCGTGCCCCCTGGCAGTCTCTCCCTCCATGGGCAGGTGCAGGCTGTGTGCAGCCCCTGGAGCGAGTCTTCAGTCCTAAACCTCCACAGGACAGGGAGCAGGAACTCCAGGAGCCCCAGGGTGACAAACCTCCATCAACTGGGCAATACTCCAAGGAACAGTTCCACCTGCCATGCTCACAGCCGCTGCAGGAAACACAGGGGAGGGAGATTTAGTTGCTAGTGGACTTAACAGTTTTACTATGAAAGCAATGCCAATAATATGATGAAGATGATGAAGTTAAAGCTCAAAGACATAGTACATACATGTTTTATGTTATGCACCAATAGGGAATTCTTTGAAACAATTTTTTTAGATTTTCAAATGGGATATCTAATGTCAAATCATTTCTGGTGATTTATGCTCACCAGGTGCTACAGTCATGGACCACAGTGTCTCCAGGCTGAAGTTCCACTCCCTCAGAGATGTTATGGAGGAGCAGAGATGAGATAGGTGAGATGGAAACACTTTGCAGAGAGGCCAGAAACTCTTTGTCTACCAGACATGGACACTCCTGAAACAACACATTACAAAATGACGTTTTCTAATGTCAACCTTTTCTTCTTTTGTGTAGCAAGCAAGAGGTCGGCAGAACTCAAATGCATGACATCAGAAAACTTCAGTTGCTCAGATGGTGATGAACCCACCTGCATACATGCTCCTTGATGTTGATAGGTGTTTTGGGGGCAGTGACAGCCTTCCTCACAGCCATCAGAGTAGCATCCCTCCCTGCCGCTGACCTGAGCGCAGCTGAAAGGACAGCCTTCACCTCGTTCACACTCTCTGTACAACCTGCCAGGAGGGCAGCCCACTTCTGCACAACGATATGATGTCAGTATGGAGACACGGGTTTAACATGCTGCCAAACAATATATAGGAAAGGAGGACTCACCGAGGCAGACCTGGGTGTTGCAGGTCTTACTCTGGCGACTAAGGCCGCTGCAGGGTTGAGAGCTGCAGACACGAGAGCGGGACTGCTGTCCTCCTCCACAGCTGACCGAACACACAGACCACTTGGACCAGGGGAGCCATGGACCCTTGGATTCTGCACCGGAAAAGCAGAATGAGAAGTAAAGACGCAACTGCATAAAAAGTCAAGAATATCTTTTTTAAATGAGCAAAAGGGATGGAAGCATCTTTTTTTTTTCCCAAGGGTGACTCAAGAACTAAAATCTTCAGGAAAGCTGAAGTATCACAGACGATTCTTAGTTGTGTTTGTTGTTGTCGGATACCTGTGCAAAGGTGGATGTTGCAGTCTTTCTGCTGTTCCGCGAATCCCAAACAGCCTCTCCCACCGCTCTGAGGAGTCGGGTTATTACAGTGGCGTCTTCTGAACTTTATTCCTCCTCCACAAAGAAGTGAGCAATCAGTCCAGGCCCCCCATTGGCTCCAGCCACCATCAACATGGCAACCAGGGACAGAGTGACACTGCAGAACCCCAGCATCGCATGAACTGAAATAAGAAGGGCGACAAATGTTTCATAAATATCTGTATATATTGTGATCATCAGACTGTTGTCGCTATCCAGGAGTGCTGTACCAGTTTTTGCAATCACTGATGATGGTGTCTCCAGGATATGCAAACTGCCAATCAGATCCACCCGGCCATACCCATGATGCATTAGTGGAATCAAGCCCGTTGAATGTCATTTCTATTTCAGAGACAAAAATAAATCGATTAGATTAAACACTGTCCACCTTACAATGGCATCACTTCAGTATGCAATGCTCTCATGAACAGATTGTGGATCTCACCAGTAGAAGAGGTGTTGTGGTATTTGCAGCGACACTCCTCCCTGGTCACACACACTCCATCCTGCAGAACCATGTCACCCGGACAACCGCAGGTCTTTTGGCACCCGGGGGAGTCCAAGCACTCTGTGTCACCATGGAGATCCGAGCAAGAGCGAGGACAGGACTTCCCACAAGGCCATTCCTCCTGACCGCCGCCGCAGTCTGCAAAACACAACAGGAAGTTTAAGTTTGAAGGAAATAACACACAGAGGGGAGAAATAGGATTTTTGGTCGGATGTGCTTTAAAGGAGTTTTATGTTATTTAGAAGACAATTTGAAAGCAAAATTGAAACCTCCAATGGCTAGAGCCGATTACTGGTCCCTAAACGAGGAGCTACCGTTTTAAAGCTGGAATGAAAGCGCTTCTTGACTGGGAGTGAGTAAATGAAAAGCATCGCTGAAATGTATGATTGTTGATGAGTGTTTGATTTCTCCCTCCCTTTTTTTTTTTTTGACGGGGAGGGAGTTATCCCTGATAGTATATCCCACCCGTGTTCAATTTTCAGATTTTGCCCCATATCCATCTCTCTAAAGTAACATATGACTGCTTGGCATAAATCCATAATCAACACGCAATCGTTAATTACACAGACCTGCGCAGACAGTCATGTTGTCATGGCAACCCCGCCTCTGCCTGCCCTCCCCAAGACAGGGCAGACCACCAAACCTGGCAGGAGGACTGTTACACTGCCTGGTGCGAGTGGACGCTCCGGCACAGCCATCACACTCAGACCACACTGACCAGGGGCTCCACGAACCGTGCACTACACAAAAAGGGATTAGACATTAGAATAGAGACACAAACTTTTTTTGTGTGAGAGTTAAGATATGAAAGTGTGTTGGGAAGAAAATATATATATATATTTTTCCTTTTTCAGAAATTAACTCAAGTTGTGGGTGATACCAAGAATATGTATTTAAAAAAATCTGTAACCTGTTTAAAATATTTACTACTTCAGCACTTATTTATTGTTGCAGAAAAACATTTTAGCATTGGTCTGTGAATTTCTGCCGGAGTTCTGTCATGAGGAATAACAGACAGTGTTGATGACTGATGGTCCCTTACCTGGACAGAAGGTAATGACAGGGCAGGGCTGTCTCTGGATTTGAACTCCCACCCCGTTGTGTATCTCCTGTTCTCCAGAGCAGGCCGCTCCTCCAGCCTTGGGCTCCGGACAGCCACAGCTCCTGTAACGAGAGACTGACTCTGCCCCACAGGTCCTGGAGCATGGAGTCCACTCTGACCACTCACACCAGCCACCAGCCACTGGAAACAAACACAGGGATTAAAAACACACATTTATGGATTGTATAGCCACCTGTGCAGACTTTCAATGATTATCATATTGTGGTTGGATTTGAAAACGATTGTCAAAGTAACAGAGATTGCACAGTCAAACAATTTTTAAAGCAATACATTCCTCTTCCTCGAAAAGATGGTCTGACTCACCTGGACATGGGTCTCTTGAGCAGTTGAGCCTCCCTCCGTCACAGGTGCTAAAAAGAGGCGGTACACCAACATAATTATCTTACTATCCTGTGTCTTTTCTTTTAAAATACATGTGTACATGCATGTGCAGATTGTGATCCATGTATTTATAGTATTGTTACCAGTTGTTACATCCATCAGGGGCTACCATGGTCTCCCCTGGTTCAAGTATGTGTCCAGTACTAAGGTCCAGGCAGGCGCAGTCTTCTCTCTCCACACAGACTGTCCCGTTAGCAGACAGGACCTTTCCCTCTGTACAGTAGCACCCTGGCTCACATTGCCACTCACAGTGCTGAAGATCAGAAAGAATATTTCCTTCATGTCGTCGAGATTCTTTTTTTTGTTCGTTTTTTTTAAGTTAATCTAAAATCACTGCTCGGTGTGATACTCACAGCCAGGTCGTCACAGGAGCGAGGGCAGGAGGGACCACAGCTACTGAACACTGTGCCTGGGACCTGCGAGCATGGAGCCACTGGAAACACACACAGAATATAACCAAAGTAAAAACACTGATATGGATGGAACCGTGACTCTGATTAAAAGCTATAAGTGAAAGTTTAAACCACACACACAGCCTCAACGCACTCGATAGATGTACCTGGACAGTGGGCAGTGTTACAGGCTATAACCTCAGTTCCCAGCCCCTCACAGTAGTTCCCCTCCCCTTCTGGACTGGGACTGTCACACTCTCTCCTCCTGCTTTTAACCCCCCCGCCACATGACTTGGTGCAGTCCGTCCAGTTACTCCACTGACTCCAGCCGCCATCCCCTGGAAAAAGCAAGAACATAATTGATGAAGTCAAAAAAACATGAGAGCAACTTCCCAACAAATACAGATACAATAACGAACTAGGAAGTGACATCAGTTGTAAAAAAAACCATTGATCTGCTTTAAATGGGGGCAGCAGTAGCTCAGTCTGTGGGGACTTGGGTTGGGATTGGCCTGGTAGCTTGAGAGGTGTCAGTTCACTTTCAGAGCATTGTGGAGATGCCCTTGGGTAAGGCCACGAACGACTCACTGCTAGGGCACTCTTTCATGTGCAGCACCTCACTCTGACATCTCTCAATAAGTACATGCCCATAGGATCCTGTATGCGCATGTTTGTCAGCCTATGTGTGTGTAGCATGTCTCAATAACAGTATGAAACTAATATCCCCTTGATAAAGGACTAAAACAGTCAGGATGTAAAATTGCAGCATGATCCGGCTTTTTCTTTTTCTTTACAGAAAAGTCACCCTGTCACCTTCATGCATCGAAATGATCTATCAAAACAATGTCACCCTTAACTATGTGCTGTTTGTTTATTGTTCACTATTTGCTAATTGTCGTTTACAATATATTGAGGTTAACAGTTCGTTTAAAATCAGTATTCCTGGCAATTGACTAAGACAGAAACAAATGAAGTCAGAGAAACAAATATGTATTTAAGCTGTCAAAATAGCGCGTTCATTTCAATTAAATTATCAAAGAAAAAATAATGCATTAAAATGTCTTACGCAGATTTGACAGGGACCAACATCAGGTAAACGAAGTTTGACAATTAATTCTTAATATGGTGAAAAGTTAGGGGGTGCAGGTAGCCTGATGGTTAGTGTGTGCACCCCATGTACGGCTATTGTCCTCCAAGCGGGGAGGCTTGGAGGACAATAAAAATTAAAGATTAAACATTTACAAATATAAATGACAAACAAAACAAAAAACTCACGGTCACATGGAGTGTTGACACAGACTTGATCCTCTCTGTGTGCACCCACACACGGCAGGCCGCTGCCTGAGCGCTGGGGGCTGGAACAGAACCGATACCGGGACTGGAGACCTGCTCCACACGACACCGAACACTGACCCCACGGAGTCCACGTTGACCAATGGCCATCAACTAGACAGTGTGTGTGTATGTGTGTGTGTGTGTGTGTGTGTGTGTGTGTGTGTGTGTGTGTGTGTGTGTGTGTGTGTGTGTGTGTGTGTGTGTGTGTGTGTGTGTGTGTGTGTGTGTGTGTGTGTACGTAGAGGAACAGAACGATAAAATGTAAGAATAATATTACATGAAAAATGTCATTCCTTTACTTTATTCATCAGACTTTTTTGCATAATTCACTAAGGCCAATGTAATTCACAAGGGCTATCAATGTCAGTTCACCAAGATTTACAAGCTCAGTATTATTAAAGATAAAACAATACAATTATATATATTTTTTTGTATTGTGGTTATTTTATACATTTCATTTTTCAATTTGGAGGCATTTCTAATATTACTGTTTTTTTATTATTTCATCATATTTGTATTTGATTCTTGGGCTGAACTGTTTCTCTTATGCACACAAAGCCTTCTAATGGAAATGAAATACTGCAGACAGGAGTTAAAGGCAGGGTCTGTAATTTTCTCCAGATACACTTTTTAAGATTTAGCTTGAAATTGTCTTTAGGTCCTGACAGACATTAATAACTCATGTGCTCTGAAAAAGGAACAAAGAAAATCCATCATCTGTATCAGTTGTAAGCCTGTAAAAACTTTGACCAATGTCTGCCACGAGGTACCAATCTGATGAACCAATCAGACTCCTCCCTGTCTCCCTGCTCGTTCTCTACCACATGCATGCACGAGCCCACACTCAAAGCATGAGCTGAGGTCCGCTTCTGGACCAATGGCACTTGTGCATGTAAGTGAGGGGCGTGGCTTTTGAGGGAGCACAGAGGGGAAGGGGGTGGGTGCAGATGGAGTACTGAGGGAATGCTAATTATAAAATCTTGCTAGTTTCCCGAAAATGACCAAATCTGCCTTTAAATGAGTGATTGCTGTCATACAAACTTAGAAGGTGACTTCAGTACTTAAAAATGATACGAGAGAAACAAAAGAGCGCAGATGAAACTTGACAGGGGCTGTATCAGGGATCAATTTAAAGACTTTTTCTTACCATTGCAGCTGACTTGAGAGCAGTTGAGCAGCCTCCCTGCTTCACATGTACTGAAATAAAACAAGTCAAATGATCATTTTATCTCTTCTTCAGTAATGAATAGCTATATTTGTCCAACAGAGATAACATGATTGGTGTTATACTTACCAGTTGTTGCAGTCTGTGGGGACAGTATCTCCTGGTTTGTACTGCTCTCCACCCACATCACAGCGACAGTCAGGCTCCCGCACACACACACCATCCTGTAAATACAAAGCACATTCAACTTTATGGCTGCAATCTCTGGATGCATTTTTTTTTTTTTTTTTATATATATATATATGTAAACATATATGCTTGTTTGTGTTGACCCAGCCCACCCACCTGTTGGACTGTCCCTTGTGGACACTGGCAGCCAGGTGTGCAGTTCCTGCTGATGTCCATTGTGAGGTCTGTGCATGACACTGCCCCCCTCACACACTGCTTCCACTCCTGGCCAGGAGGACACGCTTTACCATCGCCTGAAAAACAGTAAACATGTGTCCAAGCAGAGGGAAATGTCAACCCTACAATCAAATAGAACAAAATGCAAAAAACAGATGCAGAAAATAGTAGAATACTATTTCCATCTGATTTGTTTAACTCAGGCGTTATAACTTGTCCAGCACTGAAACATCAAAAGCCCCTTGATTCACATGCTACCACATGAACGATTAAAAAGTAACGTATACACCATGATTAATCTGCAATGAAATTAATGCCTTAACAATTAGGGTTGTTATACAATCTACTTAAATGTTTTTAGCCCTCTTTTGTCTCTTATAATAATAATACTACATGTGATTTATAAAGCACTTTTCAGGAACTCAAAGACACTGAACATTCGATAAAAAAGAAAGTAAGAACAAACCAATAAACACTGCGACATTACACACAGGCCATAAACACAACAACATATAAGCCAAGTCACACACAAACACAGCACACATCACAATTCTACATTAAAAGCTCGTTTGAAAAGGTGAGTCTTGAGTAGTTATTTGAATGTTGATGGGTCAGTGAATTTTGGAACATGTGTGGGGAGTGAGAGCCAGCGGGAGGGGGCAGCTATGTAGAGGACTCTGTCCCCCCAGGTTATACTTTTGTAAAACCCTTTGCTATGCTTGAAGAGGAGTATTTAAAAAAAGAACAAACGTTTTTTTGGAATTCCCTTTAACAACAAGGAACAAGCTCTCTGATTTTCTGTAATTCTGTCCAGCACATTCCAAGACATTCAAATGATCTCCTTACTGGCTTTTGAACGTTTTATTCTGGTGCAAAAACACAATTTAATTAGATTCAAGTGTTTGCAACGATGTGTAAAACATACAGTACCTACATATACAATTCTGATTTCTTAATCGGCAATATTGGGAAATGACAGTCTGAGACTTACGTACCACAAGGCTGCAGGTTGCAGGCACTGAACTGCTGAGCAGTTCCATGGACTCTGATGGGCCCACGGGTTCGGGTCCTGTAACCTCCTCCACATGTCACTGAGCACTTTGACCATGCGCTCCATGGCTCCTTCACACCTTCAGACACATCACAGAGTGTTAATCATTTTCATATTCTTAACACACAAGAGTCAAATACAAAGGTGCTTCTACTCACCGATACAGGGTTCAATGCTGCAGGTATCAATCCCAACTCTGTCTCCTTTGCAGGGCTGACCACCAAAAGCTGGAGGAGGATTGGTTCCCGAACGATACCGCCTTCTCACCCCAACATCACACGTTCGACTGCAAGCGCTCCACTGCGTCCAACTGCTCCAGCCGCAGTCAACTGAGAAACACACAGGTGGAGTCAAGTAAAGACTTAAGGATGCAGGAGACAGCGAAGAAGACAGCAAGGGAAGAAACAATATAAGTCCAATTCATAAAAATGCAACTCACCAGAGCAGGGAGCGGTCCCACACTCCATTTCTCCATTAATGCAGGTACTGTGGGGGGGGAGACACAGTGCAATAAAAGAGGGACAAATCATTTCTAAAAAAATGACATTAATTACAACTATTTACATCGACTTGACATTAAAAGTTGGTTTTAGTACCAGTTATTGCAGGCATCAACAGGCATTGAGGCACTAGCAGGATACAGCTCCCCCTGGTGGTAACATGGACACTGCGCCAAGGGCACACAGCTGCTGTTGAGCAGGTAAAAGCCCAGGGCACAGTAGCAGCCATCATAACAGGAGGTGGCACACTGCACCTCTGTGGAGGTCATGTCCAAACACACGCGAGGACATGCACCGCCATGAGCCTCACACTCTGCTGCTGTCATGTACACCATGCCCTCTGGACACACACCTGAGAGGAAAGAGGCAGAGATAAGAACTGATTAGTGCACATGCACACATAGGCAATTCAATTGAGCAAAGAAAGGGAACACAAATGTCATGTAATGTAATTTTTATGAAGCCATAATACACTTTATTATTCTTCGACTCTTGAGAGTTGAGCAATAATACAACTGGATGCATTACCTGAGCAGGGGTGGGAGTTGCAGTCTCCAGTCTGTATATGAGGCCCAGAGCAGCTGTTGCCTCCATACTGTGATGGGGGTGAATTGCAGAACCGCTCTCTTGTTTGGACGCCAGAGTCACACTCTGATGAACACTGAGACCATGGTGACCATTCGGACCAGCCGCCATGCACTGTAAAGATACAGCTACAATCAGCTTTACTGCTATCACATCATTGTTGGAGACTGAGATGGAACAGAGACATTGTTGCTCGTGTTTGTCTATATGCGTAATACCTGGACAGTGCAGTGTGTTACAAGGCTCCTGCTCCTCGCCGTCTCCACCACAGTCAGAGTCCGTATGGGTGTGGTTAAAGGCCGTCAGGGTGTGGTTGCAGCTGCGAAATCGTCGCCTGATTCCAACGTCATCGACGTGGTTGAAACATGTCTTGCTACACTCCGACCAGCTGGTCCATTTACTCCAGACGCCATCTGGCAACACTGCACAAGAGATGAAGAATGAACACCATATGAGAATGCAAAAAGACTAGGATACTGAGCAGAAACTTGCAAACATTTGATGACATTAAAGTTCACATGCTGGACAAAGAAGAATTGCTGGTTTAAAGAAGGACTGAGGAAGCCAAAGCTAAAGAGAAGGATTTTTAGTTCAGGAGAAGAAGAGGTGACAACGTGTCCAGCGTGGAAATTGTGAGGAGTTCGAAATTCCTTGTTGTCCACCTTGCAGATGGCCTCCCCTGGTCCCTCGACACCAGCATCATAGTCAAAAAAGCCAAGCAGCACCTCTACTTCCTTCGCAGGCTGGCAAAGGTGCATCTCCCGCCCCCCATTCTCATAACATTTTACAGAGGGCTTGAACGCAAGACCTTACATAGGATAGAGAGAACAGCTGAGAAGATACTTTGTGCCGCTTTGCCTGCCATCACTGATATTTACCACCACACTGCCTTGGTAAAGCCAACAGGGTTGCTGCTAACCCCTCCCAGTCTTGGTTGTGCTCTGGTTTCCCTTTGTAGTACATGTCCAGTCTGAGTTTATTGACCAATTAAGTATCAGCAGGCTTTGGTGTAGATCGGAGAAACTGTCTGAGTGGACGGCAAAAACAAGGCGGACACTGGGTCTCAAAAGTAAATCAGAATTTAGTTTTCCCTAATATCTGATAGATCCAACCTTCATACAACAAACACACCTTCTGTAGGAGAGACCTGACCAAATCTGGCATGTTTCCTTTTTTTAAAATCTGCATCATAATGTTGTTATTTTGGCTAACGTAAACCCCCTTAATAAAAAAATAAAAAAATTAAAAAAACACTTTATTTTTCAGGCTCATAAAGCTGAAGTGAGTGGAAGTGAAGCCGCTGTGTGACTTCATCTACTGAACAGAGACAGAACACATGAACGGGCGCTACTCCGGGATGTTATGGACCAAGAAATGACAGCGTTTACGTTGCAGATGTTAACGCCGCACAGAAAAGGAAGTCGGGCCTGAAAGTTGTTCAACACTAACCACTGGATTCATCAGAATTATGGAGAAATTAACATCCGATGCCCGAGACATATCTCCATAGACGATGATTGCTAAAGGGTTCTGTGATTGCCATACTATTGACCCTCAGAGACTTATATCTCCAGTTTCATTGACCAGTCAAACTGCAGCTGGAGAAGCCTTTCGAATAAGAGGTGCAACCTCTTCAAGAACTTCAATCAAATCCAGTTGAATCTGTGATCTTAAAACTATCATAACAATGTAAGTGTTAATGAAATAAATATCCCTATGTGTTAAAGAAATCACAAGTGTGACAGTGACAGTAATAACATCATACATGGACGACAGGAGCTGGAGCAGTGGCGGGCCTCAGAGGAGTCTCCTGGACACATCTGAACTCTGACTGCTCCAGCTGGGTTCACTGGAGACCTGCAAAGAGAATAGAATGAAAGACGTTAAGACTCCTGACCCATATGTAACAGCGAGTGTAAGAACTGTAAATCACATGACTCCATAAGTAGTGTACTTTGATGAAACTTTCCTGTTCCTGTCGCAAAAAGTAAACCAGGCAAACATACAGAACCCATAGTTTGAAAACATTTGGTAGAATACTGACTGAGAGCAGTTTACAAAAAAATGAAATTGAAAATGTTATCAGAGCAAAGAAAAGACAACAAACTTAAGAAAAAAGTACAGTTTGGGTACAAGAGTTATCCCGTAAAGGGAAGGCCTTGTTTGCTGCTTTAAAGCTCAATGGGATTAAACAGACTCACCTGTAGCGTTGCTGTAGCCCCAGACCACAAGTTACATCACATGGTGACCATGACGACCAGGCTGACCAATGACAGGTTGCAACACATTTGGAGTTGTCACAGGTTACTTGTCCATCTTGGCACACACTGATTGACCAAAATAAACATTTCTATAAGCCTTTATTTTATTTTTATTTTTTAGCAACAAACACTGGCAGCAGTTCAATGTCCCAAGTTAATGGAGGAGATGAGCTGACTGTGAATGAAAATAGGCCTGGAACTGAAAAACATGACTTAAAAACACTTTAGCACATTTTTTTGGTCATGATTGCTTCCTTAGAATTTAGAAAAATGTGATAGTGAGCATTTTAGAAGTATCAGTTATGAAATTGTGCCTTCCTTTGAAAGTGTAAAACAAAACAAAAAAAAAACAGAATGAGTTTGAGTTGTTTCTCACCATGTGGTACAATGGTACTTGATGATGATTTGTCCTGGCTGTAGTGTTTGACCGTTCCAGACACAAACACATTGACTAGCATTCACACATCGCCCACCTTGAAGATACAGACCATCAGGACAGCGACACCCTAGAGAAGAAAGAGAAAAAGTCTTATCAGCATTTCAACTACCAGTGAATGAGTCGTTGCTTAGTAGAGGTTTGACACTATTTTATGTTGATCGCTTTAATAAATGCAGAAACTTTCTATCCCACTCAACCATAATGAGGGCTTAATTCCTGGCAATGGACCACATGTCATTTTGTATAGCCTCTCTTCATATAAGTGGAACAGCTAGAGATCTTTTTGTTTTTACAGGGCTGACCTAAAACACAACAATGCATGTCAAAAGTATGACTTTTTTTATTTTCCACCTTTGAAAAATGACACAAATGTTCAAGCATTTAAAAGAGGCTTTTTAGGGGCAGCGGATAGCCTAGCAGTTACTGTATGTTGTGCCCCTTGATTGGAGGCGGGTCCTCGTCGCAGTGGTCGTGGGTTCGAATCCAACCTCGACCCTTTGCTGCATGTCATCACCCACTCTCTCCTCCCAACATGTACTGTCTGTCTCTCTTCAGCTGTCGTATCTAAAGAAGGCTAAAGAGCCTCCCTGAAAAATATAACTTAAAAAAGAGACTTTATACACACTTACCATGTGTTGTTCCATTATTCACCATGCACCTTAATAACTTATCATTTAGTATTTGCCTACTTGCACATAGCTCTGTATATATATATTTATTTCTCGTTTACTGCATATAGTTCTGTTTACATCTGGTCACTACTGCACATAGTACTGTATATATATATTTATTTCTCGTTTACTGCATATAATTCTGTATATATATATATTTATTTCACATTTACTGCACATAGTTCTGTTTACATCTGGTCACTACTGCACATAGTACTGTATATATATATATTTATTTCTCGTTTACTGCATATAGTTCTGTATATATATATTTATTTCTCGTTTACTGCATATAGTTCTGTATATATATATTTATTTCTCGTTTACTGCATATAGTTCTGTAAATATATATTTATTTCTCGTTTACTGCATATAGTTTTGTTTACATCTGGTCACTACTGCACATAGTTATGGTTACATCTGTTTACATCTGTTAGTCCGATCACTGTCCACTTATATCTACTCTTTTATATTTTGTATTTTTAAGTTAAGTTTAAGCTTTAAGTTGTATTTAAATTGACACTTTCTATTTTGGTTAAAATGTTTTGTTTACTTGCACTGTTGTTAATTTACTGCTCTGTGTGCCTTTGAATTACCCCCCGGGGACAAATAAAGTTTTTTGAATTGAATTGAATTGAATTGAATTGAATTACCATCAAAGACAGATGCTGCATGGATACACAAGCCATGAAATTAAAGGTACAGTCCCTTTTATAAGCCATTTACATAGCACTTCCCTCTCATTTACACTAAATCTTGTTTCCTGTTCTCAACTGTAACAACAGGATAAATTGAAATACAAAAAAAACTCTATTCATTCACTGGGCACTGGTTCAGAAACCCATGTAAAATTACCAACTGTAAATGGCACACCTTTCTTCTTTTCAAGAATTGGCAATGCAAATTAATTGAAATGAGATTTGATCCATCATGAAACGTGCAACACACACTGGTTTTCTACTGCAGTACATGGCAGGTTGACAACACATTTAAAACAAATTAAAATTCAATATGCAAACACGGGCAAAAGACTGTTTTCCTACGAAAAGATATGCAATGTAAACACAAGTTTAATTAAGGGCACATTGGCTAAAAATGAGACAACAATGAGAAGCAACTGATGCAAAACATTTCCATCACTCTGCACACTTAAGGTCTAAAACGTTGCACCATCACCTCCTGCGTGTCCTACCTAGTATGCATGCCTCAGTGCAGTTGCTGGTGGAGCTGAGATGTGAGCAGGTAGGAGGACAGGGCTCAACCCTCCCAGCCCGGCAGTCTGATTCAGTCACTAGAACCATGTTGTTTACACAGCCTGAACAACCAATCAGAGAGCAGACAGTTAACTGACTTCTTCGTGCAGCAATGGTAGTCAATGCAGGAGAATTACAAGGCCACACTCAAGCTAAACGAAAATATCAAAAATATGAATTGATTTTTGAACGCAGTCACCTGTCTGTGTGCCTGTGTCTTTGGTGCAGGGCTGGCTGTTGCAGCTCTGGCTCTGCAGGGTCATGCCCTCACACTCCTTTCCTCCATTCTTGGGAGGAGGAGCAGAGCAGGTTCTGTTCCTCTGCCTGACACCACCTCCACACTGAGCATCACACTCGGACCACTCCGTCCACTCTGACCAGTGGCCGTTAACTAAAAGAGAAGGCGGGAGAGACGAAGATTGTAATAAGTATATCAGATTTTGCGTACTTGTAAAAAAAAATGCAATCAGGTTCAGAGAACAGACCTGGACATGCTCGAGGGAAACAGGCTCGACTGTCGAACTGAGCTGCACCACAGGCTCCACCTGGAAGAGCTTCTCTCATTATGTCCCTCTGTCGGAACAAGGAGCCCAGACCACAGGTTACACTGCATGCACTCCAGGCTGTCCAGGGGGACATGATGCAGTCCACTAGACAAGAGGGAGGAGAGAGGAGGTGGAGAACAAAAATTAACAAAAAAAAAAATGCATTTCCCAGTTCTTTTTTGTCTTATATGGAGTGGGCATACAGTGTAATCTTACCACAGTCTTTTTCATCCGATCCATCAACACAGTCCTTCTGCAGATCACATCTGCGGTCCAGGTGAACACACTCCCCACTGACACAAGAGAACTGCTTTGCAGAGCAAGGACTGGGCAGCGGTGGGCCCTTTGGAGTCACAGCTGGCCTGGCTGTGGTGCCTTTGGAAAACAAACAAAACGTTCTTAATTTCACACATGGATTTCTCTTTTAGAAATAACAAAACAATTACTGCAAAGGGTTCATTTGACAACATAGTTTAAACTGCAAATAACTGTATTCTACATGCACTAGTGTAATTAAATGATTCTGCACTTTCACCAATCTACCCAGTTGGCGATGCCTACCGCAGCGTTCTTCATCTGACCCGTCCAAACAGTCCTGTCTGCCATCACACACCTGCGCTGAGTCCACACAGCCAAATGACCGGCATGCATATTGGCCCTCCACGCAAAGCACCCTGGGTAGTCCACCATCATGGGAAGTTGTCGCAATCCATGGGGCTGTCAGTGGCAATAAATGAGAGATTTTAAGACATATAGTTGATAAACGGCTGTCTGTCTGAAGTAATAGTGTGTCTCTCACCTTTTGTGGTTTGCAACCCAGGTTTTCCAGAAGTAGGGCTTGTGGTGAGATGCAGTCCTGGTTGGCCTGTGGTGACACCTGGGTAGATCGATGGGGTGGTAGTCCAAAGGCCTGCTCATTAAGCACAGAAAAAGAGACACATTTCAGAAAGAGAATTAAAAAGTTGATATTCCAGGGGGAAAAAAAACTAACAACAATTGAATTTGAGGATAGATCACAAGCTTTATAAAACCTTGATTTGAGGTCGAAGTCTTCTGAAGTCCAGGTTCACCTGTGACACCCTCACTAGCGACACCAGGATGGCCACCTGGGGACCTGGTGGTATGTAGCCCTGGAGGGCCTCTAGTTGGAGCCGTACCTTCAAGAAGAGAAGGAGTTGAAACATAAACAAAGACAGTAACTGATCAAATATATGAGAGCCAAGGGACTCACATAATTATTTAAGGACACTAGAAATTAGCTCTGTGAGATTAACAAAAAAAAAAGACGTGAACATATAGCACACAATCCTTACCACAGTTGATCTCGTCAGAGTGGTCCTTGCAGTCCGGTCGACCGTCACACAGCACAGAGACAGAGACGCAGTCTTCACTGTGCTGACATGCAAACTGACCGGGCTTACAGCGCTGCACTGTTACATTGTCACCACCAGAGGGAGACTTAGTCGCAGTGCTGGGTGTCACCAGCTCATCTACAGGAAGAAAAAAAAAAGAAAGTTTCTTATTTAGACATAAGTGGGTGGTACAGCCCAGCACAGGGGCTGTTAAGCAAAACGTTTAAATGACAGTAATAACTATTAGGAGGTGATTTTATATAAATCACTCACCTCCTCTGCAGCCGAGGATTTCAGCACGCAGGTAGAACGTGTGTCTGAACTCAACAGGAATGATGCGCAGGTATCGAGCTCTGACCAGCCGACCAAGCCAGCGAGTCACAGGGGTCCTGCCCACCATCCGCACCTCAAACACCTAGAACACAACCAAAGGGACACTGTTGAAATAATGCATGATGGACCTCAGATTTTCTATTTCTTTACCCTGTATGGTCACATTTACAAAACATTTAATCATAGGAGGGTATATTAACCAATACCTAAAAGTCCATATTATTACAAGTACCTGAGCTTGACCACCAGGCTTTCCATCCTCAGTGTAGTCTGTGAAGAGGCTACTGTGCAGGGCGAAGGCCAGGCGGTATTTAGAGATGTAACCCCACATACGTGCACTGCCTTGTGTCACCACCCCTGACACCCATGTGGGCTCCAGGAAGTCCACCTGAAAATATGGCTGAGGATCTGTGGGCAAGGGGCTCCATCCTGGCTCCATGACTTGACTGCAGAGAAGATGTCATGGCTTGTAATTTTTTGTTTGCTTAATATACTACTTTCCCAAGAAAACTGCAGAAAAATGCAACCACTTGTGCATGTAATCGTATCAAATGTTTAGGATGGGACCAACCACAGACAGACCAGCTCACTCACACATTAGGGACGATGTTTAGCCGTCCAGCATCAGCGGGGTTGTTCTCACGGTACGAGGATGAGGTCAGCTGACCATATCTTATTCTGCCATCCTCCAGTCCGAGAGGAGAGGAGCAGATTCCTGCAGAATATGACACAGGTTTATACCATCGAACATAGCCAGTTTGGCAAATTGAAAACTTGCAACAAGATTTTAGCATTTTGGACTTCAGTTAAATTTAATTTAAGTTATGAGCAGACGCTGGTTTCCAAAACACAAGATGGTCACAAAAGAGTGAATTTAACACTCACCGCGATGTCCTGGGCCACCATCCTGTAAATAGAACCAGAAAATAATTCAAGTGTTTATGTTTAGAAAAGACCACTCAATGTTATCACATGCTTTTTCAGCACTCATGGGCATAATTGAGAAATTACCTTTTAACACTGTTTTCTCAAAATCAAGGTCTGGTATATAAGTGTGTACATTTTTAAAGATTCAAGTTCATTTAAAGCAAGTGTGTATGATATTTTTTAAAGCAACATTTGTCAACCCACTACACTTGAAATCAGACGATCAAGAGGTATAAAAAACATTGACACAAACCTGCAGGATTTAAAGAAAGTAAGGATTATTTGTGTTTTCCTACCGTCGGTTTCACTGCGGGATGAGTGACAGCAGCAATGGATGGAGTCCGGAGAGGTGCAGGGGTGGATGTGTATGGTCTGTAATTTGGCACATGATAACAATAATGTGCAAAATATTTTAAATCGTTCCTGATTATGTTTCATCAATAAAATTGACTAAAATAAAAAGGTCTGCCATTTTGCCGTTCTTGCCTCCAAAAGGAAGAACCCCCCTAGTATTTGACTCAACAACCGGACTCACAAGCTTGTTACTGAAACAAATATAAATCATGGTATTTTATGTTGTTTACTATTATTTGGCATAATATGTATATTTTTTAAAGCGATGATCTTTGTCTATTTTTCACCTGGGTTTAATGTTCCCCTCTGACAAAAAAACTGGCCCCAGTTTGGCCACCTCAGTAAAAGGGGTCTAGAACCGCCATTGGCTTGATTCGTGTTATATTTTGACCAAAGCACAGCACAGACTTTTCATTTTAACCACATGAGACTGTTTGAAGAGGTGGAAAAGGGGGATAATATGTCCTCTTTAATAAAAATAACGACCCTTACCTGTCTGACTGAGTAGTAGCATTGTCGTGGTGATGGCAGCCTGCTTCATCCTCTCCTTTGGGACAGTGAGGGATCCCATCACAGCGATGTCCTTTCTCAATGCAGCCCCCTGGTGGAGGGCAGGAGAATTGACCAGCAGGGCAGCTGCGAGGACTGACGGACGTAGGGGATGGCTGCGTACCTGTGAATAGAAATGATCAACCTAGATTCACACTTACTTTTTCAGCTTTGGTTAGTGTAACTTCCATGCAAGGAAATTAAAAAGGCAAGGATGGAAAAACAGCTGATTGCATATCTGGGTTCCCTTTTTCACAACATTTCAGAGAAAATTAAGAAAAGTAGCACACATCTCATAAATAAAAGGAAACTTAAGCATGTAAAGTTGGGAAGCTCACCACAGTGCATCTCATCTGATCCATCCCCACAGTCATTGACGCCATCACAGACAACTCCCTGCAGACCTGCTGGCACACAGCGACCGTTTTTACAGTGGAACTCTTTCTCTCTGCAGCCCCCTGCTGGAGTGACTGGGGAGGGAGGGGTTGCGGTTGCCAACCATTGGTCACCTAAAGGAGAGAGAAGGGGACAATTTTAGTATCACAATTTCCCCGAAAGTTATGTAACAACAGAACAACCAAGTAGCATTGAAAAGTAGCATTATCTCCTAACCATCCCCACAGCCCATGATCTCAAGTCGAAGGTAAATGCCATTCTGGAAGTCATGCGGCAGCAGGCGGACAAACTGAGCTGTGACCATCCTATCCAGTCGGATCTCTGCCACCCCTCGATCATCATGGTTACCGTTGAAAACCTGGAGGTTGAAAGGTTGTGGTAATGGAATGGTAAAACACAAATTGCCTTCAGAATAAATGATGAAAAGTTGCATGAACATGCTTTAATGTCTGACCTTGGCTCTTGGCCGGGCATCAGTCACCAGCTCTTTGTAAGTGTACCACTGTCTGCCATTGCTGCTAAACTGGAGATAGAAACTAGAGACAAAGGTGCCAAACACCCCTCCACCCTGGGTAAGCACACCTACAGAGTAAAAGAGAAAAATACTTCTTTTTTTTTTTCACTAATACACAGCACATTCTTTCTCTCTTTAGGAATGTACCTGCCTGTTTAGTCTATTTACCAGTAATGTTGTATGGCTGGAGAAGGTCTATCTGCAGGTAGGGGCTCTGTGATTTGCTTGCGTGTCCCTCAGGGCTCCGCTGTGGTAGGTCCTTATACTCCTCAGGTTCTGGACTCCAGCCCTGAACATTTTGCAGATAAATCGGAACATCACCTTATGATCATATTGCTGAAGAAATGTCTTTGAAGTGAGGTTTAAAACCCTGGTGGGATATATGACTTGGGATATGAAATGTTTCTTTTTTTGATCTGATGATAGCCCTACAGGAAAATAGATTCCAACTCAAGTATAAAATCTATGGCAATCTGGTGTGTGAATATCTCAGACATTAGAGCTAAAGTAGCGTACAAGACATCCCCGAAGACATTTGGATCCAGATACAGTAAATTGTAAATGGACTGAGCTTGTGTAGCCCTTTTCTAGTCTTATCACTACACAGCATGTCACACCTACACAATCACATACTCTTGGCAGCTGTTGCTGTGTAGTGGGACCATCAGCAATTCGAGGTTAAGTGTCTCGCCTAAGGACTCATCAGAAATGTTGCTGCAGAAGCTGGGGATCGAACCCCCAACCTTCCGGTTGAGAGGCGACCAACGCTACCAACTGTGCCACAGCTGCCCATAAAAGATACCTCGAATGTATGTGCAAAAGTACATCTATCCAGTAATTGTTCAAAGTAGGCATTTAAGTCTGGACTAAAACTGATAGAGGGAGCAACTGATCAACCAGCCATCCCTCATATACCTTGAACCACACCAGTAGCATGGATCCAAAACAGGGAACAACATGGAAGGCTGATAAATCTAAGAAAAGTATTTGGTGTGGAAAACCAAAGGAGTATTATACATGTAGGTTAATCTACCAACCGCCATGACTAAAGCAAGGAAAATAAGGCAGAGCTCATTAACTATTGGTCAAATGCAGCCAGGCACAACACAACAGGTTGTACTGAGCAAGCATTTTAACTTTAAAGATAGAGTCAATAGCGTTTTCCTAAAAAATAAGATACAGATATATACAAACGTAATACCGCTCAATCATCAGTTGTGGACCTCCATACATGTGTGTTGGTGACTGTGCCTGATCAGAATGTATTTTTTTGTTTTTATTTACATGGGACATTTCTGCGAGGGGAGCTGGTGTGTTTCCCAATTCCCTCAGCCAATGACAGCACACAGGTGAGTTCAGGAGTGGATACTATTCAGCGATTGGATGCAATTCAAACCTCTTCTGTTATAATTATTTCAGTTCTGATTTAACATGATCAGGTCAACTACAGAACCAAAGTCTCTGAGCTAGTGGGTGTTTAGCAACTTTCTCAATAACATCTCAAATGCATGAACATTGAAAAGTCTGATGGTACTAACTAACTCTATCAGTAGGCTTGGTTTACCTGGAGGTCACTATGTGGCTCCCAACTGTGTAGGCGTCCTGCCTCAGGAGGGTGACCGGTCTGCTGTGAGGAGGCACTGAAACTGGAAGCTGGGAGAGACTGAACACCCAGAGGAGACCAACACTCATCTAAATAAAAGAAGGTGAGATTCCATAAAAAAAAACCATGTGAGGAGACAGACACAACAAACTGAAATCTTCTACCTGTTCTAAACTGATCTTACCTCCAGGAGGAAGTGGATATGTCGGGACCAGAGGTTTAGTGCCCTCTCCTGGCGGGGATGTCACAGTGTCAGGGCTGATTGTCACAAGAATGGTGTCATTTTCTCCTACAGAGACGTAAAAAGAGAGAAAGATTAATGTCGGAGAACTCTCCCTACATTCCAATTTAAGAAACAACAAACTGGGTCTTAATATTTGGACTGCTGGTAATATGCTTACCCATCTACCCTTACCCTCTTTTAATCGCTATAAAAAACATGGATGAATTATTGGGTTGATGCCAAACATTCAAATATACTACTACAGGTTCTCTGACTCTAAAAAAAACTTGTGAAATCTCTATAAAATTTGAGATGTTTGAATACTAAATGTATAATCTCAAGGGTCTAAAATAAGTTTGTGGTCCACACATAGACTGTAAATATTAATGGACAAAGCCTGAGTGACATCACCTATCTGTTACTGCAGGGGGCTCTGGAGGCTTATTGGCAGCAGCCGCCATGCTGGAAATGCTGTCTCAGCCTAATTTTCAGTCAACCTAACGACAGGCTGAGAGCTGGAGCTGAGGAAGGTTTTAAGACTCCTGACGAACAGTTACATCGTGCCCACCTGTCAATCATGTCAGCTATGTGCCTAACTACGGATAACATGTATCGTTCATAAAATCAAAACAGATATGGGGCGGCTGTGGCTTAGTTGGTAGAGTCATTTGTCTCTTAACCTGAAAGTTGGGAGTTCGATCCCCAAACTTCAGCTCCTCGATGTGTCCTTGGGGCAAGACACTTAACCCTGCATCGCTCCCACTGTTGTCAGCGCAGTATTAATGTGTATGAATGGGATTAGATACTCCTGATGGTCACTTTACATAGCAACCTCTATCATGTGCGTGAACGTGTAGGTGTGACCTGCAGTATAAAAGTCAGAAGACTAGAATAGTGCTATACAAGCTCAAGTTCATTTACCATGTGTTCTGAAAGAAATTCTGCCCGTGCACATGAGAACAATAACTAATCCGACCTATTTCATTTTTTGTACCAGGCTGTAAACATGTTTATTTCTACTGTAAAAATGTGCATTTTTGAATGTGGTGTGTAGGTGTCTTCCGGGACTCTTGGAGCCAGATCGAAGCGAATACTCGACGGAATGCAGGATTTTGCACTTCCGCATTGGCTACATTTTTCAACACCGGAGGTTGACGCTTTGATCCAAGAGTGGAGCAAAGGAACCCTGTCTCTCGTCTGAATGGGATACACTTTTGATCCCTTTTCAAAGCAACATAAACCAAACGTAAAACTGACATCAAATTTATAGCAAGGAGAATTAAACATTTCTTCCACAGTAAGAATTATTATAAAATCATATTTCCTAACATTCGAATCAAGATCATCTTTGACTTCATCGATCATTGACTGGCAAGATAAGTATCCTTGGAGTGCAGCTATATTTGTATAACTAGTAAAAGCCATGTATTCAACTCAAAGTTGAACAGGCAGATATTTCATCAGGGAGGAATTCAGATCAATAGCAATGATTTTACCTTGGCAGTAACAACACCTGTCTCCCTCTCCAGGCACCAGGCTTTGACCCTGCACAAACAGAAGAGCATTTCATATTTGACACAGCCACACACGTGATGAAATTGCTTTAATAACTGTACAAATGCACTGACAGTATGCACTCCATCATATTTTTTAAATAATTTTTAAGAATCTGCACTAACCTGAGGGCATCCACTGACAGCGTATGGACAGAAGGGAAAACAGTGTACTGTGAGGTTTGGCCGACAGTGACATAAAAGGCAGTGGTCCGACCTCCATCTGTCTCCCACAGCATGGGACTGACCCTGGTACTCGCACTCATCACAGGGGTCAGTCTGGCACCTGTGCATGCAAAAAAAAAAACTTTTAGATATGGTGAGCATATATGTCTATTGTTTTGCGATGTAATCAAAAGGAGGGTGTTTTTCCAGGGTGTTTGGCCAACAATAAACCACTCCAAGCCTAGTTCAAGTTAAAGACTTTCAGCTAAGCGTTTGTATTTTATTATGCTTGGTGAAGACTCAAGTTTAGAAGGGTTAGGCTTTATACTAGTCCTGTGGATGATAATGTGGTCAGTAGATTGAAAATAAGAGCTCAATTGTATTCCTTCCTTAAGAAATATGCAGATAACCTTGCACTACAAACATTAGCACAAATCATCTGGGAACCATAAACATCAGATGGTAAATATGGCCTTTACTTTTCAAGGAAGCTTTGCCAAACAAGGGTCAAGGTTGGAGACGATAGGGAATCATGGAAGGTAACAAAGGATGAATATTTTCATGGAGATCAAAACAATCCACATGTATAATTGAATGAATTCAGTAGTAAATCAGATAAGCAAGTTGAGGGTCCAGGTTATGGGTACACACCGACGGGCTTTCCTGTAAATTCCTCTGCAGGCTCTCCCATCACCGTGCTTGATGGGGTTGTTTGGGCTGCGGAACGACCACTGCACACTCTGAACACCACATGGCCCCAAACACTCCCCCCACTCAGTCCATGACGACCAGCCACAGTGCACTGCAGTGTTACAAAGTAGACTTTGATAAGGCCCAGTAAGTGGTTAAATACGCTTTAGGTTTGATGTCGTCCTTACAAGCAATCATTTTACAGACTGACCTGAACACTCTGGGTTAGGCTGGCATCTGTGAGGCCTCCCTCTCTCACAAACACAGATCTCACAGTCCACCTTCATCTGCTGACCCGGCCAGTACCGCACACCTGCCACCTCACACACACACTCTTCTGGTAACACACACTTTTGCATGTGGTTCATCACCTGTCCCTCAGCACACCAACAACCTGAGGGTTAGAGACACATGGATTGTATGACTCATCAGAAGAAAGCTTGTTAGATTGTTACAACTTTTCAAAATGGAAAGGATCAACTTTTTTGGAGAAGGACACTCCAGATTCCTCTTGCCTGACCTGAGGAGCAGGGTGCTGTGGAATCGCAGGTTGTCCCGCTGCTGATGTGAGCACAGGAAACAGGGCAGGGAGCACAGCTGTATCTCACCAGCCCTGCAGGACAGCTAGTGTTGTCACATCCATCATCAGGACAAGGCTCTGTGGTGGGACAGTGGACCAAAGAAGCGTTATGTTTTAAATATTCATATCTGTCCACCATTCCCACTTTCTTTTCAACGGTGAACTCTTTCAGACTTTGATGTGAGCCTGTACCTAATATCACCATCGTCACATGATGTTAGGAAACCACATTTGAAGATTGAAACAATTCCCGATTGAAGTTGTTCAAGAAAATAAAATCGTCAAGGATACGTTTGCATAATGATCGACACTCGCTGAAAATATCCAACACTGGAAATACAATTCACAAAATTTCACTACTATCCTCTTGTACAGTAAATCTTATTCTGATGATACTGACAGAAACAACACCAAAAATAACTAAAATAAAATAAAAATGGCCAAAAGAACATGGATTTCCAGAAGCAGAGGGTCGGTTACTCAGCATGTCTTTTTCAAACATCTATTTTCAATTACACTTTCAGTATCTTTTAATTAATGTTTACCCTTGTCTCGTTTTTTTTATTGGTGATAATACAGTATAACATGACAGGAGAAAAGGTCACGATGATACAACGACTAATGGATGTTGAAGAGTTGATCTATGAGTGGAGATTTGGGCGGATGGAAGAAAAGGAAGAATAAAAGCTTCATTTTTAATGAAGTTCACAGACGGCTCTTACTGATTTCCATAGCAAGGTTGGATGATCCAGGGAGCTGGGAACAATCTCGGCCTCTGTTGCGAGGAGGGACGCAGCCTCTGTGTCTGACCTGCACTCCACCACAACTACTCGAACAGTTCGACCAGATAGCCCACGGCATCCACTGCCCGTCAACTGGAGGAGGTGGAGAGAGAGAGCACAACATATAAACAAACTAACTGATTTATTTATGGCTATTTTAGTGGCAGATGTGTGCTTCTTGTAGTTCATGCCCACTTCCTTACCAGGGCAGGTGGTGTTGAAGCACTGCTGCCTCTGCTGGTCCTGTCCATGACAATGGCGCAGTGGGTCACCAGTGGGGCAGGTTCGTTGGCGGCTCATGGAGCCTGTCCCACAGGAGGTGCTGCAGTGGCTCCATGGAGCCCAGGGGCTCCAGCTCCTGCAGCCCTGCTCGTCAGTGGGGACTCCTATTTGATTTAATGAGGAGTCTGGACAGTCTGCAACAAGGTTACACACCTAAGTGACAGGAAAAAAGATAATGAACAAGATGTGCAGAATAGCTTTAAAGATGATAAGGTATTATTTTGCACATTTTTCTTTTTTTACAGACATTTATTGTTAAACATTTAAAAGAAATACATGCTGGTTATGAATAACCACGATGACTGTTGATTAGACCTCATCACCAAATCTTTTTTTTTCTTTTTAAAATATATTATCATGTAAATAAATAATTAAAAATGAAATTAATGTGCGCTTATTTTACTAGCTCCTACATTTAAACACCTAATAGTTATGTAAAGAAATCCTGTCCACATATTGGTATTTAAAAAAATGGTTAACTGGAGACGACTGAAGTTTGGCTTGCTGTTTGTGATTGTCATTTCAGTTAGACCCACCATGTTGAAGGGGACACAAGATCCATCCATACAGGTAAATTCAGGGCAGGTGACAGTGTTGTTTCTTCCGCCAGGGAGCGCTGGTGAGACAGTTTTATCTGTACAGAGGTACATTACAGAAATATCATTACCAAAAATGAAAAGATCCCTACCATCAAACATGAGACACGGGGATCAACACTACCTTTTACATCCTCACTCTCATGGCTTTAGATTTCCCTTTTACTCTTCCCTTAAACCAACCCTTCTCTAAATTCATCCACACTCCCATTCTCACCTTTCTCCTCTCCTTAACTTGTGAGAACTCACCACACACCAACTCATCGTCGCCTCGCGGACAGTCTGGTACACCGTTGCACACTTGTGTCATGTTCACACAAGTGCGGTTGTCGCATGAAAAGCTGCCTGGACATGGAGGTATCCGAATGGAGCCTAGTGGACAGACAAACCTATTTTCAGTTTTCACTTAGATTTTCTTTAACGTTTGTGTTTTTTTCATCTAATACCCCTTAATATTTGCATTAGTAGCTTACCACAGTTGTCAATACTCTCATCAGAAGCATCCCTGCACTGTGGAATCCCATCACAGAGCTGCTGGTAGTCGACACACTGGTCCCCACTTTGGCAGGGCACCTGGCTGGGGCCACAGGGGGCGCTGCACTGCTGCTCATCACTACCATCCATACAATCTGTTTCCCCGTCACAACGCCAGGCCAGAGGCACACACTGCCCTCCAGTGGCACAGCTGAACTCATAGGACCTACAAACTGGAGAAACAGACTCCTTTACTTTGACTGAATACTGCACAGACCTCCTCCTGAATATTGAATCCTGACCGCCTCTACCTGAACTGGGCATAGTTGGAGTGACAGCTGGGGATGATGTTGTTATGATGACGCTGTAGCAGTTGGTTGTGTTTTCATCCTCTCCACCTTGACAGTCTCTTGTTCCATCACACAGCTTAGTGTTGGAAACACATGTGCCGTCATTGCAGGCCAGCTGGTCAGGAGCACAGGTAACTGCAACACAAGAATGATCAAAACTTTGAAGATTCAAACCACGCAGGGTGGCCCTTTTTACAGACATACTAAGAGCCCTCTTAGCTGAAGATGATGCCTTAATTTGATACAAGTATTGCTTTTTTCTCAAGTAACATAATGAGTGAAAGGTAGAATGGCATCATCCAAAAAACTGACACAGTATGAATAATAGGCTAATGCGTACAAATTCTTGTAAGTCAATAAAGAAGCTTAAGTGTGTCTGCAGTTTAAGTTTCTGCGTGATCTGAATTGAGCTTGTCAGAGCTGGGCAGATATTTGTGCACCACACAGCAGTGATTAGGAGGGAGAAGCCCTGTTTTTTTCTCATTTACTTCTTTTTCTCTTGTTTTTATGTTAGGAGAAAAGGTAAGAGATTTGTCATTTTCTTATTTCTTTTCATGTTAGGAAAGACTAGGGTGTTGCTAGTCCTTTTGTTTATTGTTTTTTTGGGGCCATTCTCTGCTCTAGAAATAAATAAATGTTGAATCTGAAGTGACCTGGGCTGCTGGTATTCTTGGGAGTGGGAAGAGTGGGGGTCACTTATCATGTTGTGTGGACATAACAATACATATCGGCTTTGTTTACCTTTACTTGGACATACAGCCTCATCAGTTCCAGCGGTGCAATCTCTGCGTCCGTCGCACACTTTCTCTGCAGGGATACACTGATCACCAGGGCACTGGAACTCCCCTTTTGAGCACAGACACCTGAAACCAGTTGTTTGGAAACAAAAGAAATAGAACAGTCTCTATGTTATGAACAGACATGGGCTGAAGAGTATTTGGAAATCATTTGTAATATTTGATGTAGCTTTCTTCACATATTGTTTAGGATTTGAGAAATGAGTTGCCTTAAGTTGATGTTGACTAAAATATAGGTGTCAACTTTACCTTGACACCTACAATCTCAGATCCTAAAGTTCAATAGAAATGAAACACACCCTCTCTCATCACTGAGGTCCCCACAGTCATCATGTCCGTCGCAGCGGTGGAGGTAGAGGATACAACGTCCTCCAGCACACAGGAATTCTCCTTCATCACACACCACGCCACAGTCTGGAAGAACAGACGTTCATGTGCATAATGTACTGAAAAGTAAACATTCTAGTATTCTCACATGTAAGAGTATCATGCTGGATGATAGATTACCTTGTTCATCAGACCCATCAGCGAAACCACAGTCCAGCCGTCCATCACACACAAGGCTGGCTGGCAGGCACTTTCCACTGGCGCACTGAAACTCCCCTGGTGGGCAAAGGGGCACAGGGGTGGCAGGTCCACAGAACTCCTCATCTGATTGGTCAGCACAGTCTGGGTGGCCATCACAACGCAGAACCAGGTTCAAACATGGTCCACTGCAGGATTGGGGTCATTTCACTTTATTGAGTTTAGGGACTGAGTTTTCAAATGTTAAAATCTAACTTCCGTCTAAAGCCATTGTTAGCAACCTGATAAGGCTTTAAAAGGAGGCATGAACTAGTAAGGATACAAATCACTGCTGTCGCATCCTCAACCTCAGTAGAGGAAAAGCATACTGTATTGTTTGATTAACTCTAGAAAGTGCCTGCTACATTTTTGCTGATGTCAGCATTTATGTCAGTGCAATTAATAGCTGTGTAACTTTAACATGCTAACATTGCACATGTTAGAAGATGACGTTAAGCATTATAGCTTGTTTAAATAAAAACATTTGAGAATATAGCATTTTGCAGATCATAAGATCATGGATGCATGAATTCCAATCAGGATCGTTTTTATGTACTGTGGTTAATGTGCAAAGTTTGGCCTGTCGTCTGATGAAAGTTGTTGGTTCCTAAAGTGATGGGATTCATCCTCGAGAGGATGAGGAAGGGAGCCAAGAACCAACCAAAGGTCATTTTTAGTCTTTCTTATCTTAACACAGGGAAATTACGCTGCTGATAAACTAGAGTGTTTTTTTTTTGTTTTTTTTACCTCGGCGTGCTGGTGCAGCGGAATTGATCTGGAGAGCACGTGGATGGGCAGACTTCATCTGATCCATCACCACAGTCATCTTCATTGTCACACATCCACATAGAGGGGATACAGCGCCCCCCAGCGCAGGCGAACTCTGATTCCAGACAGGGAGGGGAGGGAGGGGGGCAGGCCACACCCTGACACTGCCACAAACCATCCTCACAGGAGCTGGAGATGCAAAGGCAAATCAATCCACTACAATTGATAAAGTGGCATAAAAAAATAAAATAAAACATCCACTATAGTTAAATAATAGAGAGGATCTTCAATTTTTGTCATTAGCATCAACTGACCAGTTCTGGCAGTGTTGAGTGATGACTGAATCGGCAGGAAACATTGAGCCGTCCCACTCACACGGACACTCACGAGAAACTACACAACTGCCACCTGTAGAACAGAAAACAAATAGACTATTCTGCTATTCTCAGAGCTTTGCAAGCCGTAATGCGAGATATTTTGTCCTAGGTGTGGAGAATGGCAAAAGAACATGGGCTCATTAGAGTCCAAGGGCTAACTGAAAGGTCTGTCAGTCATTGAAACATCATAAAAAAGTCCTCTGGGGAGCAGAAATGTGTCATCTCAAATATGTCCATCAATGAATCAAAAAATCTTTTAGATTAACCAAACAAAGCTTGAGTTTCAGTTTTACCATGTCGGACAGTGCCAACAGGACAGAAGCAGCCCTCCACGCAGGAGAGAGCACCGCACTGGGAGTGTGGACTTTTCTGAACACCTGGGCACAAAGGGGAGCAAGCTGGACCGCAAGGATCATACACCAGACCATTGTCACACTGCAGAGCTGCGGGGAAGGAGATGAACAGAGAGATAGTAAGACAAAGGGCAAGACAAGGACAACATAACAACAGCTATAGGAAACTGTAACAAAACAGTATATATGTGTGTGTGTGTGTGTGTGTGTGTGTGTGTGTGAGTGTGTGTGTGCATTGTGTGTCTCTGACATACGACAGAGCTCTTGAGACCTCCAGCGGATGTAGACCCCTCGTCGGTTGCACTCTTCAGCATAGGCAGCAATGGCTGTACAGAGACACTCACAGTCCCCGCCGGAGTCACAGCTGAAACACACAAAATTAGCTAAATGGTTAGAGTGCTGGTTACTTTGTTCTAGATATGAAAGGCGTGTAAAGATAATGATGGTGCAATGGCCTAAATGTAAATGAAAGTGGTTCATTAAATGTAGCTTGCAATTGTGTGCATTTGAGTATGTATTCCTAATTCCAACAATTGCAATGCCCTGGGTGTCGTGAAGAATATTTGGTAAATCAATGCTTGTGGCTGGAAATGTTAATTAGGAACAGGCATGCCTTCATAGAATTGTATACTAATCCAACATTTGAATAAAGCTCTGATATTTAATGCTTACTGCTGTCACTCACCCACAAGCATCAAAGACACACCAGTCATAATACTGCTGGAAGGGCACCTCGGGGTGGCACTGAGAGAAGAGCACCTGAGTCAGAACTGCGCACCTTTTCCTGGCCCAGGTCACCCTGTGAGGGTTCAGCTGAAGAGAGACAAAAAGAGAGAGAAGATAGTTAGCTTTAGTTTGTGTGTGCTGGTGCTGCAACAAAGTCGAACTAAAAAAAAAAAAGTTCTGTCTTCTATTTGGAATATTCTTGGAAAGTGTCCGTTTGTGAGTGAATGCGCACGTCTCTAATACTGAACTCACAGCACAAGGGTCCCGAAGGTCCTGGTTTGCCACGTCAGGGCAGGAGGGGCTGACCTTCCAGGAGTTACCAAACAGCTCGGGTGTAGACTCCACGATGCCCTGCCGTGTGGTGAAATCATTCTCTGTGTCTCCATCAAAGTTACCGCACAGGCCTCCGACCCTGCCGCGCAGGTTGGCCGCCAGGCGCACATACACACGCATGCCTAGAGACGGAATGACAACAACATTACCACTGACATGCTTATTAACCTGCATCCAAAGATTAACACACAAGCAAGAAAGTCTTTCCTCTACAATGAATAATCTGTCAAATAAATAAAGCTTTGACATAATATGAATAAAGAAACGTAATAGCCTGACCGATATATTGTTCGGCTGATATTAACAGCTAATGATGGCTTATAATAGATCCAAATTTTGATGTATTTTTTCTTCAATAGGCTTATATAAAGCCTTTTAAAAAGATAGAATATTCCCAAAAAATTAAATACTATGGCTGATTTAGGAACTGTCCAATTATAATGTTGTCTTGTCTTGTTTTCCTGTTTAAGAAAGCATCCATCTGTTTACTTCAGTGTTTTCAAGCTAAACAAATCTCTCCATTTTCTTTATATATACTTATATCATACGTATGTTTTCCCTCCAAAATCAGAATTAAAGATGGTCTCAAAAATCATCAATTGGTAAATGATAGTTCCCATTGACGAACAAATAAAGTCTACAGAGACTAAAAGAGCATGAAAGGGTCATACCTCCATCCCACAGAAGAGTGACCCCGAGTCGGGAGGACAGGGCGACAAACAGTCCGACTCTTTCCAATGTCAGACCACTGCCGCTGTAAGACTTTGGTAGATCAACTGGCATCCCGTTTACGGTAACAGCTTTACCTAAAAGACAGAGACAAGACAGCTTACCTAACACGCCTATTTAGCCATAATCTTCAGTGGTGTCTATAGACCAAAACTTCCTACAATCAATCATTGCATCACCGGCCCACCTACCCCTCAACAGATGTATGACCGTATTTCCCAGGCTGAGGGTGACTGACTTTGTGCAGGTGACCCCGGTGCTCCCACAGGGCACGTTCTCTGCCGTGACACTGAACAAACCGCTGGTCTCGCGCGCAAGCACGTACTGGCAATCTCCCAGGAAAGAAAAGCAGCGCCCGTCGAATGTCATATAGTGTGGGTCACCAGTTGCCAAACACACGCCAGCACAGGCGGACTGGCTGCAGTGCCAGCGGCGCTCCTTGCACACACTGAAGGAATGAAGTAAGTATAGTGAAGATCATATTGTGTTAAAGGGAATGTTAAGCAATGATAAAACTGCATACTTTACCATGTGTTGCAATCCTTAGTGATGGTGTCATTGGTGTAGTAAAGATGACCATTATGGTGACATGGGCAGTCCTCTGGCAGAACACAGTTATCACCCTGATTTAAAGAAATGCAAGTGTTTTTAGCCGTATGGGGTCATGAGATATCTAACATATGAGAAGTCCCAGACTTTAGGGTTTTTATCATCCTGACATACACAGAGTCACCGACTGGTCTTGCCTAATCGAAACTGATTCCGGCTCACAGTTTGCACCTGTTTGCATCTGTGTTCAGGGGCCCCGGAAACCCCACAGCATTGGTTGCTGTGCTGGCGAAATCAACCAACAGATGTTACAGTTCAACACTACGGTACACTACTTTATTATGGAGAATTGAGTTGAGTCATGAATAGTGAATTAATCCGAGAATCATGTGTTTTGAAGTCGATGTGTCTTGTTATCTTAAAACACTTTGAATACTTGTTATATCAAATTTTATCTTACCCTTCGAGTTGTTTCTTCAATTTTTTGTTTTAAATTCATTTATTGTCTAAAGAGGATGCACAGTTTAAACTCATTTCCTCTAGTGTTTGCATCAAGACAAATTGAATTCCCCCACAAATAAGTCAGTGAGGGTGAAAGATGTAATAGTCTTTCAATAGTGTTTAAACAGCTTTTTAATGTAACTATTGTTTTCAGGGTGTGTGTCTACCAATGACGCGCCCCTTCCGCATCTATTTGTTCTGCCACAGACCTGCTGCTAAACTGTTTTTCATTGTTTTTACAGCAATGACAATAAAAGTATTCTATTCTAGGTATCCACCACACAGCGAAGCAGTGCTGTGGGAAGATGAAGAAACTAAAAGAAAATTAAAAAAAAAAACTAAATCAGTGTTGGCCGGCTTACTTCACCATGGCCAGGGGAATGCAGACATATAAAAAGTCCCCATGATGAGTAGTTCTCAGGGAACTCCCTCGCTCAAAAAGTCCCCAGAACTATCAAAAAAATACCTGTTACAAACTTTGAAGGGCTGGAAATAACAGGAGCAACTTGTGACATTAATTTAGAGTGGCCCCTTTCTATGTATTAAACTGTAAAGGAACAAAGCCTTTTCAATTATATTATTACTACATCTGTGTTTCTCTGCAATAAAATGTCAAAATGTGTTTATAAAAATGGCTTTATAGTCTCAACATTTCACATATTAAAAATACATTTGTTATCCAAAATTAGCTTCAGCAAATGAAATTTGAGTTTTCACCCACTTGAAGCACAGTTCCCTTGGGACAGACGCAGCCAGACAGCGGCTCTCTGCAGCTGGACTGTGAAACACTGGACCCCTGCTGTTGGCCCGGAGGGTCCAGGCTGGAGCAGGTGAGGAGGCAGGAGCGTGGAGAGTAGACCAAAGAGCCTGGACACCGGTTCACCTCTTCACAGCGCTCCTGAGTGCAGTTAAACTGTCCCTGCTCACACACACTGGAAAGGTAAGAGGAGAGTGTGCAGAATCACTTTTTAAATAGGCTAACTGTACATTAAAGTATATCAGAAATTATTTAGCGCTTGCAATGAATGATTGAATTCAGCAAAAAATCAAACTTCACATATTTTTATATATGTGTTTTATATGTATTTTATATCTGACTAAAAGACCTGCAGCTAAGGCAGTTGGCAACTTGGCCCTGCTGTTAGTAGAGAGCCCTTGAGTATTTTGTCAAATCACTACTGGCCCATAAAAGTTAACTACAGACGGATAAAGTTTTACTTTTATTTCTCAAGACTCGCTGTTAAATATTACAAGGAAACAATCAAATGTGCAATTCAATTCAATTTGAAGTGCAATTTGCTTGAATCAATAAATTTAAGAGCCGTCATTTAATTGGAATGGATGCACTATTCTGCACGTCACATTGTATATTACTATAATGATTATCCCAAATTCAACTGTCCTATCTCCTTATAACAGTTAATGAGGTTTAATGTCAATGCCTGGACACGATTTGCAATTATAGCATAATAAAAGTAAGTCAAGTAAAGATAGGGCTATCCACAGACACAGATATAAACACATTTATCAGTAGCCTTTTTTTTCTTATTTATGACTACCCTGACTCAGATAAAGTGACGATCTCTCCATTTGTGTAGTGAAGAGATGCAATGAAATCAACCTATCCTGAATCAGGGAGCAGGAACATAGGGCAATTTCATCAGAGCTCTAGCACCACCAGGGAGTCGGCACACTCTCATACATGGTGAACACACAATTTAAAGTTTCAGCAATTCAAATTAAAATAGATAAAATGACTAAATTAGCTATAATAAGAAAACAAACAAACAGGACAAAAACACAGTTAAATTAATTCAGAATATACTTCGACGTCAGTTAAACGTATTCAGTCTCAGATGTTGAGAGTTTAAAAGGAAGTTGATTTGAGCAAATTAAGTCACCAAATGCATGTGATCACGATACACGATTAAAATTAAAGTGTGGAAATATTATATTGTGGATGCAATTAAACCTCTGCTCTACAAACAATGAAAGGAAGTGCGTCATCTGTTTCCTTTACCACAGCCACCACATGATAAAAGCAATGAAAACAGAGACATGCTCTTTTTTATGACATGTTGTGAAAATGAAGTTTATGCAATTGGGTCAGTAAGAGCTTGTGCTGAGTTTATCTCTGCAGTGTTCAAGGTTCAAGGTTGTCTTTATTATCCCTGCGAGAGGGCAATTTGTTTTGCAGTCAGCAGTAAAACACACTGTGTTTGCTGTGTCTGCTGTTCCTCATTGCAGGAGTGTGTCTGTGCAGGATGTTAAAATGTAAACTGAGTCAAATACTGTCATTAAGAGTCAAAGATGGATCTGTAAAATAAGCTCATTTAAGAAGCAAATAGCAATCTTACATTCAGGGTTCAATTTACCTTGCATACTGTATGTACTCATAATTAGGATTTTCACTACATAGAGACTTGATCATATTGCTTGTAAAATCATACTATATGTAGGGTATTAAAGACAGAGAGTACTTGATCGACAACATACCAGGTATTACAGTTGTTCTTAATAACAGCACCAGACTGGTACGTCTTGTCTCCTTGCACACAGGGGCACATACTGATGGGTACACATTGGCCCTGGTGGTCCTGCACTAGTCCTGTTGGGCACTGGCAACCTGGGATACACATCCTCATACCCACTCCAACACCTTCATCATCGCAGCTCCAACCCTCGGAACAGGAGCCACCACAGGCACGACCACACTCCTTGTATACCTGACCTCCTGAACACTGGACCGCTGGAAAGACAGGGGATTTTAGTTATTGTTTAAAGGGTTTAATGCTAAAGGGCAACCAGTTCTGTCAAGTGTTAAAATCATTATAAAAACAGACAAACCACATCAACACCTCCTTCAGCTTTAGGCTAATACTGAACACTAGCTTGGCTTAGCAAGCTAGTGTTAGCTTAGATCTTTCAAGTCATATTGCTCTAGTCACAGTAAATTCACAATTGAGTGATTTGGTCTTTGTGTGAGGTCAGGTCATGCAACTCCAAACTTGAGTGAGTTAAAATAAGTGGACATAGCTTCTTTGTTTCAAATGTGAAGCCAATACAATAGTGAAAAAAAACCCACAGTAGGAGACGCCACTGGTTGTAAAAAGAAATCCAGTTGTTAGTCTATCAAGAAAAAACCCAACTTTTCTAGTTTACTCATTTTAGGGTGGCTGTGGCTCAGCAGTCGGTTGTCTCTCAACCAGAAAACCCGGGGTTTTATACCCAGCTTCTCCAGGCACATGTGGAAGTGTACTTGGGCAAATCAATGAATGTGTCTGAACGGGATTATTTAATACTGATGGACATTTTACATGCTGTAGCAGCCTCTACAATCAGTGTGTGAATGGGTGTGAATGGGTAGCTGTGACCTGCAGTGTCAAAAATGTTTTTGGTGGTCAGAAGACTGGAAAAGTGCTATACAAGCTCCACTTACCATTCCCACAGTATGCATTTTACTGATCAGTTTGCGGTCCAAATCACTAATTTCACTAAAGAAAGGTCAGCTTTAAGGCTTGGCTTCCTGTGCTTAACAAGTCCCTAACATGGCCACCTGTCAAACCAGGATACAGGTAGAGCAATGTGTTCAACTACGGTCACTTCTTGCTCCAAATAACTCAGACGGGATGATTAAAATGCCACACTTGAGCCTTCAAAAGTCTTTCCAAGAACCAATGGGTGAGTTGCGGTGGTTACGACTCTTACACACAGCCTAAGAAAAACAATACAGCTATACCCTGCTCTTGTTGTACCTCGAACAAATAATAATACCATTAATGGATCTACAGGAACCATAAATGAACAAACATAACAAATGTAATGACAGCCAGGAGAAGACCAATCCATGTAATGAACTCACCAGGAGACTAATCTATGGCCTTGAAAACTTACGGCAGAAGGTTTGATTTCGCCAGTGGATGGTAGCTCCTTCTTGTGCACAGTGTCGGGTGTAGGCGGTGAGGATGTTGCAATGGCAGGCTTTCTGTGGATGGCAGCCACAAACCTCCGACAGACAGAGACGATAATAGGGCTCCCTCTCCACGACGTCATGACACACCTGCAAAATCAGAAAGAGAGTGTTAGTGAAAAAAGTAACAGGAACTTCCTCCTTAGATAGTGAGAGATTTAAAACACTTCATGCACTTTACCTGAAAGATAGGACTGTGTATGATGGAGCATACAGTCTCTGCATATTGTCTCCTCTGGGTGTAGGTGGTGCAGGGATCTGATGGAGCCCCTTTAGGTAGGGCACAGCGCTCTGTTGTGAATTTCCCCGCAAAGGATGAAACACTGCTCTCCACGTCTCCTTCTGGTGTGGTGAAGTCATCATGCTGGTTCCAGGTTAACGTTCCACACAGGCCACGCACCTTGAATACAACAGTCATACTTTTAAACTAGAACAAAGGTATATGAATTGGTAGTTTAAGTTTATGACAATTTTTTTTATTTTCCCTGCATTACAGGGGAGTATCCAAAGGGGTAGACAGAGGTGGCATGTGCCCCCCCCCTTGAAATCTGATTAGCCAACCCAGATTACATCCCTAAATCAAAATCTATGATTGGCTTTTTGCCTTATCAGAGGCGGGACTTATGTACATATCAACTGTTCTGGCTGTTTTCAACTGGTTAATGGGAGTACATTCAGTTGTAAATAAAAACGTTGCTTATCCATAAAAAGATAATGAAGGAAAAACTTGTACACAATGTCTAACTTGCAATTCATTTAATTGCCAATTAGTTTATTTTTGTAAGTTAGACCGCGTGCAAGAGTTTGCATGCAATTTTCTAATTACTTAAAATTGTGACTTTGGACAGAACACTTTGTTCATGAGTCCCTAAAGAACCAAGCTAAAAAGATTTGTAAGTTGCCAAATTCTGTTACTTACATGGACAGGACAGAAAGGCAAACGTTTTTTTTATTCATTTGCATGCGTATGCCCACAATTGTCAGGCCACCCCTGCATAAGACAGTGCCCCAGGTGTGCCACCCCAGTTAAAAAAAAAGTCTGGACACACCCCTGCTGTATTCAGATACTGTTGCAGAATGTTTGGAAACTAAAAATACAAGTTCCAAACAGCAAGTTCCAGACATAACATTTATCTCAACCCCTTTTAAACTAAATATGGCACAACTGATATGCCATATAGGGGGAGCTGTGGCTAAGTTGATAGAGTTGGTCATCTCTCAAACAGAAGTTCGGGGGTTTGATCCCCAGCTCCTGCAGCTACATGTCCAATGTGTCCTTGGGTAAGACCCCAAATTGCTCCGGCTGCTTGGTTGTTGGCATGTGAAAGTGTATGAATGGGATTAGTTACTTCTGATGGTTTCTTTACATAGCAACCACTACCATCAGTGTGTGAATGTGTAGGCGTGACCTGCGGTGTAAAATAAATTTGAGTAGTCAGAAGACTAGAAAAGCGATATACAAGCTCAAGTCCATTTACCATTTACTTATGAGGTGTAAAGAGAGTACCTTGTGTGCAAAGCCAGGTTGCAGTGTAATGAGCAACAAAGGTCCATCTAAGTGCAACAGCAGCTGGGCTCCAAAAGTCTGGATGAGGAGAAATGACGAGGAGGCCCTACGTACAACCAGGTCCCCCGTCACCACAGGTAATGACTCCTTCTGTCCATTTAGTGTCACTGTACCTGGAAGTAACAATTCAAAGGAAGCAATCAGAAAGCAGGTCAAAAAGCAGTTTTTTTAGACAACAACCTCCTTGAGGCGACCCCATCTAATAGCTTTCAATCTCATTGCCCTGCTTAACGCCGGTTTGAGGGTCCCCCAACTGATTTTTGCCTTTTTGCCCCAATGGACTATGGAATCACCAATGGTCATGTTTGCATACATTTAAATCAATTATTAACTGTTTCCCTTTATTAACTCTTCAGAAAAATACTTGAAAGACTTGAAAAATACAAAAATCATTTACGACAAATGTATTATGGTGCAAAAAGGACTAACGTTTAAATGCACTATGTCTTCCTCAGAGTCAAAAATTCCTTCGCTGAGAGCATCCACAGTGGAGGGGCTGAAGCGCAACAATATACTTCTACTATTACTAAGACTTTTTAGCCGCTAAAAGCTGCAAAATGTTCACGTCATTAACTTTGTCTGCCATTTAGAGAGGGTGAAAATGTCAGCGTGTAAGACTAACTCACCAGTGTCTGTGATGGTGACAGTGGTGCGGAGTGCTGTGACTAAGATCTCCCTCATACAACCAAGGCCTTGTCCACCTCCTCCTGCTGTACACTCCCCACTGCGCACACTCACCACCAGCTTCCTGTCAATAAAGTCCTGTAAACACACAAAATATAAACAGTAAGTGGCTGCTTCACGCACACAATTGTACCTCAAGGCGTATGTAAATGTGTGCATGGTTGCGTTTTAAGTGTCTCACCTCTACAGCAGTGAACAGACAGTCTCCTCCCTGCAGTGAATACCTCTTTTTGTCAAAAGTGGTCACCTGTAGCGCCCCCATCAGGCTGCACTGTGCTGCACACTTCTCCCCAGTACACTGCCACTGGCCTGCTCTGCACACACTGTGATGATTAGGAGTTCAAAAGTAAACTCAAGAGTCTGAAAGTAAAGAATTCACATGTGTTAAGATGAAAAGAAAGGACATACCAGGTGTTGCACCTCTGCTGTATCCTGTCCCCTGATTTGTAGGTGCTTCTGCGATGGAAGCAAGGACAATCGTCTCTTTGCAGACAGAGTCCTTGGTGAAGGTAGAGGCCTGGTGGACACTCACAGCCCCCCACACACTCCTCCCTGCACTGCCCCATGGCTGCAGGACCTGTGTGCTGAGGAGACGCACAACTGGGGGGACAGGAGGACACGCAGTCTGAAAATACCTGATCTCTGGGACAGACACGACCTGGGGAGACAGAGAAGAAGAGGAAGAAATAGATTTGAAGATTTCTTTGCATGTGCTAGCATCATGTGTACCTACTGATAACTGTTGCATAGACTGTGCTTAACTTGGCAGAGAATCAATCCATTTAAGGCAATACTTCATTTACTTTATGTTGCTGATGATTTGAACTGTTTTAATAGGTTCGAAATAATTCAGTGGATTCCTTCTGTCAGATAGGTTTCAAAGAAAGTACTGGAGCACACAAATCAATAAAGGTACATTTAAAGGTGTAAAGGACTAACGTTTCAATGCACTGCTTCCTCAGAGTGAAAGAGAACAGGACAAGTTTCGAAATAAAAGAAATCCAGCGATAACAATGTGTCAGTGATTAATTTTCCATTAAACTACTGATGGATGGGGACACTCTTAGACTGTGTGGTCATTTCTCTACAAGTTTTTTTTTTCATTTTACCTGGTAATACAAAAAATAATCCCAATAAAGTTGAAGTTAGAATTGGCAATTCCAGATCATGGCCCTCTTACAGAACCATAAACCCTATCACAGCTTACAAACCTACAATCAGCACTTTAAAAATAAACAAACTGGCATTAGCTTTAACAACATTTTCATATTGTCCTGTAATTGCCACTTGTTGCCACAGTGTTGAAAATGATTGCTTTAGAGAGCACCTTGTATTTTGATGGATAATCCCAAAAATGAAATCGTCCGAGGCTGTTTTCTCACATAGTCAACAGTATATAAATACTATATGTTTATTGTTATTACCACACAGAGCCGCTGTCCTCCACATAATTATGATGTGTTGTTGGGCACACTCGCGGGTGTAGCTGGCCAGGGTGTCACACACTGCGGAGTCCCTCTCTCTGGGAGGTAGGCTACAATACAGGTAGAGACAGGTGTCTACGTACGCTGCTGGGTCCACCTGAAAGACACAGAAACACAAGCTTAGTCATGTCAGAATTTGATTGCAACCAATAACTGTCTGCAAAACAAAAACTGTACAAATACTGGAAAGAGAGCTTTGATTTTAAGAGATGCACGCTATGGAATCTGACCAGTAACTTAAAGTTTATGGGTTAACTTTTATGTGCAATGAAAGCCCATAAATAAACCAAACATAAAATTTGACAGTGTCTTATCATATAAACGGGTGTACTGTTATTAGTTGATAACTTATGACATGAAAGTAATGAAGTGAACATACCCTTATTCATTAATTATTGAGTTACAATATGTCAGTTTTAGTGCAGCATTTTACTCAGTCTAACCCATCTGTTGGAGTGACTCTCTCGATTGGCACCTTGTAAATGATTACTCCCATGGAGGATTTGATTTTCAGGCTTGGATTTCCAATGACATGCGCTAGAGAGTGTCTCCTTATGTTGTCTTAAAAGATGACAATCAATTACAAAAAAAAAAAAAATGCCATGTGACTAGGTCAGTGTAATAGGTGTCTGACCCGGAGGTGACAGTGTGTGAAGGGGTCTGCCAGCAGTCGGTGACACACAGACTCTGCATGCCTGCGTAGTGTCGGGTCTCCTGAGACATCACAGCTGTGACCAAGCTCAGCTGCATCACTGCAGCCCTGAGGGAAGCACAGGACAGAGACACATCTAATTATAGAGGGTACAACATATAAATGCAAACAGCTATCCAACATCAAGCTCCATTATTCAGCCATTAAGTTGTTCTTGATTCAGGTTTACATTCAGACAGCAGAAATATGTTATAATAAAGGTGTCCCACAAGAACATATAACAGTGGTAACAAAAGCACTCTAAAGCTATAACCAATGAAATACAAATATAAATGAAGTGGAGTACTTCATTCTGCTGGTCTGGAACTTTCCATGAGTTGCCGAAGCTGGCGGCGTACTGGGACACAGTCCCACCCATTGTGGTGAAGTCATCTGTGGCACAAACACACAAACAGGTTAGCTGTGTGATTGAAAAGCAAACTTGTCCAAATCAGTTTTATCAATCCAAATTTCAGTTGTAGAAAGTAAAGAAAAACCTTGACACTTGTATATTTAATGGCACTTTTCTTACCATCAGCATTGTTGTTGTAGACTCCACAGAGCCCCCTGGTGGCAGCAAGGTGCTCAGCAGTCACTGTCAAATAGACCGTGTTGCTCAGGTCAAACTTCAGTCTCACTCCCAGACCGCTCTCCACAAACACAAAGTCCCCGAGCCAGTGAACACTCACTCCTGTTAAGAGTCCAAACAATCATAGAACGTACTTTAAGTCTCACGTATGTTAATCATTAATCATTAATCATTAATCGATAAGAATGTAACCGATTAAAAATGGATTAATTGACAACCTGCTTTGTTTACAATTTTACCTGCGGCAACATGTGATATCATTTTATACCGCAGACGGAAGCGGTACTGACAAAAGTGAGGCAAAAAATAAAGCAGTCAGCAGAGAGCGTTTTCTGTTTAATAATCTAATTATTAATCATTCATCGATTATTGATTGTTAATATGATCAACTATCGGTTTAGAAAAATGACTGAAATTTGCAACCCTAGTGTAGGGTAATTACACAATATTAAAAATAATATTTTTTCAACAAACACATTTTAATTTTTTACATAGTGTCACCATAAGAAGTGAAAGTAAACATCTGGTCTGAAAGGGCATGATAATGTTATTTCTTATGACCAGCAGGGGGCGATGACAGTGATCGCATTAAGATAACCACTGTAGAAAGTTATAAGATAATGACCTAACATCTTACTAGACCTATAACCTATGCATTTTCCTAATAAGGTAACAGTCTCAATAGCTAAGTTTCCCCCCCCCCCATTTACAGTAAAGTGGCCATAAAGCAGGTTATGCTTTAGTGTGTGTGATTCTGATGTTGCTGCCACAGTGACCTCTCAATCTAAATGATACCTTTTCACGTTATATATCTACAACTTGTCCAAGTATATTCATTTCTGGCTCAGAAAAAAGATGGCAACAGCCAGTATGCTAACTCGACTCTTCTACTCTGTAGTTTAAAAACAAAATCGTGAAATCAGTTTTTTAAATCAATTTCTTTAATAATGGATGGCTGACTTTCATTGTACATGATGGAGATGGACCCAAAAAGATTTAGTAAATAATCAAAAATTATTTTTAAGTCGATATCCATGATGATCCCATAATCTTGCAAAACATTGGACCCATCTCCTCTGCCGTTACCTGGGTGTAATCTTTGTTCCTTCATTATCACTCTACAGCCATGTTAAGCAGCTAACAAGATCATGCTTATATCACTTAATAACCATCAGTAAACTGAGAACATTAGTGTCAACTACAGAACTTGAGATGATCTTAGTCTCATCCCGTATCGACTACTGTAATGCTCTTTTCACCTCACTCAGCACGTCTGCTGTAAATCATCCCTAATGAATCCAGAATGCTGCTGCTCGGATTCTCACCAGGTCAGTCAAACAGTTTCACGTCACTCCATCACTGAAATATCTGCACTGGCTCCCCATAGTTTAAGTTTAAAATTTTCACCCTCACTTTTAGAGCCCTTCACAGTCAGGCCCCAGGATATTTGTCAGAACTCATTGACCTGTATTCACCAACCTGTTCGCTTAGGTCCAACACCTCCTTACTGTCCCACAGACACACTTAGATTTGTGCTGGTCGTGCGTTTGAGGCCATGTAGCACCAGGCCTATTGATAATCATGTCCACCCCCATCATTCCTATTTTTCAGCTCAGAACAGGCTGTTTCTGTGTCTGTAGCTTTAAATGTAAATGAGCTGTGTTTGACCACGCCCCTCAAGAAGGGCTTGGGTGGCACGGACTTTCTTGCACCATGCCCAACTGTTTACGTTGAGAGGGCAAACTCAGAGGGCAGAACAAACACCTAGCTGTGGGAGTGTCACCCACCTGGGGGAGGGGTTACTGCCCTTTGTGATGTCATAAAAGGGAAAATCTCCAGACGGCCTGTTTGAGCACACGTTTTCTGAAAAGTGGAGCAGGCAGAAGACAGAGAGAATGGACTTTTCTCATAATTAGTGAGTTTGAACACAGGCTAGGGACACATATTAGTGTTTGAAAACCAAGGTAAAGTGTATTTTGCATAATATGTGACCTATAAAATGACTCCTGTGTCTCGTGCCTTACAGCTTGGTCCTTTTTGTTTTTTAGAATATTTGCTTTATTTGGTTCAGTGCATGCCTATCGTGATGTTGCTAGAGCATTAGGGAAATTTGATCTTATTTTAAAATGGTCTAGGAGGAGAAAGCTTTACTGACAGCTAAAAATATCTTACCATTTTGGAAGAGGGGTTCTCCATTTGGGACAGGCTGGTTGTTCAGCGTTAAGTTCTTGTGTCGAATGGTGACCAAATCTAGACCAAGCATTATCCTCAAAGCCTGAGAGCAAAGAGGCAAGGAGTGATTACCATTATTTATATAACAAGTACTGCCATATTATTGCTACTGGTGAGAGACAATTAGAAAAGTACTCAAATAGTTGTCTAATAATTCCCCTACAATCAGACTTATCAATCACCTTACTGCAGCGTCTTCTCCCATCACAGACTGTACTGATGTAGACAGCCCAGGTGCCATCAGTAGATGAGGCCAGCAGGTAAGTGCAGCTGCCCTGAAAGTGGAAGTGCTTTCTGTCAAAAGTGCGGAAGTGGGCTCCACCCCAGGACATGCATGTGGCCGAACTCTGAGGCAACCTGACGCTACCCAGCAGACCACCACGCACCAGAGGAGAGAACTGGGAGTCTGCAGAGGAGAGACAGGAGACCATTTCATCCCTTATTGTCACATGAAATAAAAGCATTAAGCAGCTGCACACTTTTTTTTGGTGCACTAGAATATAGAATAGATAGATAAATAGAAGAGTTTGAAAATGGGGCAAAATAAGTATAGTATGTGTGAGTGTGCATGCATGTTCACTGACCAGGAAGGAGAGTGTACGTGCAAGACAGGCAGGTCTGGTCCGAGGCATTCCTCCAGCTTAGACCCCACAGGCTGCTGCAGCACTGCTCCACGGGCATCAGGGAGGAGTTGTGAACTCCAGGGAATTCCTCACAACTCCACGTAGAGAAACACTGACCACGCACACCCACACCTGGAAGGAAGGCGGAACAGGACAAATAAGATACTAGTAGAAAAATGAGCAATGGACTTCAGTTACTCTATCAAATAAATCAGATACAGTGAATACATTATTCAACCAATTTCCATTATAATAACTTTAGAATCACAAAATAAGTCACCCCATGACATTACATTTAGAGCACGTCTAGACTGTATTCTTAGTTATATTTATAGTGCAGGAAATGTTTTATTAATGCCAGAAGAGCTAGTAAAAAAATTTCACTCTTCAAAGAAACCAGTGCAAAATTAATGATAGGAAGTTTTCCAATATTCTATATTTTTCAAGAGTTTATTTTGGATTCAGATTCAGACAACTTTATTTATCCCTGAAGGGCAATTCTGTTTCAGCTCCTGCAGTTTTTTGGGGCTTTTTACGCCTTTATTTTAGAGACAGAAAAGTGGATAGAGTCAAAAATGGAGAGCAAGAGTTAGAGGAATGACATGCGGGAAAGGAGCCACAGGTCGTATTTGAGCCTGGGCCACCTGCTTGAAGGACTATAGACTCTATACATGGTGCACGTGCACTAACTACTAGGCTACTGGTGCCCCCTTATTTTCTATTTTAATGGAGATATTTTAGGTAGATGTGCTGATTTGTTGCCCATTAAGCAATATGATAAATGGACTGTAGATTAAACAAGTGATAAACATAAACCATAATAATACTTGTAAGAATGCCATTAAACCTAGTCTGGAATGACAAAACAAACAAACAAATAACATTGCCATAGAGATATATAAATAACATTTATATAATAAAGAAGAAGAATGGAATCCAACGAGGGGAAATTAGTTAAACACCTGCACACACACACATGAAATACACACACATGCACAAACAGGATCTTATGGACATGCACTAGCGGTGTGATGTCAGAGTGAGGGGGCTGCACAAGAAAGCGCGCCGAGCAGTTTGCCTTGCTCAAGGGCACCTCAGCAGTGCTCAGGAAGTGAACTGGCACCTCTCCAGCTACCAGACCAATTTCCAGACCGGCGACCCTCCAGTTCTCAAGTCCCGACACAGAGCTAGTCCTGCCCCACTACCCAATAATCACATAATGTAGAAAAAATGAAATTGCTCAATTTGAATCAATTCAATCAGTTTGATCATTTGAAGTTACAGCATATTTATATGTGAAGATTTTGTGTGTAGGATTTTATCATGAAGGAAAACGTCTGGAGCACATGGTCAACACAAACATTTGAATGTGTGTCTGCACTGCATGTCACACTAGCTGAATTGTCTGTGTTCTTCAGAAGTTTTATTTCATGCTGTGATTATCTGCCCCGTTCTGAGACGCAGCATTATGCTATGTCCGCCAGTTAGCACGGTTTCCCCATCTGTGTAGGATTATACATTTTACGATGTATCGCTTTTTCTGTGTCTACTTTACCAAGCGATACAAGCGTCATGCATGCTTGGTCATTGCAATGGTTTTTCTTCGTTTATGTACTCACCCTCAGAGCAACGTGGTCCTCCCCAGCCTTCACAACACACCCTCACTGTTTTGTTCACAGTCTGCGTCTCCATCTCTGGAGGTCTTAAAACAACAAACATGTCAGGTTAGGGGTTTACACATTTAGAAACTGTGTGCATTCATTCTAATGCTATACCAGTCACTCTTAATTACAACACATAGCTTTAAAAATACATCCTACACAAGGCATTGCTTTTGAAATGTCTTGATTTATTAAATCTGTTTACTCCTGTAATGCATTCCTTGTCAATATATGTCACCAGGAGAGCGTAGACAACAAGTCTGCTCCTGCAATCTTCCCTCTCTCATACCCAGCTCTTCATAACCTTCAATATTCATCCATCCATTATCTACAACACTTTTTCCCATTATGGGTTGCAGGAGGCTGGAGCTGATCCCAGCAGCGGGGTACACCCTGGACTGGTCGGCAGTCCATCACAGGGCTGCCATACAGTGTAGAGACATACAACCAGGCACACTCACATTCCTACACAGTCAATTTGAGGGTCACCAATTGAAGCCCATGCTTCAATATATTCAAATATATTTGCCAAATTTCTAACGACAAAGTGACACAATGCAGATTTTTTTAATGATGCTTTTTTCCCCCTTATTTTACACAAGAGAATGATCTTTTACTCGAGCATGTGACTTTATTAAAAAAGCTTTTCCTCCAAGCCCCACACTTGCACTGACATGGTTTCATAGAACCCCAAGCATAGAGTTTGAGCACAAGCAGAGCGAATCCAAACAGAGAGACAATTTTAGGTTAGTCGAAGAATGAAAAATCTGAATCAAAAGGTCATGTTCTCAATGTCTAAAAAGACCACGCTCTCAAATATGAGGGAAAAAAAAGCCTCCATCTAATGCAGAGGTTCCCAAACTTTTTCTACAGGGCTCCCCTTTGATAGATGAAAATATTTATTAAGCCCCACAACCTCACCAAACACATCAACATATATCATATCGACATACAGTACATTAAACACAATGTCAGTCATGCTCTTCTCTAAAAAATTCCTATATGTTTAGAAAGTATCTTTAACATTTGCTGCAGTTCCTACAGTTATGAGAAAAGAGGCCCGGCAAGGCTTGACAAAAACAATGCAGATTGTTTTTCACTACTTGCAAAGCATGGGAAATTTTTGTGAGAGGACTTCTAGGAAAATGTAAGGCCGAAAGTGAATCAACACCAGACGTCACAGTTTGTGAAGTTTCATGTTGCCGTATCACCTTTTCCTCCCTTCTTCCTTTTTTTTATAAGTGGCAAGCTAGTTTTCCTCCGTTTGTTGTCACAACAAACTGCTATCTTTGGGAATCACAAATTTAATGGAAACAATAATGCTATAATGTTTTTTAAACATCAATCTGGCCTTCCCATTCTGAGCTGTTCAATGCTTTTCACAAAAACCTCAGCTGACCTTACTAGCTATTTGAACTTAAGCTTGACCATGTTTCACTTACTTGTACATGTAACAGGTTGCCTTGGGGCCCTGTTGTTTGTAGTACAGTGCAATGCCATCATCGCCTCCGTGCTTGACTCGCATCCTGTCCACATCCAGCCTCCAGGCTTCAGTGTTATACTGATACACTTCTGAGCAGCTCACTTCAAGCTGTAGACGTGGGGACAGGACATGCTCCGCTTTCTCCTGCACCGTGTGCTCACACCAGTGTCTGTGGTAGAATACATGCATTTCATTTTCATTGCAATACTGGATTTATTACAATACTGCCTCACACAAAATGTTTGCTTATAGTTGAGTTACAGGTCTTAAATGCCAATCAAGGATGAAACGTCTACCCACTACTAACTGAAAGAAAGTCATTATAAAACACATACGAGTGCATTGTAAATACTTCTCCTGTATGTATCTGTCCCTAAAAATGCCATTGGTTGGGGTGCCGGGAGCAAGTGGTCCGGGTTTGAATCCGACCTGTGGCTACTTTCCTGCACTTCATTCCCCACTCTCTTTCTCTTTGTGATATCTGACTCTATCCACTGTCAGATTTCTAAAATGAACCCATAAAAAGCCCAGAATTAAACGTAAAAAAATGCCATCAGTCTTAAAATATCACCTTTAAACATTTCCTGAGGCGATGTCATGACACTTGGCAGATAAAAAGTCCCTAAATTAAAACAGAAACCAACAATAGTGGAAACTTATATACATATATATATATATATATGTATATACACAAATATATTTTATAAAAAATACATGCATAAAATCAGGAGAAACCCTGGATTACTTCAGTGAGCAATTATTTGAAAAAAGTTGCGACTTGGGAAAATATTGTGATCGCCTACGCAAGAAGCGCCAACAAATCAGGAAATCGGCAAAATAATTTTACTTGATTTTTGGAGTTGACCTGAATCCATGCTTAAACATTGCATATGAAAATAATGTGTTCACAGTGAGAAACTTGTGTGAATTCCCATATTTTAGATCTATTTTTTTTTAAATCAATTAACCCAGATAACAAGTTATGTAAAGCAATTGTTTTAAGTTGTTTTAGGATTTTCTTTTATTGGTGAAGCAGCTATTTGAACAAATACTACAATATCAAAACAAAAAAACAAATTCTGAAAATAGATAATAATCCGTTAGGCTAATCCATCACTATAGTGCCCAGGGAATTTCCATTTTTAAAAAACTCCCAACTTGGAGGAACAAGTCAGGAGTTGGGACCATCCAGAGAACATCTGAATGAGCAATATATTGCATAATCATACATTTTTGCCTTGAACATAAATCATGTTCAGTCAATCGTGAAAAATTAGATTGTGAATGAGCTAAGGATTAACAAAAGAAAACACCAGTGATTCACATCATGGCAGTTCTAATGTGATAGTATGAGTACAATGATATACTTGTTGACTTGCAAACTTTTTTGAATCAAAAAGGAACCATTTAAACCAAAGTTAACCTGCTGTCTATGTGGTTTACTCTGTGATCTGTACACCATGTATTTCATACATTCCGTCTTTACCCACTTCTTTATCGCTAGACTCAGGTGTACCTTGTTTTTTTTGTACCTTTAATTGAGAGAAAGGACAGTGGATAGAGTCGGAAATCAGGGAGAGAGAGGGGAATGACATGCAGGAAAGGAGCCACAGGCTGGATTCAAACCTGGGCCACCCGCTTGGAAGACTATAGCCTCCATAACCTGGGGCGCGCGCACTAACCACTGCGCCACCAGCACCCCAGGTGTACCTTTTTTTTTACCGAATTTCCCCCTGGGATAATTAAGAATTTCGGATTCTGACAAAATATTCTTGACCTTACATCAACTGGTCTGAATAGTACTCACCCCATTCCCATCACTGTGTACAGTCCAAGCAGAAACAATGTAAGTGTCTCCATGTTCTTCTTCTGAATGATTGTGCTTAAAAATCCTGTTTGGAAAAAAAAATGTTACACTTTTAAGAACTATTTTCAGAATCATAATTTAAAGGTGAAAATATCAGTGTTTCCAGGAATACTAAGAAATATTAATGACTGAACTGAAACTTTAGAAAAATGTACTTACATTTACATATCTAGGCCATATAGATATCTAAGTATGCTTCTGTTAATGATATGACTATAATGTGTCTTCTCTGTGAGTTGATGTTCATTTGTTCAACTATAAAAAATACATAAAATGATATTTCTAAAGTACTCTATGTTTCCTATTTTATTTGAGAAAAGGTGCACCTACCTTTAAAGTGCTTCTGGGAATTCTTGGGTTTTTTGCCAAACAAAGTCCTTTGCTTGTAAATCAAAATAAGACGTTTTTATGGGTTGACTGTCCTGCTAATCACTTTTTTTTTTCTTCTGCCTGACACTATGTGTGATAGTATGTGATACAATCCTCGGTGAAGTGATACTTTGTCTTATGGGGGAGCGGAGCCCCACATGTAGGGTTTTAAATGTGGGGGGCAACTCAAGGGACGTACAGTAGCATCTGAACCTGCTGCCATTGGACATAAGAGGTGAGGTCACAGCTGGCAGGGCAGAGATAGGTCACCGGACCAGTGACGGACACGTCCACTGACCTCGCCCCGTCAACCATTACAGGAGGCTGTAGGTGATAGCGGGGGTGGTGGAGTCTCAGCCTCAGAAGAAAGAGATGTTTGTCAGAGCCTAATCCTGTAAAGAGAGGCGTCACAGGCAGGATGATGGGGGCTTTTATTCAATGAAGCGTGTCAACAGACATTGGGGACTGAAGGCTTTTAGACTCACCAATATCCCAAGTCTGACCTCCTGCCCCCTGAGCGAGGAGCCTCAAACACAGCTGTCACCAGACCGAAGCATGAACAGGGGAGAGAAAGAAGAAGCGGCGGATGTCACGAGGGTTTACATGAATAGTGTGTGTGTGTCATAATTTACTTTTCTAACACGTTTCCCATGCTTACCTGGAGACATTTCTTGATAGTGAGTGAAGTTGTTAGTTCACTTCTTCATCATTGCTTATGGGAAGTAGGAATAGGGGGATGTTTAGGGGGAAAGGGAGGGACTTTTGCTTGCAGGTTTCATTGGCATTGGTGTAAATGCAGCAAAGGCTCAGTGCTTTAGCTTTAGCATGGTAGCATGCTAACAATGACAATGTGTTTGTAAGAAATATTGTGCTGGGGAATGAATGAGCTAATCAATAGATTTGTAGTTATAGTTTTACTCTTCTTGTCAGACATGGGTGGAATGTCAATCGCACTCGAGGGAAAATGTGGTGACCCAAACAGGTTACCTCAATTGTCTGAAAATGGTTTGTCTTTGCAGTGTCCAACCTTTTTAAGTCACTGTCCACTGTAGAGCTTAATTGCTAATTATTAAATATTTCTCCTATACGGAGGCACAAAGCAGATTGGGAGAAATGTGGCAAAAAAAGTTGAACAAGACAGCAGCAGCCAAAAAAACTTTAGTGGCATGAAATCAACCATGGGAGATGGCCCCGCCCACTCAGGGACACTGTTAGTGGGAGGCTTAAAGGGGTCATATTATACTTTTTCTGGTTTTATATGCTCTTTAGTGTGTTTTCCAGCTGATGTTGCACGCCCATTAATTTCTGTAGCATGCCCACGATATGCTGTAGCCTGCAGTAGCACAGTAGTGCTATGGTGCTAATGTTTTTGCTCGGCCCTCAGACAAAGTGGCTGCATTCCCAATATGGTAAAAGGGGCGTGACATTTCCGAGAACCGTGCTGAGTGACTGACCAATTACGGCAGAGCCGACAGGCTGACCAATCAGATCAGACTTGGCACACGTGGGGACTCTGAACGTGGGCACTTCAGAGCCTTAGAGAGAGAGTCAGAAGCGAGCCGGTGCACAGAGAGGCAGTACATGAAAACAGACACTTTTTTAGAAGTTTAGCTATTGTGAACATACTTTAGTAGGTACATAGATTAAATATACGAACCCCAAAAAGGGCATAATATGGGCTCTTTAATGGCTGGGTTTTGGTGCAAGAGAATAATTAATAGAGAACCAACAGTTTTTCCAAACCGAAAATAAAGTCTCAGGGTATAAAATACTTTAAAGAATTAGGAATCCAGTCAAATTTGGGCAGCATATCTGTATGCAGGGCTTGTATTCACAAACATTCTGAGAATCCTCTCAGAGAGCTCCTAATTTAGTTAGAAAAAAATCCTAACAAGGATTATAACAAGGATTTTTAGCCTAGGAGTGATTTAGGAACATCCTCAGAGCAACTCTGAGCAAGGAAAACTTTTATCTTAGTGAGGAGGCGTGGTCGACCCCGTTGTATGAACATTTTTTTCAGAAGCTGTGATTGGCTAAAAAAAAAGGGGAGAAAAAAAGTAAATCTATAGAATCCAGTCAGACATTGTTCAATTAATGAACACTATAAAATTAGCATTTGTGTGATGATTTGTAAGACATACTTTATAAGTATAACACCTACAAGACGTTTAAAATCACTTGTGTGGCAGCTTCTTCCCATGATGATAGTTTCAGAATGACCCAATCTCAATGTCCACCCTCACACACTCACTGAATTTGATGGACATTCCCGGTAAGTCTGTGAGGGCTTCGTGCTGTCCCACTGTCAAATTGTCAATTGCATGAGGGACCTCTCGCTGACTTTAGGAGCCCTTTATGAACTCTGTTCACGTGAGGGAATTACATTGCAAGCATTGCAGACACACAGCTTCGTTTTGATTTGAGAGACTGGTGCTAAAGTGCTACATCTACCAAACATATACTCTAATCCCATATCATACTATATCAATTAATATGCAATATTTTGTATATGTCACTTTGAGGTGCTTTGGCTTCTCTCAAGAACAACAACATTACATAATTTCACAGAGCTATAGCAGCCCTGAAGTGTCATACTACAATCATCATTGAGCTACTTAACCAGTTGAATCAGGTGTAAACATGTGATAATGTTTCAGAATTAATATCTCACAAACACTATTTCCTTTACTACTATCACCATAGATGCCAAAGAAACCTTTAAAGCTTTATTATAGCATATGTTGTACTCTCACTACTGTGTTTTGACCAATACTTTAAATCAGTTTTTCACATTTGTAAAACTATATTTTGTCACAGTGTTTCCTCTTGTTTTCCCTGCTACTCTCCACCTTCCTCTCTGGAAACTCTCATAATATTAAATGTTCAGATATCTAATGCACTAGTAGAACAAAGTAGAACTTTGAAATGGCGCTTCGTGAAAGTAGATTGCACCCTGTATTTATTCTTGTTAATGGTTAACTTTTGTACTTCTATTACACGTCACGTACACAGTGATCCCTTGAGGCAAATGAAGGTACAAAGTTCAATCTTGTCACAATCAATAAGTGGAAGGTATACACCATTGATCTAAATCAGTGTTATTCTATAAGGTCTAAAGAGACATAAAGTGAGAAAAGGGTGCATCCTAACCTTTTTATTTAGCTTCTGTTATCTACTGTGTTTTGCTTTTGTACTGCATCTGAGCAGCTCTGGTGGAGGTGTGGGGCTAAAAACAATATAGGGGATTGAGTAAATTTGTTTTTAATGCCTTACTACCACTGTACTGTAATGAGAGATTCTTTGTATTTTACCATCAGAAGCTGTAACACTATAAACAAAATACAAATAAAATAAGTTATCAAATTTGAACTGAATGAATTTTAACAGATGACTGAATATAATTATCATTAATACATTGTAAATCCTATTTTTGTTTGAAATAATGCAACACTCCCTTTTTCTACTTAAATTAACATGATGACTGACTTCCTCTTTAATTCGAGACAAAGCCCTCTTTTGTCAAATGCCTTGTGTTTATTCTCTTAACGCCCTTTAAGCACTTTAAATTGCTTTGTTATCGAAAAGGTGCTATGCAAATTAAGACGCCTTCCCCTCTGCAGGTTTATCTGCTGAAGAACCCATTTCATCATATTTACAACCCTGCCTTGGCCAATCAGTCTCCCTCACTGCTAAGTACAAGGTTAAATATAAGCGCCATTCCATTGATCCTTTTTTTTCCTTAAGATAGTTTTCTTCAATTGTTGAAACAGGGAGGACTGAGTTGATTCAACTTGTTTAATAGAGGGCTTGATGCAAGAGAATACCTGAAGGTAAGGCACTTTGGTCTATTGAGTTTCTTAGCTTAGAACAATTTAAAAGTCAGTACACCATGTATCACAACTTTACTGTGTAAATTCTTAAGTGTAAACATGCAATTAAACTCATTCATTTGGAAGAATTTGATTAACTGCATTGAGAACTCGATTGGTAGTTGGGAAAATGATGCAAGAGTATGGGTCATTTTGAAAGTGCAGAACAAGGAATGAGGGAAGATACACTGAGAACAGGGACAATGTTGAGTGAGTGTGTCGTAAAGGGAACCAAAACATATTGATTGTGTTTTTCTGTGGAGAAGTAGAGGAGAAACTGACAAAAAAAAAAGCAAAAGCAATACCAGGCAAAAGAAAGCATTGCTTATCAGCTTTGAAGTGAAGTAAATAAAGAAGAACAAAGCCAGTTAGTTAAATAACTTGCTTTAACTTTGAGTCTAAAAAACGATCTAATGCAGAAATGTAACGCTTTCTTTTGTAGTTTTTACTCCTGGTTTAAAACATTGAATAATTCGGTCATTATATTCGATTTAATGTCTTTATTCCCAGAATAAATGCTGTATATTATTTTTTCATTTTATTACAGACATGAGGCTTCTCTGTCTTCTTCAGTTGGTCATTTTGGCTGCCTGTAGTGGTTCCAGATCAAGAGACTGGGCTCATCATGGCGCCCCCATGTTTGCTGACCTCACAGTGCGTGAGTTGAAAGCTGTCCGTGCCTACATGCACGGTATTCCAGAGCTGGAGCTCACAAACGCTCGTAGCAAGACCCTGAAGAAGAACAGCATCCTAAT